TCATAGCCATTCAAGACACCACCGACAAAAATTGGAGCTGAGACTTCTGCCAATTATTAATTAGACTGGGGTTGGCAGCCACTTTTTCCCCATCAAGCAGGGAAGAGAGTCCATGACATATTTGCTGCTCCTGTGTTTTCGGGGGCTCAATGTAGTGTACTGCAGGGATCAGCACAAACCACAACAGAGGGATATCGGGAGAAAAGCTGTTGACCAAAGCAAGTCAATGCACTCCATCATTGCGTGACCGTGCTGATTCACTTGATGCCGTCAAAGGATGTTGATGTAGATGCGTAACCGGGGGCAACAGGACAGGGTTGATCAGAGAGTGGTCAGGTTGAATCAGGGGTAGTAGGGGAGGTGGCCCCTTGAACTCTGCTACAGCTGATCTGGGATCAGTGCTACGGGGCTGGAGTCATGATTAAAGAGGACTTTGGATGGTGACAATCTGCTCAGAACAAATTTGTTGGTTCTCATGCCGTCTCTTGTTAGTCACCATATGGATGCTGGATGCTTTCTTCTACCTCAGCAATACATCACTTTGGGTATTTCCAGTATGTTTGTGAAACATTATGCTATTAGGAACACTTACATACTTTTGCTTTAGATTCACAATATTGTGTGTTCCATGATGAATAATGTGACATATGTCAAGGCATTTCCACAGTAGAAGATATAAGAACCTCAGACAATATGGCAATGTAGCGTGCATTCCATTTTATCTGCCCCCCTTACCAACTTCCAATTATCTATTTCACGCTTTCTTTCTCTTTGTTTGCTCTCCCTCTCTCTCTCTCTCTCTCTCTCTCTCTCTCTCTCTCTCTCTCTCTCTCTCTCCATTCATTGCCCTTACTCTTTGGTCTGCGTTTTGACTTGCTGTTATTGTTTGTGTCTCCGTTTCAGAAGTCCATTTAATCTATTCAAATTCTCCACTGCACGGTTGTTTTCCCCATCGCTCATCCACCACGCTCTCTCACCATTTGAACCGGAAGGCTGTCTGAGGGCGTCTCTGTGAAGCCCAGAGCAAACGTAAACGAGACAGAGTAGTCACACAGCAGGGCGGGAATCATCAGAGACGCCTTCTGCACAGCCAATTAGCTAGTGTCATTAGCCCAGAATTCTGGGCAAAGTGCATTTCCGATAAGGTGGACAGTGAGTCGATTATAGGTGTAGTCCAAGAAGTACACAGCAATACTTACTTAGCAAATTCAAACTCCAAATCAAGTCACAACATTCGATTGGATTCCCAATCTGATCCATGACATTTGCATTTGGAGAAAAAGCCCATCTACAAAGCCCTTACTCAAAACTTGGGCATCAATCTTAACTGTTAGAGTTTCTATGTACATCCCACTCAGTATCTTCCTCCAGTCTCCTCATGTAATGGGTTGTGGAGGGGAATATTAACCATTGTAACTTCTGGAGACAGCAAGTTGTCTTCTAAACTGTTGATCAAACCCTTGGACTTCATGAAGATCCACTTTGGATCAAAATGTTCTTAATAATGATGGTGGTATAGGATACAGTATATAATGTGATGTGAGTAAGACTGTAGCTATCGAGCATGACACCTCCGCTATCTACTCACTATGCTCATTACCTTTGACCCCTGACCCCTGTGTGTCCCCACTCCTTACCGCGCAGATCGACAAGACAGATGACAAGTCCCTGGAGGAGCGAGGGCGTATCATGATCTCCCTCAAGTACAGCTCCCAGAAGTCTGGCCTGGTGGTGGGCATCGTCCGCTGTGCCCACCTCGCCGCCATGGACGCCAACGGCTTCTCAGACCCCTACGTCAAAACGTGAGTTTGTCACACATCCTGGAGATAGCACATGTCCCCAAACACATGCACTCCAGACCTCTAGTGGTACTGGATTGATGTTTACTCCTCATCATCCCTTAGGTCTGTCTCTATGGAATCAAGCTCTGGTTTATTCTTTTTTCTCTGTTTTTATTAAGGAAACAAAAGTTCCCTCCATTTGGAAATGTTGGTTGATACACTATTAGACCAATACATTTCATCCTAGTGTTGAATAACAGGCAAAGATGTATCTCTACATTGCCTATCAGCCAAGATCTCTTTTGAATGTAGATGTAATGATGCAACAATTCAGATTACCCTGCACTCACGAGGAAAATGATCACATAATTTACTTTGACATTTAGCCAAAGTCTCTTGCTAAGCCTAGGGCTGGCAATCATTGCTAGCGGACTAGAGCGAGATCCACATTTGACACAGAGTGTAGTGTCCCTGGAACAGAACAGCTAGCATCAGTGCTAACGTTTCAGCTGTGAATCTCCTGTGATTACTCCCCAACTTGAAAGAGACGTACTGCGCAAGAGGCCATCCTGAGGGCTGCAATTATGAACGGGTGTTCTTTTAATCACACCTGAACATTACTGCACTTCTTTCATCTCGCTGAACGATGGAATACATTACACTGGCAAGAACTCCACAAGAACAACCCACTGGGCACATACGTCAGTTCAACGTCTATTCCACATTGGTTCAACGTAATTTCATTGAAATGACTTGGAAACAACGTTGATTCAACCAGTGTGTGCCCAGTGGGAAAGGAGGAAGACTCATCGAGAGAGAGAGAGGACGGCAATTCCAACCAGCAATTGAAAACCGCTCCCGAAGCCTGAAAAACTCGCAGCCCAGATAATACATTTACAGACTCACTTTTATGAGGGCTTGAAGGAGAGTTTCTTCCCAAATGGTTCCCTATTACACAACATAGGGAATAGGATGCTATTTTAGACGCAGCGGAGGAGTATGCTCTGTTGAATAGAGAAGGAGAGCTGCAATGATTTTCCCATCCTCTGACACCCAATGTCTATGTCATGGCTGTCTGGCTTCAGAAGTCTACCGGACACTGAGTCGCTCCACCCCACTGTGTTGATGATAAACTGGGCTTTTGTACTGAGCCTGTAGCTCTTTTGCACACACACACACACACACACCAGTTGACAGGGCAGTGGTCCCACTGAGAGTTACACGTGGTCAAAGGAAACATTTGATTGACAGGCTGGGGGAATGTATGACAAGCGCACCCAGCTTGTAACATTGCACATTGGTGAGAATAGAGACTCATAAATGCTTTAATATAGTCTGTGTTAAAGGGGTTTGGGCACTTTATGGTTCTCTCAAAGGCCTTCCACATTATCAGTGTCGACTTAGTTTATAGAAACCCCTGTATCCCCTCTGACTCATTCTTACTGCCAGTGTATAGCATTCTGAGTATCGTTTGGTCTTGGTTAGCATGCCAAGGCTGTGCTGCCGGCTTTATTAACTATTTATGGCCCAAACAGTGTTGAGTGACTGGCTTCTCTGCAGGATTTTAAAAAAATGAATGATCTCGACATCTACACACAATTAGAGCTTCAAACTAGCCATACTCCCCTTTGATTCTCATTTACAAGGAAGTGGCAAGTTGTGCAACGGTGCAATACTTTTAATGGCTGCTCTAAATGCCCTAATAATGATCAATTAGACACCCAAGAGCAATGAGATATGGAGATGATTGCATAACGTGAAATATTTGTATTTAATTTTGGGGAAATTACTCCTGTTCATGGTTCCATCACTTTGATAGCCCCAAAGCAAACTCTTATAATTATCCCTGATTATTCAACTTTTTTATATAATTACATAGTTTTGCTCTAAAATTGTAAATTGTGTGGCCTGGCTGGTCTAGCGGTAATGCCGCACGCTCCGGCACACATCTACTGTGTTAGCGTGGGTTTGAATCACACATTCTGCTTATGCCAAATCCTGACTCTGCCATCAGCATGACGCAACAGGAACCGGGATTCATCAAACCAGGCAATGTTTTACACTCCTCAATTGTCCAGTGTTTTTGATTGCGTGCCCACTGGAGCCGCTTCTTCTTGTTTTTAGCTGATAGGAGTGGAACCCGGTGTGGTCGTCTGCTGCAATAGCCCATCCGTGACAAGGATCGACAAGTTGTGTGTTCCGAGATGCTGTTTTGCACACAATTGATGTACTGCACCGTTATTTGTCTGTTTGTGGCCCCCCTGTTAGCTTGCACGATTCTTGCCATTCTCCTCCGACCTCTCATCAACTAACTGTTTTCACCCACAGGACTGCCGCTGACTGGATGTTTTTTGTTTGTCGCACCATTCTCTGTAAACCCTAGACACTGTTGTGCGTGAAAAGCCCAGTTGGGCGGCCGTTTCTGAGACACTGGATCTGGCGCGCCTGACACGACGATCATACCATGCTCAAAGTCGCTTAGGTCACTTGTTTTGCCCATTCTAATGTTCAACCAAACAGTATCTGAATGCCTTAATGCCTGTCTGCCTGCTTGATATAGCAAGCCACAGCCACGTGACTCATTGTCTGTAGGAGCGATCCATTTTCGTGAACGGGGTGGTGTACCTAATAAACTGATCACTGAGTGTATATCCATATAAAATCACAGTGCAATGTACTGCGGTAATAATTTATTTGCTATACTATTACCATGGAACAAGATTCTTCAAGATTCAAATTAAATAACTACAGACAAACCTCCATAGGTATCCAGGAGCTTGGTCATTAATTTGTCACAACACCTGAACATGAACACATCCACGTACAGCACTTATGGGAATCGTACATCGGCTAATTAATTGACTGGATTGTGGAGACCCGTGTTTTCTTCACATGGGGCCTTGTAAATAGGATTCCCTCTGAACTCGAATGAGGTTTCTAGCAGCTAATGGAATTCCTCAGCCTGAAGAGCTAGCGGCTGGTATAGTCTGTAATAAGGTTCAGAGAAAATCTCTCTCCCGCGATCTGTGTATTACTTTTGAAAGGGAGTAGAGGCACTTTATTTAACCCCATGTTCTTCCATGTTTTTCCTCAGGCACTGTTGAGACTAGTACATTTTTGACACTGGAGCCATTCTATAGGGCACAAGTAGAGTTTGTAGGCCAGGATGACCTGTGTATGGGACTAAAATTGTTCTATGTTATTTAATTAAAGCGTGAGATGTCGGCCAATATGGACTATGCAGTCAAGTTGGTTTGAGAATAAAGTAGTTGTCTCCATAGCGAGTACCTTACTACCAACAGAGCCAGTACTGCAGTTCTACTGGACTCAGTGGGGAGCTCCATCAAACTTCCTTGGTGGTGCCCAACATCTATTTGGAGTTCCTGACTTCGAAAAATTATACATTTTATTTTATTTTATGGAGGTGTTGATTGTTATGGGGGTGCCCAGCCCTCCTGTAATTCTAACCGTGACTGTTGCTCTCCAGACTCTAACCATGACTGTTGCTCTCCAGACTCTAACCGTGACTGTTGCTCTCCAGACTCTAACCGTGACTGTTGCTCTCCAGACTCTAACCGTGACTGTTGCTCTCCAGACTCTAACCGTGACTGTTGCTCTCTAGACTCTAACCGTGACTGTTGCTCTCCAGACTCTAACCGTGACTGTTGCTCTCCAGACTCTAACCGTGACTGTTGCTCTCCAGACTCTAACCGTGACTGTTGCTCTCCAGACTCTAACCGTGACTGTTGCTCTCCAGACTCTAACCGTGAATGTTGCTCTCTAGACTCTAACCGTGAATGTTGCTCTCTAGACTCTAACCGTGACTGTTGCTCTCCAGACTCTAACCGTGACTGTTGCTCTCCAGACTCTAACCGTGACTGTTGCTCTCCAGACTCTAACCGTGACTGTTGCTCTCCAGACTCTAACCGTGACTGTTGCTCTCCAGACTCTAACCGTGACTGTTGCTCTCCAGACTCTAACCGTGACTGTTGCTCTCCAGACTCTAACCGTGACTGTTGCTCTCCAGACTCTAACCGTGACTGTTGCTCTCCAGACTCTAACCGTGAATGTTGCTCTCCAGACTCTAACCGTGACTGTTGCTCTCCAGACTCTAACTGTGACTGTTGCTCTCCAGACTATAACCGTGACTGTTGCTCTCCAGACTTTAATCGTGACTGTTGCTCTCCAGACTCTAACCGTGACTGTTGCTCTCCAGACTCTAACCGTGACTGTTGCTCTCCAGACTCTAACCGTGACTGTTGCTCTCCAGACTCTAACCGTGAATGTTGCTCTCTAGACTCTAACCGTGACTGTTGCTCTCCAGACTCTAACCGTGACTGTGCTCTCCAGACTCTAACCGTGACTGTTGCTCTCCAGACTCTAACCGTGACTGTTGCTCTCCAGACTCTAACCGTGACTGTTGCTCTCCAGACTCTAAACCGTGACTGTTGCTCTCTAGACTCTAACCGTGACTGTTGCTCTCCAGACTCTAACCGTGACTGTTGCTCTCCAGATTCTAACCGTGACTGTTGCTCTCCAGACTCTAACAGTGACTGTTACTCTCCAGACTCTAACCGTGACTGTTGCTCTCCAGACTCTAACCGTGACTGTTGCTCTCCAGACTCTAATCGTGACTGTTGCTCTCCAGACTCTAACCGTGACTGTTGCTCTCCAGACTCTAACCGTGAATGTTGCTCTCCAGACTCTAACGTGACTGTTGCTCTCCAGACTCTAACTGTGACTGTTGCTCTCCAGACTCTAACCGTGACTGTTGCTCTCCAGACTTTAATCGTGACTGTTGCTCTCCAGACTCTAACCGTGACTGTTGCTCTCCAGACTCTAACCGTGACTGTTGCTCTCCAGACTCTAACCGTGACTGTTGCTCTCCAGACTCTAACCGTGACTGTTGCTCTCCAGACTCTAACCGTGACTGTTGCTCTCCAGACTCTAACCGTGACTGTTGCCCTCCAGACTCTAACAGTGACTGTTACTCTCCAGACTCTAACCGTGACTGTTGCTCTCCAGACTCTAATCGTGACTGTTGCTCTCCAGACTCTAACCGTGACTGTTGCTCTCCAGACTCTAACCGTGACTGTTGCTCTCCAGACTCTAACCGTGACTGTTGCTCTCCAGACTCTAACCGTGACTGTTGCTCTCCAGACTCTAACCGTGACTGTTGCTCTCCAGACTCTAACCGTGACTGTTGCTCTCCAGACTCTAACCGTGACTGTTGCTCTCCAGACTCTAACCGTGACTGTTGCTCTCCAGACTCTAACCGTGACTGTTGCTCTCCAGACTCTAACCGTGACTGTTGCTCTCCAGACTCTAACCGTGACTGTTGCTCTCCAGACTCTAACCGTGAATGTTGCTCTCTAGACTCTAACCGTGACTGTTGCTCTCCAGACTCTAACCGTGACTGTTGCTCTCCAGACTCTAACCGTGACTGTTGCTCTCCAGACTCTAACCGTGACTGTTGCTCTCCAGACTCTAACCGTGACTGTTGCTCTCCAGACTCTAACCGTGACTGTTGCTCTCTAGACTCTAACCGTGACTGTTTGCTCTCCAGACTCTAACCGTGACTGTTGCTCTCCAGATTCTAACCGTGACTGTTGCTCTCCAGACTCTAACAGTGACTGTTACTCTCCAGACTCTAACCGTGACTGTTGCTCTCCAGACTCTAACCGTGACTGTTGCTCTCCAGACTCTAATCGTGACTGTTGCTCTCCAGACTCTAACCGTGACTGTTTGCTCTCCAGACTCTAACCGTGAATGTTGCTCTCCAGACTCTAACGTGACTGTTGCTCTCCAGACTCTAACTGTGACTGTTGCTCTCCAGACTCTAACCGTGACTGTTGCTCTCCAGACTTTAATCGTGACTGTTGCTCTCCAGACTCTAACCGTGACTGTTGCTCTCCAGACTCTAACCGTGACTGTTGCTCTCCAGACTCTAACCGTGACTGTTGCTCTCCAGACTCTAACCGTGACTGTTGCTCTCCAGACTCTAACCGTGACTGTTGCTCTCCAGACTCTAACCGTGACTGTTGCCCTCCAGACTCTAACAGTGACTGTTACTCTCCAGACTCTAACCGTGACTGTTGCTCTCCAGACTCTAATCGTGACTGTTGCTCTCCAGACTCTAACCGTGACTGTTGCTCTCCAGACTCTAACCGTGACTGTTGCTCTCCAGACTCTAACCGTGACTGTTGCTCTCCAGACTCTAACCGTGACTGTTGCTCTCCAGACTCTAACCGTGACTGTTGCTCTCCAGACTCTAACCGTGACTGTTGCTCTCCAGACTCTAACCGTGACTGTTGCTCTCCAGACTCTAACCGTGACTGTTGCTCTCCAGACTCTAACCGTGACTGTTGCTCTCCAGACTCTAACCGTGACTGTTGCTCTCCAGACTCTAACCGTGACTGTTGCTCTCCAGACTCTAACCGTGACTGTTGCTCTCCAGACTCTAACCGTGAATGTTGCTCTCTAGACTCTAACCGTGACTGTTGCTCTCCAGACTCTAACCGTGACTGTTGCTCTCCAGACTCTAACTGTGACTGTTGCTCTCCAGACTCTAACCGTGACTGTTGCTCTCCAGACTCTAACCGTGACTGTTGCTCTCCAGACTTTAATCGTGACTGTTGCTCTCCAGACTCTAATCGTGACTGTTGCTCTCCAGACTCTAACCGTGACTGTTGCTCTCCAGACTCTAACCGTGAATGTTGCTCTCTAGACTCTAACCGTGACTGTTGCTCTCCAGACTCTAACCGTGACTGTTGCTCTCCAGACTCTAACCGTGACTGTTGCTCTCCAGACTCTAACCGTGACTGTTTGCTCTCCAGACTCTAACAGTGACTGTTTACTTCTCCAACTCTACGTGACTGTTGCTCTCCCAGACTCTAACGTGACTGTTTGCTCTCCAGACTCTAACCCGTGACTGTTGCTCTCCAACTCTAACCGTGACTGTTGCTCTCCAGACTCTAACCGTGACTGTTTGCTCTCCAGACTCTAAACCGTGACTGTTGCTCTCCAGACTCTAACGTGACTGTTGCTCTCCAGACTCTAACCGGACTGTTGCGCTCCAGACTCTAACCGTGACTGTTGCTCTCCAGACTTTAAACCGTGACTGTTGCTCTCCAGACTCTAACCGTGACTGTTGCTCTCCAGACTCTAACCGTGACTGTTGCTCTCCAGACTCTAAACCGTGACTGTTGATCTCCAGACTCTAACCGTGACTTGTTGCTCTCCAGACTCTAAAACCGTGACTGTTGCTCTCCAGACTCTAACCGTGACTGTTGCTCTCCAGACTCTAACCGTGACTGTTGCTCTCCAGACTCTAACCGTGACTGTTGCTCTCCAGACTCTAACCGTGAATGTTGCTCTCCAGACTCTAACCGTGACTGTTGCTCTCCAGACTCTAACCGTGACTGTTGCTCTCCAGACTCTAAACCGTGACTGTTGCTCTCCAGACTCTAACCGTGACTGTTGCTCTCCAGACTCTAACCGTGACTGTTGCTCTCCAGACTCTAACCGTGACTGTTGCTCTCCAGACTCTAACCGTGACTGTTGCTCTCCAGACTCTAACCGTGAATGTTGCTCTCCAGACTCTAACCGTGACTGTTGCTCTCCCAGACTCTAACCGTGACTGTTGCTCTCCAGACTCTAACCGTGACTGTTGCTCTCCAGACTCTAACCGTGACTGTTGCTCTCCAGACTCTAACCGTGACTGTTTGCTCTCCAGACTCTAACCGTGACTGTTGCTCTCCAGACTCTAACCGTGACTGTTGCTCTCCAGACTCTAACCGTGACTGTTGCTCTCCAGACTCTAACCGTGACTGTTGCTCTCCAGACTCTAACCGTGACTGTTGCTCTCCAGACTCTAACCGTGACTGTTGCACTCCAGACTCTAACCGTGACTGTTGCTCTCCAGACTCTAACCGTGACTGTTGCTCTCCAGACTCTAACCGTGAATGTTGCTCTCTAGACTCTAACCGTGACTGTTGCTCTCCAGACTCTAACCGTGACTGTTGCTCTCCAGACTCTAACCGTGACTGTTGCTCTCCAGACTCTAACCGTGACTGTTGCTCTCCAGACTCTAACCGTGAATGTTGCTCTCCAGACTCTAACCGTGACTGTTGCTCTCCAGACTCTAACCGTGACTGTTGCTCTCCAGACTCTAACCGTGACTGTTGCTCTCCAGACTCTAACCGTGACTGTTGCTCTCCAGACTCTAACCGTGACTGTTGCTCTCCAGACTCTAACCGTGACTGTTGCTCTCCAGACTCTAACCGTGACTGTTGCTCTCCAGACTCTAACCGTGAATGTTGCTCTCCAGACTCTAACCGTGACTGTTGCTCTCCAGACTCTAACCGTGACTGTTGCTCTCCAGACTCTAACCGTGACTGTTGCTCTCCAGACTCTAACCGTGACTGTTGCTCTCCAGACTCTAACCGTGACTGTTGCTCTCCAGACTCTAACCGTGACTGTTGCTCTCCAGACTCTAACCGTGACTGTTGCTCTCCAGACTCTAACCGTGACTGTTGCTCTCCAGACTCTAACCGTGACTGTTGCTCTCCAGACTCTAACCGTGACTGTTGCTCTCCAGACTCTAACCGTGACTGTTGCACTCCAGACTCTAACCGTGACTGTTGCTCTCCAGACTCTAACCGTGACTGTTGCTCTCCAGACTCTAACCGTGACTGTTGCTCTCCAGACTCTAACCGTGACTGTTGCTCTCCAGACTCTAACCGTGACTGTTGCTCTCCAGACTCTAACCGTGACTGTTGCTCTCCAGACTCTAACCGTGAATGTTGCTCTCCAGACTCTAACCGTGACTGTTGCTCTCCAGACTCTAACTGTGACTGTTGCTCTCCAGACTCTAACCGTGACTGTTGCTCTCCAGACTTTAATCGTGACTGTTGCTCTCCAGACTCTAACCGTGACTGTTGCTCTCCAGACTCTAACCGTGACTGTTGCTCTCCAGACTCTAACCGTGACTGTTGCTCTCCAGACTCTAACCGTGAATGTTGCTCTCTAGACTCTAACCGTGACTGTTGCTCTCCAGACTCTAACCGTGACTGTTGCTCTCCAGACTCTAACCGTGACTGTTGCTCTCCAGACTCTAACCGTGACTGTTGCTCTCCAGACTCTAACCGTGACTGTTGCCCTCCAGACTCTAACAGTGACTGTTACTCTCCAGACTCTAACCGTGACTGTTGCTCTCCAGACTCTAATCGTGACTGTTGCTCTCCAGACTCTAACCGTGACTGTTGCTCTCCAGACTCTAACCGTGACTGTTGCTCTCCAGACTCTAATCGTGACTGTTGCTCTCCAGACTCTAACCGTGACTGTTGCTCTCCAGACTCTAACCGTGACTGTTGCTCTCCAGACTCTAACCGTGACTGTTGCTCTCCAGACTCTAACCGTGACTGTTGCTCTCCAGACTCTAACCGTGACTGTTGCTCTCCAGACTCTAACCGTGACTGTTGCTCTCCAGACTCTAACGTGACTGTTGCTCTCCAGACTCTAACCGTGAATGTTGCTCTCTAGACTCTAACCGTGACTGTTGCTCTCCAGACTCTAACCGTGACTGTTGCTCTCCAGACTCTAACCGTGACTGTTGCTCTCCAGACTCTAACCGTGACTGTTGCTCTCCAGACTCTAACCGTGACTGTTGCTCTCCAGACTTTAATCGTGACTGTTGCTCTCCAGACTCTAACCGTGACTGTTGCTCTCCAGACTCTAACCGTGACTGTTGCTCTCCAGACTCTAACCGTGAATGTTGCTCTCTAGACTCTAACCGTGACTGTTGCTCTCCAGACTCTAACCGTGACTGTTGCTCTCCAGACTCTAACCGTGACTGTTGCTCTCCAGACTCTAATCGTGACTGTTGCTCTCCAGACTCTAACAGTGACTGTTACTCTCCAGACTCTAACCGTGACTGTTGCTCTCCAGACTCTAACCGTGACTGTTGCTCTCCAGACTCTAACCGTGACTGTTGCTCTCCAGACTCTAACCGTGACTGTTGCTCTCCAGACTCTAACCGTGACTGTTGCTCTCCAGACTCTAACCGTGACTGTTGCTCTCCAGACTCTAACCGTGACTGTTGCTCTCCAGACTCTAACCGTGAATGTTGCTCTCTAGACTCTAACCGTGACTGTTGCTCTCCAGACTCTAACCGTGACTGTTGCTCTCCAGACTCTAACCGTGACTGTTGCTCTCCAGACTCTAACCGTGACTGTTGCTCTCCAGACTCTAACCGTGAATGTTGCTCTCCAGACTCTAACCGTGACTGTTGCTCTCCAGACTCTAACCGTGACTGTTGCTCTCCAGACTCTAACCGTGACTGTTGCTCTCCAGACTCTAACCGTGACTGTTGCTCTCCAGACTCTAACCGTGACTGTTGCTCTCCAGACTTTAATCGTGACTGTTGCTCTCCAGACTCTAACCGTGACTGTTGCTCTCCAGACTCTAACCATGACTGTTGCTCTCCAGACTCTAACCGTGACTGTTGCTCTCCAGACTCTAACCATGACTGTTGCTCTCCAGACTCTAACCGTGACTGTTGCTCTCCAGACTCTAACCATGACTGTTGCTCTCCAGACTCTAACCATGACTGTTGCTCTCCAGACTCTAACCATGACTGTTGCTCTCCAGACTCTAACCATGACTGTTGCTCTCCAGACTCTAACCGTGACTGTTGCTCTCCAGACTCTGTCATTGTGCATTGTCAGCATGCACAGCACAAAAAGAACCGCTGCTGTGGGAAGTATTTGTAATTTTTCCATTAATTTGCATCTTCTATTCGGGAGCATTGCAAACATTTCAAATGCGTTTTTGGAGATCAGAGCTTTCAGTTGGACCTAGTGTGCATCCCAAATGGCACCATATTCCCTATATAGTGCTTTCATGAAGTAGTGCACTATAGGGAATGTGGGTTGCCATTTGGGACGCAATCCTAGTCTAGAGCCACCAGCTCCACGCTATTGAATGTTAATACAATATGGTAATCAACCTCTCAACCCATAGACTGTCAGTCAGTCACTGTAGCGACAGCTTGCTTAGTGCTGGCGTCAGTATGCTGCCCACCATCAGGTTAAATATGATGCCACAGCAACCTCTGGTGGTAGAATTGGTATAACATTCAGTTTGATCAGGCTGAATTAATTAGACATATTTTCTGTCTCATTCTTTTTCATAAATTCCTTTTCTCATTCCTTTTAATATTGGAAATGTTATGTCCAATATGATATCGCTATATTTAAGTCAGTCATTCCTGCTGGACTACTTAGAGCTCAGAGAAGCAAGGCGTTTCAACGTTCCGTGTCCCTGGATTGAATCTCTTGACTGCCTGTCTATTATAGTGTACAGCACGCCCAAGAATCCACAGCAAACAACCGTAGACTGCAGAGACCTTTGCTGTCAGTAAAGGTTACTGCTTTATGTCTTGTCTGCAGGTACCTGAAGCCTGATGAGAACAAAAAGTCAAAGCACAAGACTGCTGTGAAGAAGAAGACCCTCAACCCAGAGTTTAACGAGGTAAGGAAGGACTCACTCTCTCTTCCTCTCTTTTCGGTCTCTGTTTCTCCTCTCTCAGGGATCTCTTGTCTCTCTCAGACATCACAAATCCCTCCAATAATCCATCCCATTTAAGACTTGAGACTGAGGAGAGGAACCAGCCATTTTCAAATAAAGCTTTATCAACTTACCTATGACACTCATTTTTCAAACTTGGATAATTATACTGAACTTTTTTCCAGAATGATAGAATTATATGAAAATCACAACTTTAATGCTGACTCATTATACATGTACTCTTCTTACCATCACATCTCCCCATATATCTCTTTTATCTGGCCCCTGTATATCTCTGGGTGTCCTTATCACACACTAGTATCAATTTTTTACAAAAATGCGTTGGACAAAGAAGATTGTAATTATTTTATTGGATTTTACCATTTATCACAGTCATTAGCATGGCAAAGTAGCAAGTAGCAACAAATCTTAGGTTAGAAAAGCCAGTTATCCGTTGATGATGTTTCAGGGCACAGAGGTGAGTTTCCATCCCCTCCAGCCGCTCAGCTATGATGCTCCGGGCCTCCTTCAGATCAGCCCTATGTTAACTGTCATTGAGAGGCCAACTTGACTGTAGTAAAAGTCTGTTTCCGTCACCTCTCCTGAGCCTGCCTCTTCTTCTCTAAATGCCACACAACCACTCTACCATTAGTCTGTTATGATGCTCAGAGCAGTGGGCTCCAGAGAGGCCCCGCTTTCATGCTCAGACCGCTGCCAAAGAGCTAGCTTAGCACTCGACTGCAGCATCGAGTGGCTTGCCTCTGAGAGTTCAGCTGTATCAGAGTGAATGGTGTTCTCCCAGACCACACGAGGCCCGTGACTTGACATTTCCAATGACATTTCCTTTAGTCCCCATTTCCATCCTGTTGCTTGTTGGCCTTTCGGCTCGAGATTAGGCAACCTGGGCTTCCAGTGCATTAGGAAGGCATTTTGGTTCAATAAGGAAAACAGATAACCTTGAGTATTGATGGATTGATAACTAAACGGATTCTCCTCTATCAGCATGATTATGTATGGTTATAGGCAGCAGTAATTCATTGCCATTGATAAAATTGTTTAATACTTTTATACACATTTATACTTTTTTAAATATCTAACTATTTGACCTCCTAAAAACACCACTTTCATGGGATTTCTTCAACATTCTAAAGCTCCCATTGTTGAAAGCTCCCATGACTTTCAACATTCTATTCACTGTAAACAATGTGACCTTTGACGAAAATAAGCTACTTAAAAACATTTTCACAAAAACGTACACAAAAATGTATAGCGTATGAAATCTTAGTCTACTTCTCTGCTATTCAAATCGGAAATCGGAACAGAAATATTGTCTACCAACCAAATTATAGCAATTGGGGAGCACATGAGACAGATTATGCCACACAGCTCACCCCAACCCACTAAAAAACGAACCCGCAATAACAACCCCCACACTCACTAACCAAACTACAATATTCATGGCTTGCACATTTTGTCACAATATTGTTTTGAACGTTCTCTTGAGGACTGATGCCCAAATGAACGTTCTACTCAATGCTTTGTCAATTGGCGCTGATGAAGATGTAATAATAACTTTGCTAGCTAATGGCAACATTGCCCTAAATTTGACGACATCATAATGATGGCAAAGTTTTTCCTACTTATTATTTCCCTACTTTAGCACTGTCATCGTATTTCCAAGCCACGTTAGTGTAATTTAGACGAAACAGTAATTATATGTGATCTATCTGCCCCACACTGCAAAGCAATAAGGTTAATATAGTAGTCTATCAAAGGAATCAGACCAGATATTTATATATATTTTGGACTATATTTCACTGCTTCACTTAAGAAATATTTTTAAAATTCTTCAACTAAAATAAAAATACTTTTAAACAAGTGAAGCAATTCACACAATTTTACTTCATGTAAAATTACATTTCTGGTATTTAAATAAGATTCCTTCAATTATGTTTCTGGTGGAATATTTTTTGGGGGAAACTGTTTGGCAAGTCAAGTTTTTACATATATATATTTTTTTACTGGCTTTTGTAGGAGTTTTTCTACGAAATCAAATACGCTGATCTCAGCAAGAAGACCCTGGAGGTGACCGTGTGGGATTACGACATCGGCAAGTCCAACGATTTTATAGGTAAGCACTAAGCAAGTGACCGTGTTACCAAGCGTAGTGACCAAATCGTTGTGCGCGGCTGCACACTGCCCTGCCACCTACACCGGTGACACTCCTGACCAGCCCGGGCTCCCCTGTCACTCTGCACCTGACACCTCTGTTTACAACACCTACTCACCCACCAGAGGCCTCCATCTGTCCTGGTACCTGCCCAGGGCCACAAACCTGGATCCAAATGACAACAACAAACAACTGAGCTCTAAAGGAGCAAGCACGAAACACTGACCCTTGGTGCGTGCCAGCCAGGCTATCAGCTTTTCAGGTTGTCATGCTGACATGTGGTTGGTGGGCAAGACATTGAACTTGAAGTGCACTTGAACTTGTCTGAGTGAGGGAAGTACTGTAAATTACGAGATCAATGTATTTTGAAAGATTAGACGTTGAGGATTATAATACAGTGCCTTCCGAAAGTGTTTTGTTGTGTTACTGCCTGAATTCAAAATGGATTTGTTTTAAAAATACAAAAAACATCCATCTATACACAATATCCCAAAATGACAAAGTGAAAACATGTTTTTTTATTTGTTTTATTTATTTATTGAAAATGAAATACAGAAATATCTCATTTACAGTGAGGGAAAAAAGTATTTGATCCCCTGCTGATTTTGTACGTTTGCCCACTGACAAAGACATGATCAGTCTTTAATTTTAATGGTAGGTTTATTTGAACAGTGAGAGACAGAATAACAACAACAAAAATCCAGAAAAACGCATGTCAAAAATGTTATGAATTGATTTGCATTTTAATGAGGGAAATAAGTATTTGACCCCTCTGCAAAACATGACTTAGTACTTGGTGGCAAAACCCTTGTTGGCAATCACAGAGGTCAGATGTTTCTTGTAGTTGGCCACCAGGTTTGCACACATCTCAGGAGGGATTTTGTCCCACTCCTCTTTGCAGATCTTCTCCAAGTCATTAAGGTTTCGAGGCTGATGTTTGGCAACTCGAACCTTCAGCTCCCTCCACAGATTTTCTATGGGATTAAGGTCTGGAGACTGGCTGGGCCACTCCAGGACCTTAATGTGCTTCTTCTTGAGCCACTCCTTTGTTGCCTTGGCCGTGTGTTTTGGGTCGTTGTCATGATGGAATACCCATCCTCGACCCATTTTCAATGCCCTGGCTGAGGGAAGGAAGTTCTCACTCAAGATTTGACGGTAAATTGCCCCATCCATCGTCCCTTTGATGCGGCGAAGTTGTCCTGTCCCCTTAGCAGATAAACAACCCCAAAGCATAATGTTTCCACCTCCATGTTTGACGGTGGGGATGGTGTTCTTGGGGTCATAGGCAGCATTCCTCCTCCTCCAAACACGGCGTGTTGAGTTGATGCCAAAGAGCTCGGTTTTGGTCTCATCTGACCACAACACTTTCACCCAGTTCTCCTCTGAATCATTCAGATGTTCATTGGCAAACTTCAGACAGGCCTGTACAGTGGGGGAAAAAAGTATTTAGTCAGCCACCAATTGTGCAAGTTCTCCCACTTAAAAAGATGAGAGAGGCCTGTAATTTTCATCATAGGTACACGTCAACTATGACAGACAAATTCAGAAAAAAATATCCAGAAAATCACATTGTGGGATTTTTTATGAATTTATTTGCAAATTATGGTGGAAAATAACTATTTGGTCACCTACAAACAAGCAAGATTTCTGGCTCTCACAGACCTGTAACTTATTATTTAAGAGGCTCCTCTGTCCTCCACTCGTTACCTGTATTAATGGCACCTGTTTGAACTTGTTATCAGTATAAAAGACACCTGTCCACAACCTCAAATAGTCATACTCCAAACTCCACTATGGCCAAGACCAAAGAGCTGTCAAAGGACACCAGAAACAAAATTGTAGACCTGCACCAGGCTGGGAAGACTGAATCTGCAATAGGTAAGCAGCTTGGTTTGAAGAAATCAACTGTGGGAGCAATTATTAGGAAATGGAAGACATACAAGACCACTGATAATCTCCCTCGATCTGGGGCTCCACGCAAGATCTCACCCCGTGGGGTCAAAATGATAACAAGAACGGTGAGCAGAAATCCCAGAACCACACGGGGGGACCTAGTGAATGACCTGCAGAGAGCTAGGACCAAAGTAACAAAGCCTACCATCAGTAACACACTACGCCGCCAGGGACTCAAATCCTGCAGTGCCAGACGTGTCCCCCTGCTTAAGCCAGTACATGTCCAGGCCCGTCTGAAGTTTGCTAGAGTGCATTTGGATGATCCAGAAGAGGATTGGGAGAATGTCATATGGTCAGATGAAACCAAAATAGAACTTTTTGGTAAAAACTCAACTCTTCGTGTTTGGAGGACAAATAATGCTGAGTTGCATCCAAAGAACACCATACCTACTGTGAAGCATGGGGGTGGAAACATCATGCTTTGGGGCTGTTTTTAAGCAAAGGGACCAGGACGACTGATCCGTGTAAAGGAAAGAATGAATGGGGCCATGTATCGTGAGATTTTGAGTGAAAACCTCCTTCCATCAGCAAGGGCATTGAAGATGAAACTTGGCTGCGTCTTTCAGCATGACAATGATCCCAAACACACCGCCCGGGCAACGAAGGAGTGGCTTCGTAAGAAGCATTTCAAGGTCCTGGAGTGGCCTAGCCAGTCTCCAGATCTCAACCCCATAGAAAATATTTGGAGGGAGTTGAAAGCCCCAAAACATCACTGCTCTAGAGGAGATCTGCATGGAGGAATGGGCCAAAATACCAGCAACAGTGTGTGAAAACCTTGTGAAGACTTACAGAAAACGTTTGACCTGTGTCATTGCCAACAAAGGGTATATAACAAAGTATTGAGAAACTTTTGTTATTGACCAAATACTTATTTTCCACCATAATTTGCAAATAAATTCATTAAAAATCCTACAATGTGATTTTCTGGATTTTATTTCCTCATTTTGTCTGTCATAGTTGACGTGTACCTATGATGAAAATTACAGGCCTCTCTCATCTTTTTAAGTGGGAGAACTTGCACAATTGGTGGCTGACTTTTCCCCACTGTATATGTGCTTTCTTGAGCAGGGGGACCTTGCGGGCACTGCAGGATTTCAGTCCTTCACGGCTTAGTGTGTTACCAATTGTTTTCTTGGTGTCTATGGTCCCAGCTGCCTTGAGATCATTGACAAGATCCTCCTGTGTAGTTCTGGGCTGATTCCTCACCATTCTCATGATCATTGCAACTCCACGAGGTGAGATCTTGCATGGAGCCCCAGGCCATTTGCGAATAATCGCACCAACTGTTGTCACCTCCTCACCAAGCTGCTTGGCGATGGTCTTGTAGCCCATTCCAGCCTTGTGTAGGTCTACAATCTTGTCCCTGACATCCTTGGAGAGCTCTTTGGTCTTGGCCATGGTGGAGAGTTTGGAATCTGATTGATTGATTGCTTCTGTGGACAGGTGTCTTTTATACAGGTAACAAGCTGAGATTAGGAGTGTGCTCCTGCTCCTAATCTCAGCTCGTTACCTGTATAAAAGACACCTGGGAGCCAGAAATCTTTCTGATTGAGAGGGGGTCAAATACTTATTTACCTCATTAAAATGCAAATCAATTTATAACATTTATGACATGTGTTTTTCTGGATTTTTGTTGTTGTTATTCTGTCTCTCACTGTTCAAATAAACCTACCATTAAAATTATAGACTGATCATTTCTTTGTCAGTGGACAAAATCAGCAGGGGATCAAATACTTTTTTCCCTCACTGTACATGAGTATTCACACCCCTTTGCTATGACCCTCCAAATTGAGCTCAGGTGCATCCACTTTCTGAAGGCACTGTATATGTGTTGTGTTCTAACCCTTTTCTGCTGTTCTCCCGTCCCCGCTCTCAGGTGGCGTGTCCCTGGGCATCAGCGCCAACGGAGAGAGGCTCAAACACTGGTTCGACTGTCTCAAAAACAAGGACAAGAAAATTGAGCGCTGGCACACGCTGACCAACGAACTTCCTGGTACAACATTCAACGACTAATGGCCCCTCCCCACTACCTACTCATTTGCAAGTAAGGCCCCTCCCGTACCTGCTCTGGACAGGAGTTCAGCCTCGATCGACCAATTTAACAAATCACACTCCAGCTTTCCCATTTCCGGAGACGTTTACCAAATCACAGCTCGTTTTCTGTATTTCTCTCCCAAGGTGTTGAGCTCACCCGTTATCTTCTATCCCCTTCTGATAATGTGCTGTGTCTTTAGGGCTTATTTGATGATACTGCACCTGCAGCTGTCCTGAAACAACGGTTTGGCAGCATTGAGAAAGAGTCTGATGTGTGTCCCAACAATGCCATAAGTACGCAACACATGGCAAACACAAGGTTTGCTGCACAGAACTAGAACCAGATGATATTCTATTTATATTGTTTGCTATCCAGAGATGCATATTCACTAGGTTTACTGGCAGATTGTGGGGAGCGTGCACTTTGTTGAAATTACAGAAGAAAAGTGTGGATTATTTACTTCAGACACTGCTCTAAAAAGCATGTCATGTTTACAACAGTCTAGGACGCAGCTCCACACACCTCTGCTGTTCCTCTCATGTTCGTGTTTGCGGGAGAAAGGGGAAAAAGACAAGTAATGTGTTTTATAGAGACAGCCTACTTTCAGGTCATTGCAAATGTCTAATCCTGTGATGAAGGGTTTGGGCTATGGGAGGGAAATGAGGAAGGGGTGAGGCATTTTTAATATACTAGCGCTAAGTATCTTGTTGCTTATGTGTTTCAGTTGTTTTCAAATTAGAGTAAAATGTACGCCACCCCAATCAGTGTATCAGATGAATGTAGACTATAACCCTTCTCTCCCACAGTACAGTAACTCCTCTGAGAATGTGCACCCAAGTGCTGTGTGTTATTGAACCAGTTCATACATAAAATTCAAGGTCTGATAAACATCAGAGTTGCGTTGGATGGCATGGGAGGAAGAGAATTGAACTTCTGCAGCCCCATTGGCAAACTGTCAATGATGTTGCCTGAGGCGGAATACTATCCATAGATCTATATTTTTAATGACATGAGGGCTGTCATGGAACTACTAATTCATAGTTAATGTACTGGAATGTAAGAGTTGGCACTGCTTAGTCCCAGAACCCTATTTAGTCGATGAGAAGGCAATATGGTTCAGAACACATTTCACACTTATTTGAAATCAAAGCATGTTTTGATAGTTGTGCAAAATTAAGCCTTTTATGTTCAACATTTTATTATTGCCTGTTGTCTAAGAAATGGCAGGGCTAAAATGTATGTTTATGTGTGCGTGCGCATGTTTGTGCTGTATGTGTGTTGGTGAACGCAACCAACAAATTGTCCTTTTAATTGTGAAATATTCAACTGGCCAATTCTTAGCCAACAGGTAATCATTTTATATGTATTACTAGTGTTTTCCATTTTACATGTCGTTGGCAGTCAAACTTCAACTGTACTTTTTAGTTTATGCATAGCAACATACAACCATTAAATACCCGACAGTACATGATTATAAGTTGTTTAATTTAGTGTTATAATTTATTTGACCCATAGTGGTATTTATTCCTGCTTTTGTCTTCCTTTAATAAACTCAAATTGTGTCTCATTCCATTCTTAAACATGCAGTGAGATTAATTTCAAAGGTATTTTTCATTTTCATTGACCAACCCAAGAGGACTTCATGTTCACAGTTTACTCAAGAGGGGGTAAAATATTCCACCTGTCTATCTGAGTGTTAGTCTCTCTGGCCTGGTGTGGACAGTGATTTGTGAAACAGTAACTCTCATTGGCTATGCGGCAGTCCAATATCTTCCCCCTCTACCAATGAGAAGTTGTTTTGGACACCAAGGTTCAACCCAATCTCTTCATCAATCCTACAGGGGTCAGGCAGGCATGAAGGTGGTCTCTTTCTCAAATGCATATACAGTCGCAACAGCAGCCCAACCTGTGGAATTTTGTAATATGTTTGCCTTTGTACTCAAAACTGGATATTATGACAGAAATGCATGCAGATGTTATTGGTTTGTCATGAAATGACTTTGCTTAATGTTTGATACTGCTGTTTTTTCTGTGAAAACAATAACACAACTGTGGATGCTACAAGAATGTCAATCTTTCTTCTGGACAACGTTTTGTATCTTTGAACACTCGCATTGCTGTCCGGCTGCTGTATTGACTGTCTGGGGATGTGACTGTCTGGGGATGTGACTGCATGTGAAGAAAATCTCTGCCTGTTTTGTTCCTTTTTTTAACACTCAGGCGATTGTTTGCGTAATTCTGGTGGTTCTCTGGTTTAAAAATAATAATAAAGAAAAACAGTTCGATTTTCTCAGATTTCACCTTAGTCTTGCACCGAATCGCCGTATGATTGTGCCTTTTCTTTTGTAACTGTGTATTTTTGCACTGCTCAAGATTAGATCAATATTAGCTTTTAATATGGAAATAATACATGGCACATTTATATTTATGTATGTGCGTTAGTGTCTGAACACTGTTTCACTCTTTGAATATTTCCCACCCAAATGACACGAGGCCAGAGTGTCATTCCACTGTGTGATGGTGGTGACAGTGAGGGCAGGGGTGCAAGGTTGAGGTGGAAGCATGGATGTATACGTCTGTGGGTGGAAGAGGTCACAATGAAAGGCAACAGGGCCTGTATCCGCAAAGCGTCTCAGAGTAAGAGTGCTGATCTAGGATCAGTTTTGTCCTTTAAATCATAGTGAATAAGATTATATGGACAGGGGGGACCTGATCCTAAATCAGCACCCCTGCTCATAGACACTTTGTGAATGCGGGCCCAGATCCTGATGTCTGAACGTAGTACACAAACCACAGAGAAACCAGTATGCCAAGTTACATCTTCTACTTATATGGAGGATGTTTTAGTGTAATTTTTTACAGTAATCCGAATGCGGTAGACTGGTGATGGAAAGGCTGTGAATTTAATTAGTCTGAGCTTATGATCTTGGTCAGGTGTTTTTTGTACTGACAATTACATCTGTGGTGAGTTGCAAAGCCTGCCACAGAACATTGCATTTTGTAAGCTGTTTTCGGCTCACTGAAGGTATTCATCTTCAAGTAACAACGGTAGGGTTACCAATATTGCCCATATTCCTTGAGTGTAAACCATGTTCATTACATTATCCAGTTATGTACATTTTTGACCCAGCAAAAAAGCTCTACCAGAAACCAGAATATTCTCTGTTTCTTCTTTTATCCATATATACAGTGGGGAGAACAAGTATTTGATACACTGCCGATTTTGCAGGTTTTCCTACTTACAAAGCATGTAGAGGTCTGTAATTTTTATCATAGGTACACTTCAACTGTAAGAGACGGAATCTAAAACAAAAATCCAGAAAATCACATTGTATGATTTTTAAGTAATTAATTTGCATTTTATTGCATGACATAAGTATTTGATACATCAGAAAAGCAGAACGCAATATTTGGTACAGAAACATTTGTTTGCAATTACAGAGATCATACGTTTCCTGTAGGTCTTGACCAGGTTTGCACACACTGCAGCAGGGATTTTGGCCCACTCCTCCATACAGACCTTCTCCAGATCCTTCAGGTTTCGGGGCTGTCGCTGGGCAATACGGACTTTCAGCTCCCTCCAAAGATTTTCTATTGGGTTCAGGTCTGGAGACTGGCTAGGCCACTCCAGGACCTTGAGATGCTTCTTACGGAGCCACTCCTTAGTTGCCCTGGCTGTGTGTTTCGGGTCGTTGTCATGCTGGAAGACCCAGCCACGACCCATCTTCAATGCTCTTACTGAGGGAAGGAGGTTGTTGGCCAAGATCTCGCGATACATGGCCCCATCCATCCTCCCCTCAATACGGTGCAGTCGTCCTGTCCCCTTTGCAGAAAAGCATCCCCAAAGAATGATGTTTCCACCGCCGTGCTTCACGGTTGGGATGGTGTTCTTGGGGTTGTACTCATCCTTCTTCTTCCTCCAAACACGGCGAGTGGAGTTTAGACCAAAAAGCTCTATTTTTGTCTCATCAGACCACATGACCTTCTCCCATTCCTCCTCTGGATCATCCAGATGGTCATTGGCAAACTTCAGACGGGACATGCGCTGGCTTGAGCAGGGGGACCTTGCGTGCGCTGCAGGATTTTAATCCATGACGGCGTAGTGTGTTACTAATGGTTTTCTTTGAGACTGTGGTCCCAGCTCTCTTCAGGTCATTGACCAGGTCCTGCCGTGTAGTTCTGGGCTGATCCCTCACCTTCCTCATGATCATTGATGCCCCACGAGGTGAGATCTTGAATGAAGCCCCAGGCCGAGGGTGATTGACCGTCATCTTGAACTTCTTCCATTTTCGAATAATTGCACCAACAGTTGTTGCCTTCTCACCAAGCTGCTTGCCTATTGTCCTGTAGCCCATCTCAGCCTTGTGCAGGTCTACAATTTTATCCCTGATGTCCTTAGACAGCTCGCTGGTCTTGGCCATTGTGGAGAGGTTACGGTCTGATTGAGTGTGTGGACAGGTGTCTTTTATACAGGTAACGAGTTCAAACAGGTGCAGTTAATACAGGTAATGAGTGGAGAACAGGAGGGCTTCTTAAAGAAAAACTAACAGGTCTGTGAGAGCCGGAATTCTTACTGGTTGGTACAGTGAGGGAAAAAAGTATTTGATTCCCTGCTGATTTTGTACGTTTTCCCACTGACAAAGAAATGATCAGTCTATAATTTTAATGGTAGGTTTATTTGAACAGTGAGAGACAAAATAACAAAACAAAAATCCAGAAAAACGCATGTCAAAAATGTTATAAATTGATTTGCATTTTAATGAGGGAAATAAGTATTTGACCCCCTCTCAATCAGAAAGCTTTCTGGCTCCCAGGTGTTTTTTTTTTACAGGTAACGAGCTGAGATTAGGAGCACACTCTTAAAGGGAGTGCTCCTAATCTCAGTTTGTTACCTGTATAAAAGACACCTGTCCACAGAAGCAATCAATCAATCAGATTCCAAACTCTCCACCATGGCCAAGACCAAAGAGCTCTCCAAGGATGTCAGGGACAAGATTGTAGACCTACACAAGGCTGGAATGGGCTACAAGACCATTGCCAAGCAGCTTGGTGAGAAAGTGACAACAGTTGGTGCGATTATTGGCAAATGGAAGAAACACAAAATAAATGTCAATCTCCCTCGGCCTGGGGCGCCATGCAAGATCTCACCTCGTGGAGTTGCAATGATCATGAGAACGGTGAGGAATCAGCCCAGAACTACACGGGAGGATCTTGTCAATGATCTCAAGGCAGCTGGGACCAAATCTTGGGTGAGAACCTCCTTCCCTTAGCCAGGGCATTGAAAATGGGTCATGGATGGGTATTCCAGCATGACAATGCCCCAAAACACACGGCCAAGGCAACAAAGGAGTGGCTCAAGAAGAAGCACATTAAGGTCCTGGAGTGGCCTAGCCAGTCTCCAGACCTTAATCCCATAGAAAATCTGTGGAGGGAGCTGAAGTTTCGAGTTGCCAAACGTCAGCCTCGAAACCTTAATGACTTGGAGAAGATCTGCAAAGAGGAGTGGAACAAAATCCCTCCTGAGATGTGTGCAAACCTGGTGGCCAACTACAAGAAACGTCTGACCTCTGTGATTGCCAACAAGGGTTTTGCCACCAAGTACTAAGTAATGTTTTGCAGAGGGGTCAAATACTTATTTCCCTCATTAAAATACAAATCAATTTATAACATTTTTTACATGCATTTTTCTGGATTTTTTTTGTTGTTATTCTGTCTCTCACTGTTCAAATAAACCTACCATTAAAATTATAGACTGATCATTTCTTTGTCAGTGGGCAAACGTACAAAATCAGCAGGGGATCAAATACTTTTTTCCCTCACTGTAGGTGATCAAATACTTATGTCATGCAATAAAATGCAAATTAATTACTTAAAAATCATACAATGTGATTTTCTGGATTTTTGTTTTAGATTCCGTCTCTCACAGTTGAAGTGTACCTATGATCAAAATTACAGTCCTCTACATGCTTTGTAAGTAGGAAAACCTGCAAAATCGGCAGTGTATCAAATACTTGTTCTCCCCACTGTATATATTTTTTAATATAAGTATTACATTATTCCTTACATTTGTTTTTGTTTTTTACTCTGGCGAATGGTGTGCTATTTGTATGTTTAAAATTGAAATCCTGTTCAATAAAGTAGAGAACCAAAATAATATTGCCTCATGTTATAATGTCATGATTCTATACAGGGATCTCCAAGTTCAACCCCCAGTTCTGGAGAGCTACCGGGTGTGAAGGCCTTTGCTTAGAGCCTGCGAGAAGAGCCCTGTGGCTTCAGGCTATTGGGCGTGGGAAATGTGGGTACCCGGTGTCCAAGTAGGCTACACATAGCGACTGTATGTGTGTGGAAAACATTTAATCACAGATAAGACATGCAACTTGTTTAGTATAGTCCGTTTGTAACGCCACTCAACACTTGTAGCTGTATAGTCTGTTTGTTTGTGTTGTTGGGCTTGGCTAGCTTAATGTTCCGGTCGGTAGCTAGCTAGCGCTCACTCACTCAAGTGGCTGCTAGCACCGTCATGAAAAGAGACATGAAGGAAGCTCTAGCTCTACAATATTGCGTTTTTCTAAGTAGTGAGAATGCTTGGGAGCAGGCAATGATGAAAAGTTATATTTAGACGTTGTACTTTTCTTGAATGGAGTTTTGTAATTGACTAAAACAAGCAGACAATAAAATTGTGTTAGAAAAAGGTGACGTTTTTTGCTGTGAACCAATGGGGTAACCTAGGTAACCACAGGTTGTTTTCCCCACAGGCAGGCGGGGCTGCGACTTTCTATCTAATACCGACTCAGACTCCGAAATCCTTCAACCAGGATTTCTGGGAAACCAGGGAATTTATTGAAAGTTCACAGAATTTTGCAACCCATTGGGTGTGTCAACTTCTCTGCAAGGGAATGGACAATAGACGGATTAAACTGAAACTGAAGCCTGCCCTCTAGCGGTGTGTATTTGTAATTCCACAAGTGCAACATTTGATACTGTGACAGAAGGTCTAATGCCGCGTTCACATGCTAATTGGAACTAGGAAACTGACATTTCCGACTTGCTAACTGGTTGTAGTTATACTTGTTCCGTGTTCAACCAGTTAGCAACTATGAGATTCATAGTTCCGACTAGCACGTGAACGCGGCATAACTCTTAGCGGAAATATTTGTTGTGCTTTTTACTGTAAACAAAAGTAAACGGACATGTTAATCCAAATACTGATGATCTCAGTCATGACATTCACAACCATTAACAACATAAAAATACAATTAACATTGGCAAATGAGCTAAGAAAATAAAAGAATAGCAAACTGCTAAATATATTTCTCCACATTTATCAATTTTGACATTTAGTATTTCAGTAGAGGGAGACAAATGAGTTGTAAAATGAAAAAGAGTGAACAAAACTCGCTAATTATGTACTAGATAAGGGTAATGGGGCTAATCGTGTCCATGTTATGGGACCAGGGAGAGTTCTACCAGGCCTCTGGCCATCTGCTCCTCCATATTGATCTTTGTTTTCTCGGCCACGAGGTCGGAGGCTTCCTTCTGGGCCTCATTGCTCAGCATCTCCACCAGGGTTTGCAGGCCCAGACGCCGGGCATCATCCACTGGCTGGTTATTGAAGCGGTCGCGCTGCTGCAGTGGCAATACAGACACAAATCAATCAGAGACTGTCCTTTTAGGGGTACCCAAGGGTGTGATTATCACAACGTGTGGGGTAGACTAAGGCTACTGGTCCATTTGGAGGTGAGAAATGAGAAATGGTATAACGGATTTCCTCACCTCTGAATTGCAAATGTATCTGAATAAATGTAATTTCTTGTACCAAATACAGTGCATTCGGAAAGTATTCAGACCCCATTCACTTTTTCCACATTTTGTTACATTACAGCCTTATTCTAAAATGGAATATATAAAACATTTTCCTCAATCTACACACAATACCCTATAAAGACAAAGCAAAAACAGGGTTAATCCATTTAAGAATAAGTCTGTAATGTAACAAAATGTGGAAAAAGTGAAGGGGTCTGAATACTTTCCGAATGCACTGTACTATATTAAACCTGGTTGTGAAGAGTTCAATACCTCAAGACTGGAGCCGTTCCTGATGCAGAACCTGACCATGTCTGGCTGGTTAGTGCAGACAGCCTAGAAGAAGCCAAAGTTGCATGATTGTTTTGCATTCATTGCAGTTCTATCCATCAACATGTTTCATTCTGTATATTGGTGTACTTCAATATCATCAAAGAATTAGGTCATGCCAGACCACAATTTCATTCTGACAATATCTAAATCATAGTACTGCTAAGTACAACATCATGTTACAGTGAAGATTTATGGGAAAGTAGAAACCCACCACATGCAGGGGAGTTCTGCCATCGGCGTCAGCAAAGTTGAAGCTAACACCTGCCTGCTTCCACACCTCCATCTGCTTGGAGTCTCCCATGAACGCAAGGCTGCAGACAAGAATGGGCCCTTAATTTCATCTCAAACATGGTGTCATTACCAAAACATTATGGATTCAAAGGGCAGTTCTATGTATGACAGTAAGGAAATCAAACATTTTCATAAAAATTAGATGGATTCAATACATTAAATGTGCAGACCTTCTACACAGAATCTGGGGGGAACAAAAACCTGCAAATGCCATTGCTCTCCAGGACCAGTGTTGGTGACCACCGCTAGGTTATATGCTGTTTTAGTTTACCATAAGATTAAATACATTCAGTAGCTGGCTACTTCTTTTAGCTCACTCACCAACACATCTCAACCCCCAGTTCCAGAGAGGATGTCTCCAGGTGAGCCCCCTCACTCATCAGTTGGGACACCACCTCTATGCTCCTGTACGGACACAATGAAGAGTCGTGTTGGTGAGGGACTCCTGGTAAACAACCTTTAGTCTAGCCATTCATCTCAGATGAGGTCTCCCATTTGGAGATTTAGATACTGATGCATTATAAAAACATGAGGAAAAATGTTTCCTGGAAATCTTTCAAATAATTTGTAAATATATACATTTGCAGTTATTGTATAATTGCCTGCCATTAGAGATGGGGAGGAAAAATGTATACAGTTACATATCGGGATATCTGTATGATATATCGTATGACAATATCGCAATATTATTTTTGCATTAGTTTGCTGTACCTGCACCAAAACTCACCAAAACTCCAGTTTCCTTCATAGCTTGTTCTCTGTCTTCTTTTTAAATAGGGAGCCAATTTGTTTTCAGCACTTTTATTTCCACGTCTAGCTAGGTTTCCATCCAATTGGCGACAGATTTGCATGCAAATATTCAAAATGGTATATACAGTACCAGTCAAAATTTTGGACATACCTACTCATTCAAGGGTTTTTCTTTAATTGTACTATTTTCTACATTGTAGAATAACAGTGAAGACATCAAAACTATGAAATAACACATATGGAATCATGTAGTAACCAAAAAAGTGTTGAACTAATTAAAATATATTTTAGATTTTTCAAAGTAGCCACCCTTTGCCTTGATGACAGCTTTGCACACTCTTGGCATTCTCTCAACCAGCTTCATGAGGAATGCTTTTCCAACAGTCTTGAAGGAGTTCCCACATACGCTGAGCTCTTGTTGGCTGCTTTTCCTTCACTCTGCGGTCCAACTCATCCCAAGCCATCTCAATTGGGTTGAGGTCGGGTGATTGTGGAGGCCAGGTCATCTGATGCAGCACTCCATCACTCTCCTTCTTGGTCAAATAGCCCTTACACATTAAGCGCAAACCAGATGGGATGGCGTATCGCTGCAGAATGCTGTGGTAGCCATGCTGGTTAAGTGTGCCTTGAATTCTAAATAAATCACAGACAGTGTCACCAGCAAAGCACCCTCACACCTCCTCCATGTTTCACGGTGGGAACCACACATGCGGAGATCATCCGTTCACCTACTCTGCGTCTCACAAAGACACAGCGGTTGGAACCAAAAATCTCAAATTTGGACTCATCAGACCAAAGGACCGATTTCCACTAGTCTAATGTCCATTGCTTGTGTTTCTTGGCCCAAGCAAGTCTCTTCGTATTATTGGTGTCCTTTAGTAGTGGTTTCTTTGCAGCAATTCGACCATGAAGGCCGGATTCACGCAGTCTCCTCTGAACAGTTGATGTTGAGATGTGTTTGTTACTTGAACTCTGTGAAGCATTTATTTGGGCTGCAATCTGAGGTGCAGTTAACTCTAATGAACTTATCCTCTGCAGCAGAGGAAACTCTGGGTCTTCCTTTCCTGTGGCGGTCCTCATGAGAGCAAGTTTCATCATAGCGCTTGATGGTTTTTGCGACTGCACTTCTTGAAATTTTCCGGATTGACTGACCTTCATGTCTTAAAGTATTGATGGACTGTCGTTTCTCTTTGCTTATTTGAGATGTTCTTGCCATCATATGGACTTGGTCTTTTACCAAATAGGGCTATCTTCTGTATACCACCCCTACCTTGTCACAACACCACTGATTGGCTCAAATGCATTAAGAAGGAAAGAAATTCCACAAATTAACTTTTAACAAGGCACACCTGTTAATTGAAATGCATTCCAGGTGACTACCTCATGAAGCTGGTTGAGAGAATGCCAAGAGTGTGCAAAACTCATCAAGGCAAAGGGTGGCTACATAAAATATATTTTGATTTGTTTAACACTTTTTTGGTTACTACATGATTCCATATGTGTTATTTCATAGTTTTGATGTCATCACTATTATTCTACAATGTAGAAAATAGTAAAAATAAAGAAAAACCCTGGAATGATTCCAAACTTTTGACTGGTACTGTATATTGATAATTATTTTTAAGAAGAAAAAAAAACGGAGCTCAGTCCGGCTTTCAACTTACTCTTGAAAGTTGTAATAGCAGAATGCACAAGGTGCAATTTCAAAATTGGGTAGTGCATCATCAGTTTTCCTGTTGTCAGAGAGCTATTTATAACTTGGCAGAAATGTTCAGATCAACTAGCCCACATATTTTTTTGATTTTGTATTAATGTTCGAGTCACTCAAATATCACGTGAATACACATTAGACATGGCAAAATGTATAGAATAGCAAGAGAATTAGCTTTAAAACTGCAAAATTTTCTCTCCGCCAACAAGAGGGGTGTGAACAGTTTGTGTCATCAACAGTGCTTGTGCCCATAGAAATAGACGTGGGGCACAGGATGTTCCCCAATGCTGGAAGGGGGGCCTGAGTGAAAAAGTTTGGGAACCCCTGGCCTACATGATGAGATTATTATGGACAAAACAGCCAAGCATCGATCATCATGTCACCAGAATAAGACCCTCGATCTTTATTGGAAAGGAGCATCAAGCTTATCACCGTGCACTTTCACCAACCTGTGAAGTTCATCATAACTTATTTAATCTATAGCCTAATAAACTGCATGCTTTCCTGAGTCGTAGTGGGAGGACCACACAACATGTTATCACGTGACTCCAAGTTTACTTCGATATAATGGTTACTATATCAATATTTGCGCATAAAAGCTTTTCCACAGACATTTCTTGCTAATTAATTGTACCGACACAGAAAGATCCCACCTTGTCTACCGTATTCTGTTTTGTCGACATTTAGAATGTGTACATACAAATGAGCTGTTTCCATCAGGCCTGTCATGACATGTTTTATCCAACATGTACTTTACTTGAATAAATAGGTTTGATGGAAACCTGGTAACTAATCAAAGCTTGTCTTCTCATGGCACTCTCTTGTCCCTCTGCAGAAGACATATGGTGAGCAATATGTTTGGAACATCGAATCGCAATAAAATCACAGTATCGAATCGCAATACATATAGAATCGTGAGAATCGCAATACATATCGCATTGCAGGACTCTACTCTGACCTTTTTTACAATGAGCACGTGTGCGCCTAAGTTGAAAAATGTAGGCGCACACAAAGAAATGTAGGAGCACAATGAGAAATATTTGAGGTAATAAAGCTTGAATCTGTAATTTTTCTAGGCGCACCGGTGCTCCTAGATAAAAAATTCCAGTTCGCACAGCAAAATATTTAGGCGCATATTCGAGTAATGGTCGGACTATAGAACTAATATCGTATTGTGAGGTCCCTGGCCATTCCCAGCCATACATGCCATTGATGGAATCAGAAGTAAACAGTGGCATAAGACTGGCACCAATACTCACTCACTACTGTAAGTTCCTCTGGATAAGAGCGTCTGCTAAATGACTAAAATGCAAATGTGAAAATGTAAATACCACTGGGCCCCACCAGACAGAGAACCGAAGATTGAGGTTTGTTTTCTCACTTGCAGCGAATGCCATCTCGGAGAGCAGTTTCTCTCGCACAATCCCTAACGTTGACGTCCGCTCCCTTCTTCAGCAGGAATCGGACAGTCTCGACATCCCCCTCACCAGCAGCCAGGTGGAGAGGTGTCCTCCCATGTCTGTCTGACACAGACACATCAGCTCCCTAAAGCATGACAGTCAACATGGCAGTAAACAATTTGGGATGAATTTCCTAAGTATCAACACTTACATAAACCGAATTAAATTCCTCTAAATTATGATACTGTAATGTTTTCATGAACTAGTAAGGTTAGGTTACAGGATTCCCTTCCCACAAATTCAGTTGTATGACACAGTAGCTAGCTGTTTTCATTACCTAACTAAGTAGTACTAGCTAGGCTAATAGTAGTTACCTATATAACTGTAGTGAATTGGGGCGGTAACCCCGACCGGGACTCGAACCTGGGTCCAATGACTGTCAAGCAAACACCTTAACCGATAAGACAAAAGGTCCAAACCCCTTGACGAGGTCGCTACATTACCCCCTTACTTCGAGGGAGCGTGTACCCATGCTTCTCTATACCAAATCCCTCACGTGTACACGCCTCTCTGATGGCTTAACAGGCGTCATCCCACTTCTGACACCAGTGTAGTGTGCGACAGGGCAGGGAAGCAAACCAGGGTCGCTGGTGTGAAAGGCAAACACCCTACGCATCGCGCCAAATAGGGTTAACCCACTTGGTGAGAATTGTAACTTGGCTCGCTACATCATAAGAAAAAAGCATGAATAGAATAATATAGTTTTTTCTAGCTAATAATACTCTAGCTAACGTTACCTGCTGTAAGTGTCCCTCAAGACCAACAATGTCTCCTTGCAAAGCAGAGGCATTCAACAGCATGGGGAAAATGGCAAGCTGGCACACCTTCATCTCCTACAGTAGTGAATTCCGAGTTAGAACAAGAAAATGAACCTTGCAATTGGCTGACTTGAATTGTAGTATAATGGACTATAGTTTCATATTGACATTGACTAATTGACTTGACTGAAGAACACAAGACAGATCACCAATAACGTTATACGTTTGACCGACTGTGATTGATGCATCCAACGGTTAGCTAGCTGGCTAGAAGCTGAAATAGTTCAACGCTAACGCTAGTTAGTTAGCGTTTAGTAACTACTCTATAACGTTATATGGGTTTACTAGCTAACGTTAGCTTGCTGGCAAAACACACCAACCTTTGCCATATCATCAGTCCCCAACCACCCCAGACGTATGGATGATGCCACAGCTGACCAAAATCTGTAAACTTCCTCAGGGATCTTTCCTTTTGATTGATAAATACCCATGGTGGCGAATTACTAAGCTCTCACAATATATACTTTTATTGTGAGGCAACACCACTGCAAGGACTGGCTGGGGGTAAAAATAATGAAATGATTGTTCACCAACATTACAAATAAATAAATGGTTTCCCGGGTTCGAAAGTTCCCACCCGTCACGTGACATAGCACATGCATATCAAACATATGTGATTCGTTAACTTGCTGAATTTATTGTAACGTAACTTCATGAACATACCATTCAAAGTGTTCACAAATGCAAGCATTGTCATTTACACAGTGGTGGAAAAAGTACCCAATTGTCATACTTGAGTAAACGTAAAGATACCTTAATAGAACATGACTCAAGTAAAAGTGAAAGTCACCCAGTAAAATACTACTTGAGTAAAAGTCTAAAAGTATTTGGTTTTAAATATACTTAAGTATCAAAAGTAAATGTAATTGCTAAAATATACTTAAGTACCAAAAGTAAAAGTATAAATCATTTCAAATTCCTTATATTAAGCAAAACAGATGGCACAATGTTCTTGTGTTTAGTGAGTCCGCCAGATCAGATGCAGTAGGGTTGACCAGGGATTTTCTCTTTAAGTGCTTGAATTTGACAATTTCCCTGTCCTGCTAAGCATTCAAAATGTAACGAGTACTTTTGGGTGTCAGGGAAAATGTATGGAGTAGAAAGTACATTCTTTTCTTTAGGGATATAGTGGAGTAAAAGTTGTCAAAAATATAAATAGTAAAGTAAAGTACAGATACCCCCAAAAAACTACTTAAGTAGTACTTGAAAGTTATTTTACTTAAGTACTTTATACCACTGCATTTACATTAATTGATTGATTTATGTTTGTCGTCTGTATGGGGAAATAAATACCTATCCTTTTTGCGGCAAAATATCCACGACTATGATTGGTTGTGGTGGTATGCCGTAAAGCGTTTTGTGCCGGCGCTGTCGTATAAATACCATTCGGACTCTTGAACAGTCTCTTTTCGTAAATCTTCAGGAACGGTTTGGTGAACCAACAGGCTGACATAATCTGTCGGCGGTGCTGCTAATGGCAGTAATGAAGGTACAATTTAATTCCCGAGTCATATTTAATATATTAATGCATGTTGTGTATCCACTATGTTTTGGAACCTCTCAATTTCCTATGATTAGTTGTGATATTGCTGCCCTGCCACGTGGTGTATTACAGATGACCAGGTAGCTAGCTAACATTACCTCGCTAACGTTTGCAAAAGCTAGTTGGATGCTTAACTATAAGGTAGATGGCTGACTACTATTTTGGGACATGGCTTGTCTGTTGGCTAATAACTTGCATATTGTGGTGGCAACCTATGCTAACTTTATAGTTTCTAGTTAGCGAACGTTAGATGGCCTATTAACAGGCCCAAAGATTACTAGCTGGCTAAATGCCATGTGCACCGCTACTTATGGAGTTTCCTAGATTCAGTGGGTGAATTCCATGGATGTGACATGGCTATAGAACTGTCGGGTTTGCTTTCATCTCTACATATTAATTGTATTGGTGACAATGAGGCCCGAAACATCCTCGCAAACCAACCGTAACCTAGCTAGTTGGCTAAATACAGGCTGAGGTTAGCTAATTCATCTGTAACGCCAGTTATGGTAATCTAGGACTAGTAGATAAGTACTTAACCCAAACTAATATAAACTAGCTAGCTAACAACATTACTGATAAATCCAAGCCTCAAATTATGTTAGTTGCCCGTAGTTCTGCCAAACCGCACATTAATTTATAGATTTTGCTACACATTCCTTGTTCCCTCTGTGATCCGTCATAATCTAACATAACTCATTGCAGGAAACGACAGGCCCAGCATTTGGTATTCTTGAGGCGCGCCAGAACTCCATGCACCATAAGAAGCTTTGCCATGTGGTAAGCCATTTTCCTGTCTTGTCCATGTCTTTGCAAGCATAGCGCCAGTTGGGGCCTTGACACCGTGGGCCTTAGTGCTGGAGCAGTGCACATAGCAATCCATTCTCTTGCAACCCACTGCTGTGCTCACCTAGCAGCAGTGTTACTTACGAGACTGGACATCAATCTGGAAGCCAATTAATACAAAGTATTTGCATCTTATCGGTGCCTCTTTCTTTCAGGGAAGAGCTTAATATGAAGCTGTTTCTTTCGAGCCTAAACTCAGGTATGTTTGATAGCCTCTTAAGCTTTATATTTTAATGGAAGTAATGATGAATGGCTTAAATGTTCAACTGCTCTGAATTGTGATTAAGGTATGCCTTTCTGAACAAACTGGGGACTGAAACTCTGTAAACCGACATTCATATGTGTTTTATTCACTACTTTCCATTGCTTCAACAGCTTCAAGGGGCAAATGTGAGTTGCCCTGTATACCCAAGTGTTCCTGAGCGTATGGTCATTGGCATGGTTAGTTTGTTTTTACAAAATTGTAATCTAATGGTTAACTCAAAATAACATTGGCATGCACCTAAATTAATAGTGAGTAGGTACTTTAACCACTTGAAATGCCTAGTTAACTTTTGTTATTTATCTAATCAACCTCAACACGAGTGCTTCATATTTTAAACCTTCCTGTGCTGTACTGAGGTCTATCCCGACAGACTCCTCACTGTGGGCCCTAGTCGTTGGAAATGCCTCAAAGAACAAATCTGTGGTTTCGCTTTACTCACATGGCTACTGCCATTAGCCCTGTGGGATATTACTGCAGTACAAATACTCAAAATTGCAGCTCTATTATGAAGTAAAGTTGCATGCTTCTAATCTCCTTCCTCTTGTCTGATGTAGGTCTACCAGATGACCACAAGATGGCTCTCAAGCCGTGATGCCCAACAAGGGCTCTTTTGGTGAGCATGAACGAGGGCTGACCCCATTTAGTCTACTTGTATAAATTCTTTGGGCACGCAGGCAAACTTTTTTGTAACGTTTTAATTGACGCCTGTCTCGGTGGACTAATCCATTGCGGAGGCTGTGTGGATGGCACACAGTAGCCCACATTTACTGTTGCTTTCTAATCTGCAATGTCTGTTAAAGCGTTCACTTTATTTTTTGTCTACTCTGTTTAATGTGTCCAAAATATAGTTTTTACCTAAAAGAATGATGGTTATGACTTGGCCCTGCAGACCATCTGATCTGAGAACAACTTAAGTTTCTGTCATTTGATTTTATGTTTTTAACCCCTGGGGTATATGGGGAGGAATAGACTGATCACAGCACTGCATGGTATCTGCAGCCAGCCGCTACTCCGGTTGGCCTGTTCATTAGTCAGTGCAAGAGCAACTCGGCATATGGCATCGTTGGTCTCCATGTCTTGTGTGTGGAGTCCTGGTATATCTGTCGAGACAGACATTTCACTTATCAGCAAGTTTTCATCATTGAACTTCCAGGATGCAAATTTAATATTGTGTTCTCTTGACAGGCCTGTCATGTGCCGAGGGGTCTGAGAAGGTAATGATTAAAAGTGAGTATTTGTTTTCAGTCTCTTGTAAAGCTAGCAGAGGGCACATTGAGTAGCACTGTATGGTATCTGCAGCCAGCCCTCACCACAGGCTGTTCTGTTCATAACACAGTGCGAGAGCAAATCTGCATCTGGCATCGTTAGGCTCTGGGCTAGTCTGTGCCTGGAACCCTGGTATTTGTGCTGAGAACACTTTCCCTCCGCTTCTCTAAAGAGCTGGCATCCACAAAACGCAAGGCCTCTAGTGCGCATTGTCAGAAATCCCTGGCATACCCAACAGCGCCAGGGCAAGAACATTAATTTGATGCGCTGCTCCCTGACAATGATTCCCCAAATGAAGACTGTCAATGTATGAAAGTAATGCTTTTGGGCATTTTAGATTATGGTCAAATGTGCATTAAATCTAAGAGTATGCACTACTGGCTACGATGTATGATAAATGCCCTGTTGGAGTGTCAATGTATTGAGTTAATTAAAGCTGCTGACTTCACTTCAGGTATATCAGGACTGGTCTTCTGCTCCAATACACCAGGACTTGGCTGAATGATTTTATCTCCCAGTGAAGGTAACTTTTTGTCTACCTGGACTTATTGGATGTTATCTGTTTGGTCATATACCAAGGCTCTTGGGATATTCAGTTCCTGACTTGCTGTGGAATTGACCATAAAGTAAACTTCATTCTAGTGGGTCTCGCCAGCGCCATGCTGGGGTGCTCTATTGGAAACAGTGCCATAACATAACCTTAGCTGAGGAGTTACCCCAATGAATTTGTATTTAACGTAAATACATTTCTTTCAGGTTGAGCATGCCTGGCCTACTGTAATGACCAGAGTAAGGTGAGAAGCTACTCAGTGCAATGTGTGCCGGATCATTTTCAAAGGGGGCCTGTCAGGCTTTCCCACTGCCTGTCCTTCACGCAGTGATCCCACAGCAGCGCCCCTGGTGACAAACGGCAGATCCTTTTTGCCATGGGTGTTCTGCAGTCTCCACAGGCAACACAACTTTTATCGCCCGATACTACATCAGTGGTTAAAGCAGAACCCTTCACATCTGCACCTAGATCTATGCATGAAAGAAATTGGTCATGGGGGTTGTGGTTTTTCAAATGTATTTCTATCAACAGGTGATCTGTATGTTTCAGCCCTGCGTACACCCATCAAGTTAAGACGTTCATGCCTTCAAACTCATCAAGATGAATGTCTTTCTCCAAGCATTGATTTAGAATGCATTTGAAGATGGCACAATCTGACCAGTTGAGTTTCTAACAATTTCAATAAAACGTTTGGTTATCTAATTACTGACTACTTGCTGCTTTTATACTGAACAAATATAGACATGTAAAGTGTTGGTTTCATGACCTCAAATTGAAGATCCCAGAATTTTCAATATGCACAGAAAGTTTAATGTGCAAATTTCTCCTTTGCTGAGATTATCCAGCCACTTGACAGGTGTCATATCAAGAAGCTGATTGAACAGCATGAACATTACACAGGTGCGCTTTGTGCTGGGACAAAAGGCCACTAAAATGTTCAGTTGTCACCACAATGCAGGAATGTCCGCCAGATAAATAATTATTTCTCTACCATAAACTACCTCCAGTGTAGTTTTAAAATTTGGCAGTTCATCAACCGCAGACCACGTTATCACACCAGCCCAGGGCCTCCATCTGGCTTCTTCACCTGTGGGATTGTCTGAGACCAGCCACACGGACAGCTGATAGCTACTGTATCATTCTTTGGGTGTGCCATGCCCACTTGTGAAATTCATAGATTAGGGCCTAATTTCAATTGCCTGATTTTCTTACATTAACTAACTCGGTAAAACTTATTTTTTATATTTTCAGTGTAGATGCATGTCTTTTTGTTATTAGGGATGTTTGACACTAAAGCTCACAGTTTGCAGCATATTGTCTTTGGCGCAGGCCTCTCTTCATCCAAAGATTTAGACTGAAGTACAAAGTTTGAAGGTGTGCTATCAATGTTTCATATATTGTGGTTCTGCCTTATAGACTGCAATGTTTTATAAGATTAACAGATCTGCTGGTGTTTCCATAAGAGAAGGAGATCTTCACATGGGAGACTGTAAATAAGCAGATTCTTCAAAGTGTGCCTTTGCTATGGGTCTTGTGTGGGTTAGGGCAGCACTCCTGTCTACCTTAAATGTGGGCAAAGTTCAATCATGCTGTTAATGCATATCTGCACATGGGTCTGTCACTCGTTGTTGGGGAGGTGGGCGTTAAGATGTGATTTGGGACCTGTCTGCCGTACTGTTGGTACTCTGCCAACGCTGGACTGGTTCTCAGGATTTCATATGGGTCACAGGGAAGAGATTAAAGGCTTCACTTCAGTGAGCAGAGCCTGCCCAAGTCCTCCATTTACATGCGTTTTGTTCACCCCGCTGTTTGTGGTTAAATGTCACTCAGCACATGCATCCTCTGTAATGGGGGGTTTCCGAAGTTGGTGTGAACGTACGCCCAGTGCATAGGCCCTGTCAATAGGCTTGAAGGTCATGGTGAGTTGGAAAGCAGCAAGTCGGCCAATTAGAAACCTGCTAGAATACTCATTGCACAAATGTGTGCTGACGTGCAATCAAAGAGCCTGAAACTCAAAAGGCTCTTATAATCCATGCACTATTTCCAGAACACTGCACCTCGCCCGTCTCACGTTGGTCTCTAAGCTGGGCTTCGATGCAAGTATAATGTGTAGGATAGAGATTATCATTATTTTGGGTGTTGCTCCTTAGAATAGTTCAACTAAATTGTGTTTGGACACAGGCATAAATGTAGTTCCCACTGTATTATCACATTTATTTGCCCTGATGTTGCACTACATAATCCCTCCCTCGCATTACAGCTGTTCAAAAAATCTGCTTGAGTTTTTCCCAATTTGTGTCCTCAGCTCTGGTTCATACTTTTGAGCTGATCTGTAGTGATGGAACTTGAGTATTTTTTTATGTCTTGTGCCTTATTCTTTTCATCCTAGGGCTTGCCCAAGTAATATCTCAGGAAATGTACCAACCGATGAGAGGAATCTCATTGAGGGTTTATGCTCTCATTAAATTGAGGATCAAACAGTATGGGGCTCTTGTGTTTCTGTGCCAAGAACAGTCTGTACAGATCCTGCTGTGAACTGCCTGCCGTCCACTCCTTCAACCCTCTAATTTACTGCTCGTGTCAATGCTGTCCTCCATCAATGTAGAAAGAAATGCATTATAACTTAGGTTTTCAGTTCTCATATTAATTAGCCTATTTCGCCTAGCATCAGTAGAGAATATCAAATCTAAGTTTCTGTCACAAGTGCCGAATACAACAGGTTTAGACTTTACCGTGAAATGCTTACTTAGGAGCCCTTTCCCCAAAAGTAAGAAAATCTGCAAATAACTGTTCAGCAGTTTTATGGCTTGGGGGTAGAAGCTGTTCAGAAGCCTTTTGGTCCCAGACTTGGCACTCCGGTATAGGATATGTACAGTATTGTTTTGAACTGTATACCAGTTGGAGTGGGGTGGGGCATAGCTTTTTATCTAAAGGGGAATATGAACTGCATGTTTATTTTCAAGATGCTCAATCGTGTTCTATCTGATCACAGGGAGGAGTAGGCCTAGATATTTTCCCCTAAATATGGAAATACATGCTCTTGCAGTTTCACAAAAGTAAAAGTCTATAGCATCACATGTATTAATCCGTACAGTATTTAAATGTGGTAAATGCTATTCATCAGACGCCCCTAGAAATTGTTCTAACAACTTGATGAACCTTCAGTTCAAGTCTAAAATAACCAACTCAGCAACTCCTTCAGACCCATAAATCTACGTTCACTAGTCCATGTCAATCCAAGGAAAGGGGAGGTGGTGGAAATGGCACTAGAGAAACACAGTAACATACAAGCACTGCAGCAAGAATACAAAAAAACATCTGAAGGGAAATGTCCTTTGAACTGAACAATGCCATATTTTCCACCCCCTCAACTGGGCCCTAGCTTTGCGAGATCAGAGTGGCTGTAGGATCTTATCACTGCCACAGACAAAAAGGAGCTTGTTGTTTTATGGCTCCGGTCAGCTAGGGCCTTAGTTACCACCAGTCATAGCCTGTGAATAATTAAACAGCTGTCTACTTTTTATTCTGAAGCAAGGCCTTGTCTGGTCCGTGAGTGTAGGAGGGGTGATGGAGCTACCGAGAGTATGTCCTTTACTACCCACTATCTACGAAATAGCAGTCAGTCGATGGTGATTGAGATGGAACTTACACTGTATGACATGACTTCACCACCTGTACAAGTCTGTCCTCCCACCTGCAGGTTCAAAGAAATTGACCTGAGAAAAAGGCATTTAAGCGTACCTGTTTTTGCCTTTGTAAAGACACTCTACAAAGACGTATGAATGTTGCGCTCTACAAAGCACAATGGAACCACTGTCCTGAGGGATTCCTGACATCAATGGTGATTATGATTTAGTTAGTTCCTTTGCACAGAGAATACCATGAATAACTAATTTGTACCTTCTGTTGTCTCAGTCTTTGGATTTCTGTCAAAAATAAATCATAGAAAAGCTAGTTTGTTGGCACAATTCCAGCACCTTCAAAATCGGTCAGTGCTATCTGGGATCCTAGTGACTTCCCTACCCTAAACCCTAACCTTAACTAAACATTTTACATTTCAACTTCAATGGGGGGTAGGGAAGTCGCAAGGATCCCAGATAGTATAGACCCTTCAAAATCCCAGTCTGGTAGGTAGTAAGGTCAGAGTTCAAAAACTCTTTCAAGATCTTGTTTACCTATTGGCATCATCACCAGTGTCATTTACCAATGCATTGACTGACCAAGCCATGAATTCTGAACCTCCATTGAGTGATGCTCTGAGTGGAATCCCATAAATCAGGCTACTTGTTTCTTTGTGTTCAACATCAACTCTTACCATGCTGCTATCTGCTTTGCGGAGCTGATTAACTTTACATCAAAAGAAAGTGAGTATTGTGATTGAGTTAACAGGGCCCCATTGTTAAGATTACGAATGTATAATGTGTCAGAGGTTGTCAGACATCAAGCGTGTTGTCCCCCAGTTTCGGCTATCAATCAGCCTACCCTGCAACTCTGATTACTGTAATAATCTTACTTTAATTTTAAATTGTATTTATGTGGAGAGGGAAATTAGTCTTAATTCTTTCAATGCAACCCCCTACAAAATCTTAACCATATAAGTAGGCCACCTATAGGACCAAAACCTGTGTGAGTAACTGCAAGCAAACAGTTCATGAATTTCAGATGGTGATAGGTAAGTATATAAGACATGTATGGACAGTGGACAGGCTATTAATGTCCTAGAGATGACTGTTTTTGGATGTGATGTGCACTGATGTAGTAGGCCTATCTTGCATGGTTGAATTGTAAGATGTCTGGGGTTTGTCCTCAGACAATTTTATGCATTACAAATCATGCATATATGAAACAGTGAGACAAAATACTTAATTTGTCATCACATTTTGCATTGGCCCTGTATTTGCTCCATGATGGCCCTGCCATGACGCCATAGGAAATGTGAAACTACATGTCCCAACATGCCCGTGTGACAGAGCAGGTCCTCCCCTTCTTTTGAGTGGCAAGTTGTTTGTTTCACTGTTACCAGCTGCTGGACTATTCCAATCCCTGTCGGAGAGAATACACGGGGACCGACAGTCTTTCTCTCTTTTCTCCCTCATTGTGATTCTTTTATCATACCTCTCTTTCACTCTTTTCCTAAGTGGATAACTTTCCCTTCTCCCTCCCTTGCTTTCTGCTCCGTTTCACGGTTTTTATAAGCTATATAGGTGTATTTATTTGTTTTTTTATTAGAAAGGATATACATTTATATTTTAGATGTTCCTCAAATGAGAAGACGCAAAAGATGGAGTTGCATATTTTAGAACACAGCTTGAAAGTAGCGAGTATAGCAAAAGAGGGCATTCAGATTTGCACTCACGGATTAATCAAACTCGCCTTCTTGCCCTCTAAAACAAGGTAAGTAGCTTTATAGATATTAACAATGTTATTAAATCCGCTACAATAAAGAAAATGAATCATCATTAATATATTATTGGGCAGTAATGTTATTGCAAACTAATTGCGCGACTAGATACAATGTTACCGATCGTTGTGGCAAAGCAGTCCAATTGTAATTATGTCTTCAGCAGTTATCTTTTTAGCTTTCAATGAAAATGCATGCTCTACTTTTGCATGAGTCAATGAGTGCTGCCAGTATTCTTTAAATTCAGTATTTAGTTTTGCATTGTCATTTTCTTCAGCTTTTGTGCTTTTGTAGTCCGGTCGACGTGAAGGGGTGTGTAGTCTACGTGCTAATGCCGCGTTCAAGTCGTGTCGGAAACTCGGAAATGTCCTACTTGCTTACTTGTAGAAAGATGATACTGGATATAATGAGGCATGTGACTCCGCCCTAACAATGGGATTCGTTGTCCACAGACCGGAACGTCGGGCTGTCAAGCTCCCGCCTATTCATCGCTTTGGTTTGGTGGATACATCTTATTTTAATATATTATTTTAACAATCGAAGAGGGGTGTTGACATCAACCGCCTGTATTCAATGGAGAGTGAGATGCTATGCTAGCTTCATGAATATGCATAGGCCATCTCGAATTTCAGCAGGGACAACTCCTATATTGGGTTTTTTCTCAGTTGCCGGGATGTCACGTGCATCACACGTATATCACTGCACTCGTAACAACCTAGACATTACAACATTTATATTAGATCAAATAAGCCTCAAGTATCAAAATAGCAATTCATTTTAATCTTGACTAAATTCAACACTCATTTCTCCTCCCCATACAAAAACTCCTTACTTGCATTATAGTCAATGATCTGCTTAATGTGGGGCGGAGTTAACCCTCTTGCTTCGCTTCTTGTTCATGAGCTAGTCGGAACTAGGAAACTCGAGAATTTCTGGTTGTAGTTATACATGTGCTACGTTCAACCAGTTAGCAAGTCGTACATTTCTTAGTTCCGACTAGCACTTGAACGCGGCATTCCACTGATGATACCGGAGTTTCCCACTTGGGAAGTAGAATCAACCAATAAAAAGCTCTAAGCAAATAACGTATGTTCATTTTAACTCGGAGGTCCCGAGTTTCCCACATGTCGTGAACGCGGCATTGCAGCTATGCGGTGTTGTTTTTCGTTGTGTGTGGGTGTAAAATTATATGCGGTGAGGTGGTTGCTTTACATCAAATTTGAACCGGCGGCGTGAGACATTATGGCGAATACATAATTTGCGATGTTGCAATCATGATTTGGTTAGCAAGCAAATCGATTTGTTGCCGTGGATGTGAACGCGCTTGCCCGGTAGTTGTGTTTCTGGCTACAGTCTTTCTCGGTTTTTAATCAATTGAATAGGTTATAATTAGGGCTTCACAATAACGCTGTCTTTTTTTCCTAATTCATTTCACCTGGCATGATGAGGATAGGGCAGGTTATAGGTAGATTATCTTCTGTAAGCCTATTGCAAAAGTTATATTTATATGATGGAATGCCACTGTAAATGTGCTGTGAGCATATTATCAATAGGCTACTCTAACCTAAACTTCGTTAGTGCTATTTTCCTCAAGTGATTATTTCCTCAAGGCCTATTCTTATCACTGCAATGTAGGCTACATCTGTGAGAAATAGGCCTACAGGCCAATAATATAACAGTTTTGCATTCCAACAAAGATCTTGTGATCCTTGCTGTTATAACTGCACCAGGACACAAGTTGAAGGCAAGTATATTTTAGTGACACATTAATGACACATGGGATTGAAAAGGCCATTGGCTAGCCTATATTTACCAAGCTCTCCTCAAGGCAAATTCTCCTCCACCTTTCAGTGACCTTTTTAGGTGTGCTGTGGTGACCCCTGAAAAATACTTGAAAAGGAGGTAGAGGTCCACAGAATGCAGTATAAATGTGTGTTGCATCGCACAGCTTGGGAGCGTAAAACATTCATTTAGGTTAACATTTTGCAGTGGTATGGTCGGATGGAAATGTATATAGAAACCATATCCCACAACCTTTGTTGTGTAGATCCATCTTTGTCTCAAATGAATAGAAAAGATGAGCACCGTATAATTTCCTGGTTTTAGTTGGTGCTTATCTTTTTAATTCATTTGGGGTGGAGGCATATAGCTGGATCTACACAACCGATGTCGTGGGATCTGGTTTCATCTTGACAGACTACTTTAGAGGTATTATAATGTCTGACAAACTATGATTTGAAAGTGTATTGATGTTTAAAGAAGTGTTTAAAAATGCAGATAAAGATACTGATAGCTCAGACTCTCCATGAAGTAAAACAGCAGTTATAGTATAGAAATTAGAAGACAAACGTTTGAAAGATCTTATTTCCTGATGCACAGACAGAACTGAATGGAAATAGATGCATCTGTCATTAAACATAGCTTGTGGTTTCCCCTCATATCTTGAAGTGTTTCATTGCTTCCATTGTTGGCAGACAGAGCTGGATGCACCAAGTTGGTCTGTTTTCAGAACATTGTTTTGCCTCAAGTGGGACGATAAAGTCTTTGACAGTCTTCGTCTATGATTTGGGCCTTGTTGCAGCTGTAATTTCATGGCATTTCTACTATTTGGGAGTCACTAATAGATTTGCCTACTACGTTTCTATATCTGCTGTCCCCCCCCGTCACATACAGTACTGATTGCGTCCAATTTCGAGTCAAGTAATGGAAGGTTGTTAATTGCTCAAGGGTGTTGTAACAGCTTGAATCAAACTCATTTAGAAGCTCCCTGTGAAGTGCCTTGCATTCATGTAGAATGTGAGGGGTGTTGACTAAATGTCGAGCCACACAAACACAAGGCGCTGGCTTGGAAGCTGCTTACCACCTAGAATGTTGTTGATGGCCTTCTCCCTAAATGTGCTGTCTCACTGTTGATCTAGCATTGATATAAAGAAATCTTGGTTGTGTGTTATGGACACTGTCAAATATGGATAGTGAATATCAGGAAGTGTTGTTGATTTATGTATGACACAATCCTGTCATATGTGCCGTGAAAAAGTATTTGCCCCCTTTCTAATTTTCTCTACCTTTGCATGTTTTTGATACTGAATGTTATCAAATCTTCAACCAAAGCTAATATTAGATAAAGGGAACCTGAGTGAACAAATAACACAAATTACATACTTATTTCATTTATTTAATAAACAAAGTTAGGCAACACCCAATGCCCCTGTGTGAAAAAGTAATTGCTCCCTTACACTCAATAACTGGTTGTGCCACCTTTAGCTGCAATGACTCCAACCAAACGCTTCCTGTAGTTGTTGATCAGTCGCTGTGGAGGAATTTTGGACCACTCCTCCATGCAGAACTGCCAAGCATAAAGGGACCCATGTTGTCCAAAAAGTTTACTTTTAACTCATCTGTCCATAGAACATTCATCCAAGAGTCTTGATGATCATCCAGGTGCTTTTTGGAAAACTTTAGTCAATTTTTTGGACGACATGGGGGCTATTATGCCTGCGAAAACCAAACACTGCATTCCTCAGTAAGAACCTCATACCAACGGTCAAGCATGGTGGTGGTAGTGTGATGGTTTGGGGATGCTTTGCTGCCTCAGGACCTGGGAGACTTGCCTTAATAGAAGGAACCATGAATTCTGCTCTGTATCAGAGAATTCTACATGAGAATGTCAGTCTGTGAGCTGAAGCGCAGCTGGGTCATGCAGCAAGACAACATGAAAATGACTAAGAAGCCACAAATTTGAAGTTTTGGAATGGCCTAGTCAAAGTCCAGACCTAATCCCAATTGAGATGTTGTGGCAGGACTTGAAACGAGCAGTTCATGCTTGAAAACCCACAAATGTCGCTGAGTTAAAGCAGTTCTGCATGCAAGAGTAGGCCAAAATTCCTCCACAGTGATGTGAGAGACTGATCAACAACTACAGGAAGCATTTGATAGCAGTCATTGCAGCTAAAGGTGGCACAACCAGTTATTGAGTGTAACATGCTCTCTAGACCGGGCACTCGCATGTTGATTTTGTACATCCACACCAGACGCGATCCAGACACGCAGGTTGAAATATCAAAATGAACTCTGAACCAAGATGCTGGAGGAAACAGGTACAAAAGTATCTATATCCACTGTAAAACGAGTCCTATATCGACATAACCTGAAAGGCCGCTCATCAAGGAAGAAGCCACTGCTCCAAAACCGCCATACAAAAGACAGACTATGGTTTGCAACTGCACATGGGGACAAAGATCTTACTTTTTTGAGAAATGTCCTCTGGTCTGATGAAACAAAAATATAATTGTTTGGCCATAATGACCATCGTTATGTTTGGAGGAATAAGTGGAAGGCTTGCAAGCCGAAGAACACCATCCCAACCGTGAAGCACAGGGGGGGCAGCATCATGCTGTGGGGGTGCTTTGCTGCAGGAGGGACTGGTGCACTTCACAAAATAGATGGCATCATGAGGAAGGAAAATTATGTGGATATATTGAAGCAACATCTCAAGACATCAGTCAGGAAGTTAAAGCTTGGTCGCAAATGGGTCTTCCAAATGGACAATGACTCCGAGCATACTTCCAAAGTTGTGGGAAAATGGCTTAAGGACAACAAAGTCAAGGTATTGGAGTGGCCATCACAAAGCCCTGACCTCAATCCTAAACAAAATGTGTGGGCAGAACTGAAAAAGCGTGTGCGAGCAAGGAGGCCTACAAACCTGACTCAGTTAAACCAGCTCTGTCAGGAGGAATGGGCCAAAATTCACCCAACTTATTGTGGGAAGCTTGTGGAAGGCTACCCAAAACATTTGACCCAAGTTAAACAATTTAAAGGCAATGCTACCAAATACTAATTGAGTGTATGTAAACTTCTGACCCACTGGGAATGTGATGAAAGAAATAAAAGCTGAAATAAATCATTCTCTCTACTATTATTCTGACATTTCACATTCTTAAAATAAAGTGGTCCTAACTGACCTAAGACAGGGAATTTTACTAGGATTAAATGTCAGGAATTTTGAAAAACTGAGTTGAAATGTTTTTGGCTAAGGTGTATGTAAACTTCTGACTTCAACTGTATGTGTACATTTCATTTGCAACCCAAACGGTGTGGTCAGCATGTAAGGGGGCAATTACTTCTTCACACAGCGGAATTGGTTGTTGCATAACTTTGTTAATTAAATAAATAAAATCTAATATTAGGTTTTGGTTGAAGATCTGATAACATTCAGTGTCAAAAATATGCAAAAAATTTGAAAATCAGAAAGGGGGAGAATACTTTTTCTCGGCACTGTACAACAGAGATTATATGGTACTTATCAAAAATAATTTGATATGAAAATCCATTAACTGAATCTCAGAAGGTATGTTGTTGGTCTATGTCAAAACATATCCTGATGTCTGAAGAGACATGGTAAAGTTTGTAGTACTGTACCGTTACATATTCATTCCAGCAGGAAGCCTTGGGTAAATTACGGAATTAGGCTGAGACTTTGATTTTTCACTTTAAAATATGCTAAACAAGAACCATTGATTTCAAAGTTTAATAAACCAACAACTCTATGCCTACTTTGAACAATTTACAGTAAACAAACAAACAAAAAACATTTACTGGAAAAACTGCGCAGATGCCAAAGTTTGGTAACAGAATTGTGGTAAAATCTCCCTCAGTTTTATTTTGTTACCAACCTTTGTATCTGCACAGTTCTTCCAGTAAATGTGTTTTTGTAAAATGTGCAGTGTAAAATGTTAAAATTATTCCTTGTGCATAGAGTTGTATGGTTTGTTAAACTTTTAAATCAATGGTTTTTGTTAGGCATACATTTTTAAATGAAAAATCTGAGTCTCAGCGCAATTCCATTACCGTGGAATTTCCTCAAGCATTTGCTTGAAAATAAATCAAGTTAAAGAAAGACGTTTGATTTGAATGGAAATATGCTTTTTGCAATTCATATTTGAACATGAAATCAGCTGGTGGGGAGTTACCCGTATATAACCAATTGTTTAAAGTTTTTCATGAGCAATGCGTGAAACTCTTAAGTACACAAATATTTTCAAGAGGACACGGCCATGTTGCACTATCCCTCTGAGTCATTTAACTTTTCAAGTCAAAAGCAGAGATCAAGTTACAAATGTTTGTTCTTATGGCAGTTTCCAGGTACATGCACCAAGAGAAATGAGGTAGACAAACTTCAAAACGGCACTCTCTAAAGTCTACTGTTTGCTCAGCATCCTTTCATCATCTCAAAGCCTTCAATCGAAAACACAAATCCTATAGTGCTAAAGCGCCAAGTCAATACTGAAGGTGAATCTAATCTGAAATCTCATTTAATGGCAGTGAGGCACCCTTTCCCCATGCATATGTATTAGTAATGCTATCCATCATGCCAACCCAAGGACACTCGAAATGATATGACACAACAACAGGAGAGGTTTGAGAGTGGGACAAGTAGGCCAGTCGAGTATTTAGAGATGACGCATGCCATCATCATCAAATAAATGACGCATGGCATCAGACTCGCTGCTTCCCACAATCAACAAGTATCATGGTACCCCTTGATTGAAAGAGAGGTGTGGGTGGATCGGACAAATATTGCTCCTCTCCCAGAATCATGAGCTGGTTCAGGTTTTATGATCAGCATAAAAGTATGCAGCAGCTGCTGCCAGTCTCAACTCGAGATCCATGTATTTGGGTATGTTTGCATAGGGGCATTTATATCAAAGGACCCATAACCACAAAAACACTGGAGGCCCCTTACACTTTAGTATTGTATTGCAAAATGCATAGCGCATAGAATTAAAAAGGTATTGTCGGATGTTATTCATCCTAATCAGACATGTTTTTTACATTTACATTTTTTGGGAACATTTTTAGTCATTTAGCAGACACTCTTATCCAGAGCAACTTACAGTTAGTGAGTGCATACATTTTCATACTGGTCCCCCATGGGAATCTAACCCACAACCCTGGCATTGCAAACGCCATGCTCTACCAACTGAGCTACACGGGACGATACATTGGAGATAATATAAGACAAGTACTGGAAACAATAGAACATTTTGAAAAATCTGGAAAACAGGGCCTGGTATTCATAGCTGATTTTGAAAAGGCCTTTGATAAAGTACGACAAAAATGTATATATAAATGCCTTGACTATTGTAATTTTGGAGAATCTCTTATACAATGGGTTAAGGTTTTATATAGTTACCCCAGGTGTAAAATGGTAAATAATGGCTACTTTATTATGGCCATCGAAATGTTAGCTATTAAAATCAGATTCAACAATAATATCATGGGGCTAGAAATCCAAGGCTTAAAACAAAGGTATAATTTTACGCCGACGACTCATGTTTTCTTTTAAATTCCGTAATCTGGATCCCTGCACAGCCTCCTAGAGGATCTAGATAATTTCTCTAACCTCTCTGGATTACAACCGAACTATGATAAATGCATATTACGTATTGGAATAAAAAAATATGTAACTTTTATATTACCGTGAAGTTTACGAAATCAAATGTGGACATACTTGGTATTCATATTCAGAAATAAATAAATAATCTCACTAGAATACATTTTTATAGAAAGTTAGCAAAAATTTGCTACCAGGGAAAGGTAAATACCTGTCTATTTATAGAAAAATCACCCTGATTCATTCTTTAGTCATATCCCAGTTGACCTATTTACTTATGGCCCTGCCAACGCCGAATAACCTTTATTTTTATTATATGAGCAAAAAATACTCAAATGTATTTAGCATGGCAAGCCAGACAAAATAAACTGACCCATTTATATAATGAATATGAATTCGGAGGGCTAAAATAATTAAATATTAAAGCATTGAACCTCTCACTAAAGGCTTCAGCCATACAAAAAATATACTTAAATCCAAACTGGCAGATTAGTAAGAATGGCTCACCCCGTGTTCAAAAATGGCCCTTTTCCCTTTATCCAGATTACAACCTCTCACTTTCAGTTATTTGAAAATACAGTACAAATATTACAACAAATATTATGGTTAAACTCAAATATACTAATTGATGAAAAAAATACATTATTTATAATAATAAAATTTTAAAAAATATTTTTGTTAATTATATCATAAATAGGACTGGTGGAGTTATGTCACATATGGAGCTAACAAAAATATATGGAAATGTCTGCTCTATCCAAAATTACAACCAACTGATTGCAACATTACCGCAAAAATGGAGGAGGCAAGAAGGAACTTGTCTGTCGGCCCTACATTAAAGACCAACATTTTAATAATATATATACAGTTGAAGTCGGAAGTTTACATATACTTAGGTTGGAGTCATTAAAACTAATTTTTCAACCACTCCAAAAATTTATTGTTAACAAACTATAGTTTTGGCAAGTCGGTTAGGACATCTACTTTGTGCATGACACAAGTAATTTTTCCAACAATTGTTTACAGACAGATTATTTCACTTATAATTCACTGTATCACAATTCCAGTGGGTCAGACGTTTACATACACTAAGTTGACTGTGCCTTTAAACAGCTTGGAAAATTCCAGAAAATGATGTCATGGCTTTAGAAGCTTCTGATAGGCTAATTGACATAATTTGAGTCAATTGGAGGTGTACCTGTGGATGTATTTCAAGACCTACCTTCAAACTCAGTGCCTATTTGCTTGACATCATGGGAAGATCAAAATAAATCAGCCAAGACCTCAGAAAAAGAATTGTAGACCTCCACAAGTCTGATTCATCCTTGGGGGCAATTTCCAAACGCCTGAAGGTACCACGTTCATCTGTACAAATAATAGTATGCAAGTATAAACACCATGGGACCACGCAGCTGTCATACTGCTCAGGAAGGAGACACGTTCTGTCTCCTAGAGATGAACGTACTTTGGTGCGAAAAGTGCAAATCAATCCCAGAACAACAACAAAGGACCTTGTGAAGATGCTGGAGGAAACAGGTACAAAATTATCTATATTATCCACAGTAAAACGAGTCCTATATCGACATAACCCGAAAGGCTGCTCAGCAAGGAAGAAGCCACTGCTCCAAAACCGCCGTAAAAAAGCCCAACTACGGTTTACAACTGCACATGGGGACAAAGATCTTACTTTTTTGGAGAAATGTCCTCTGGTCTGATGAAACAAAAATAATAACTGTTTGGCAATAATGACCATTGTTATGTTTGAAGGAAAAATGGGGGACTTGCAAGCCAAATAACATCAACCCAACCGTGCTCATGCATTGGGGGTGCTTTTCTGCAGGAGGGACTGGTGCACTTCACAAAATAGATGGCGTCATGAGGAAGGAAAATTATGTGGATATATTGAAGCAACATCTCAAGTCATCAGTCAGGAAGTTTAAAGCTTGGTCGCAAATGGGTCTTCCAAATGGACAATGACTCCAAGCATACTTCCAAAGTTGTGGCAAAATGGCTTAAGGACAACAAAGTCAAGGTATTGGAGTGGCCATCACAAAGCCCTGACCTCAATCCAATAGAACATTTGTGGGCAGAACTGAAAAAGCGTGTGCGAGCAAGGAGGCCTACAAACCTGACTCAGTTACACCAGCTCTGTCAGGAGGAATGGGCCAAAATTCACCCAACTTATTGTGGGAAGCTTGTGGAAGGCTACCCAAGTTAAACAATTTAAAGGCAATGCTACCAAATGCTAATAACTGAGTGTATGTAAACTTCTGACCCACTGGGAATGTGATGAAAGAAATAAAAGCTGAAATAAATCACTCTCTACTATTATTCTGACATTTCACATTCTTAAAATAAAGTAGTGATCCTAACTGACCTAAGACAGGGAATTTTTACTAGGATTAAATGTCAGGAATTGGGAAAAACTGAGTTTAAATGTATTTGGCTAAGGTGTATGTAAACTTCCGACTTCAACTGTATATATATATTTTTTTAAATTGCTAAATAGAAAAGGTATACCAGTTACATTTTAAGGACCAAAAAATGTACAGCTGTGCTACACTGGTTGCAAAATAGTTGTAAAGAGATTTTTGATGTGCATATTCCATGGCACATGGTTTATGAACTGATACACAAAACAACTCCTGATTCAAAACTTAGTTTTTCCATTTAAATTATTTTACAAAATTCTTGCAACCATTAGAATTATATGTGTATGGGGGATACAACATGCCAGCTCTGCAGATTTTTCTGCGAAGAGACAGAATCATTAGATTACTTGTTCTGTAGCTTGTTTTTGGTTGCAGTTTCAGGAATGGCTGAAAAATCACAACTTTTACCTAAAACTAACTCTGCAAATAGCATTGTTGGGTGATTTGAAAAGCCGTAGTCAATCGATCAGTAATGTAATAATACTCTTAGTAAAAATCTTCAATTTTTATTTAGAATCTGTAGAAACTATGAAAATAGAAAGGTTAAACTTTTGTGAAACATCACAGCACAGGTAAAAAATATATGGCAAGTAGAAATCAAAACAGGATGGTTTTGAGAGATAGATGGGAGGGGGTTGAGCGTAGCTGATGGGTGGGAAGAAAGGAAAGCATGGAAAACTATGGTCAAATGTACAGTGTCTGTAAAATGTAGTAGTCTAAGTATTGTTGTCCATTAGTTTACTCAAATTAGGGGAAAATAATAAAGAAGGAAAACATATATAAAAAAAAAAAATGCAATATATTAAAGCTGATCTATTCCTAATAGCAAAAAAAATAAAATGATGTAAGACCCATATGCAGCAACATGTGAAGTTCATAGGAGCATATCAAATTGAGTGTCAAATGAAAGCTAAGAGTCTATATTTTTGGGAAATGAAGGTATAGATTTGACATTTTAGTCATTTAGCAGACACTCTTATCCAGAGCGACTTACAGTATTCACGTGGAGGGAGAATAATGAAAGTTCACAGTGATTTTACTGATATCAAATTTGTTTGTGAATTACTAAGTGCTTAAAACTCGTAATTCCGTTACCAAATTGGAATTGCCCATAGATGACCTGATGGGCCTCAAATATAGCCCATAATTATGTCATTTAAATATGGTGATAAAGAAGATATTCAGACTTGTGATCAGACACAGAGTGTTGCTTGCTTTCCACGAAAGGAACTTCGTGGGCCATGTGGGGTCACACAGATTTTTGGAGGCTGATGACAGAGGCTTTACAGAAGTTTAGTTGCTAATTGTTAACCTCACATTTTTGCTTGAGTTATGACTGAATGGTCCGTATACACATAAGCAATAGGCATATGATGTAACATTTAAAATAAATAGTTACTCATGTCCAATGAGGTCATTTCTGGGCAATGTCTGTCCATTTAGGGGATCCCTTTTTGCTTAGCAATAATTCCTTTCCATTTTAATAATTGAACTGAGATAGTCAATATGTTCTGTTGAAACTAACTTGTGATTTACAAGTAGCATAATGAACCATGTTATTCACTGTGAAACCTCCTCTATCGTTTCCAGATGCAAGTTTTTCAGTTTGACGGAAACTCCGGAGGATTATACCATTATCGTCGATGAGGAAGGCTTCAAAGGTGGGTTTTGTGGTCGCTACCACTGGATCTTTAAGGTTACTGTGGCAACCAGAATTAGACAACAGGAAAACATTTGTAGACCTATGATTTTCAGTCAGTTCTATCCAGAATCCTTGGGACATCCCTAACCTTAACCATAACCCTTACCTTAACCATTGTACATTTCAACTCCCAAGGATCCCGGACAGCAAGGACCTATGATTTTCTCATATCTTGACTGGCTGCCAATGTTTGACTACATATTGCTACATCAGTTCTCCCCGCTGTTCCATTATGGGTTAACAGAGGCCAAGCTGTGACTGGCTTGGTTTTGTGGTTGAGTGAGTGAATCCATGTCATTACAGACTGGTTTCCAGGGTGACCCTCGTTGGTCACCATGGATACTAGAAGCTCTGCATTGTGAAACAGGTGCAGGTATTCTACTGTAGGTAGATTGTCTGGACGTTTATATTGTGCTCATCTGTATGTATGTACTTTCCTTTGCTGCGTTGAGGCTTCAAATACTTGTTTGGTTTTGTTTTTGTGACAGTGCATGAAAATGGCCGCACACACATTTAGCTCTATATTGAGGCTGTTAAAACAAGTCTGAGATTGTTGGCATAGCTTTCGCTATTAATGTATGCTCAGGGGTAAATGTTTTACCCTGAGTGATTATAAGCTAATTTACTAACCGCAATGAAGACCCTCTTGAATGCAACTTGTTTAACCAAGTTTTTTTTTCTTCAATTTTATGATGAAAGAACCATGGTCAGTCGTGTGATATCTCATTGTTCTCAGCAGTGGAGTCGAGCCTTTTTCCAAGTCAGACCCCTCTCATATTTATGGCACCCAGGCTTGACAATGCCTCGTCCAGCTCATCAGCGGAGGAGAATGTCAAACAATCATCCGTAAAATAAGAGCCATTGAGAGTCCGGCGATGCCGTTAGCGGCCTCATTTATCGCTAAGGGGACCGCTGACAGACAGACACATCCATCTGGAGCCACACTAATGCGCCATTTTCATGTCCCCTTTCAGAACTGCCCGAGTCGGAGCACCTTAGTGTCGCCGAGGCCACATGGTTGGCTCTCAACGTGGTGTCGGGGGGTGGGAGCGCCACCAACTCTCAGCCAATCGGAGTCACCAAAATAGCCAAGTCTGTCATTGCCCCCCTGGCAGACCACAACATCTCTGTGTTTATGCTGTCCACCTATCAGACTGACTTTATCTTGGTGAGTGCTGTTCCACTACAGACCTCTCTTAAGCATAATTTATAACCTACCTAGTATGCAACGCAAGAACTACTAATAGCTAGTCAAAATGGTGATCCAGTGTAGATGTGAGCAGCCCCTCAATTACAAACTTGACGCAAGTACCCAGGATTGCCATTTGCGTTCTTGCATTGCGTGCGTACGTACTGTATAAATTAGGCTTTAGAAGTGTTGTTGCATGTCTTCCTCAACTTCCCAAGGAACACATGCAAGATATCAGCCAGCTAAATGGCAATTGTTATGAGCATCTTGTAGCGGCGCCATTCTCCTCACGTGTTATTGATACTCACATTCAGTTTGAGGATGTATTTGTCAGCTTAGCTGCTTATTCCTGTAAGTATTACTGAACATGGTCATTTGCCTTACCTGTTATGTTACCAGGGGTCCAGTGGAATGAAGGTAGCCTACTCTTAAATATACCAGTAGATAATCGAAAATAGCTTACGAAACAGGCCATTTTAGTCAAGTATGCCCTCACTTGTACTTTGTGGCCTGTGAGTGTTTTTCCATTTTGCTCAACGTGAAAAGACAATAGCAGTGGATGTACAGTACCTCCCTGAGCGGCGCTTTTGCTTTGAGAATAATATTTTCATTTTGTCGAAGTTGCTTAATCAGACCAGTCCTTTCTCATGCCAGGCCTTTTTGGCCAAAGGGAGTATTTTTATTACCCTGCTACTAAGAGGGGGGGGGGGGGGGGAAGAGAAAAACACACAAGGTCTGCTGAATAACCGGTGCCTGTGTATGGAAATAATTGTACCAAAAAAATTGAGATGTTGATAATCTGGCAGTAGTTATGTAAAGAGGATCAGCCTCAGCTCAGTCTCTTGCTGGAATTCCCGGTAACATTCATGGCCACTGTTCTCCCTCCACGCCAGCTGCTCCCAGCCACGGCCTAATCACTGTCTGTAAAATGGAGGAAACAACCTGCGTCGCTCTCATCGGTCTCTCTCTTTCTCTGCCTAATGTCTGTTTCTCTATTTGTCTGTCTCAATCATGTCTCTCTATCGCTTTGCCTCAATCTCTGTCTGTTTGTCTTGTCTCACTCACTCTCTTTCTCTCCGTTTCTATCTTGCATGCTCTCTCATTCCCTCCCACTGTGTCTGATTGTATTTGAGGGTCTGAGCCAGGCCGAAGGAGGAAGACCGGCTGGGCCAAGGCCTCTTTTTTTTCTCTCTCTGGTGTTGTATTATGATTATTTGCGTTACATAAATGGTGGGACCCGACCCAAATGCAGAATGCAGTCATTTAGAGGGAGGGAGCCTTAAGTAACCTGACTTTCTGTCTGACTCAACCAGCCTAGAGGAGTTAGAGGCCAGCTTCTCACAGGGGGAATCACATTTTGTTTACATCCTCAATGCAACTCAAATAAGGGTTTAGTCAGGGGGAAAGGAGATGGATGAGTTTCTGTCAGGATCCGGCAGAATGGTCCCCGTGGGGATGGAATTAGTCCGTCATGTCCAAATGTACAGTTCTTCAGAGGCGGCGGCACAGAGTTCAGTCAAGGAGAGCACGATTTTGGGGGAATGGACACACAGTAGCTTTGCATTAGGCCCATATAATGGACACCTTTTTGGGGCATTTCATTTCACGTTGAAATTGGATTTTAAAGCAGAAGACCGTCTCCAGCTTTTAAAGCATTGCATTCCTTTGGGAGGTTGTTTTCCCAAGCCTTTTGCTAGTCAGACATACCTGCTTTAAATACTTGATTAACATTTGCTGTGCCCACAGGCCCCTCTCTTTTACTTATCCTTGAAGTGTTCCGATAAGCAATATGCAGAAGCTCTCTGAGTTCTTTTGAAATTTCACTGAATAGTTTGCTATTGGGACACCATTGTTTCTTTCCCCTGATAAGTGCAGTTACAACTTGTGTTTGAAGTGCAAATGTGAGTTACTTTCTGATGTAATTTAACCTGCCAGTTTGAAAGACCGTCCTCACCTGCTGTTCAAATGCTATTTCACGTTTCTATAAAACTTTTTGGTTTTCCCTGTTGTAAGAAGTGTGTTGTGCTTTGGTTGAGGCTGAGTTGTTGATGGCGTAGTGGTCGTGTTGTGTTCTCCAGGTTCGAGAGCGGGACCTGCCCATGGTCATGCACACCCTGTCTTCTGAGTTCACCCTGCTGAGGGTGATCAACGGAGAGACCGTGGCCGCCAACAGCCTGGGAGTAACCAACGGCTTTGTCAAGCCTAAACTCGGTAGGCACACAATACTTGTATTCACTATTACTGACATGTTATCCCTTTTTCACACTATCGTGTGGACACAAACTGTACTGGCTCGGTTATTTACTTTTCACATGTTCCTTTCCTGTACAGTTCGAGCCCCTATGGGACATGTGTAACCAGGCCAGCACAGCTCGGCTCAGTAGTCTGAAAAGGCTACTGGACATAGATACAGTAATGCACACAATCAGTTTCAGGTTATGCATTGGGTTTTCTGTGATACAAATGGAAATGTATTTCATCCCCTGAATGAGAATATTGCAGAGACTCCCTGATATTAATTGGCTGTTATGTTGCAGCCTGTCAAACCTTGAATTGAACAATCCAACTTGTGCGGTGGAGTGTACTGAACTTGACATCCTCATCTTGACATGTTTGAAGACATGTTTGGTAAGAGTATGTCAATCCAGCACGCGCTGTCAAGGTTCTTCCCCAGAACAGAAGACCTGAGAACACAGTTTGATATGGCAGGCAGAACAGCAAGAGCCAGCCCCAGGCATAAGAGACATAAGCGGTCGCTTAGGGCCCCCGGCCACTAAGCCCCCCAATTTTGGGGGGTAATTTTACATTCATGTCATTTAACAGATACTCTTATCCAGAGCGACTCACAGTAGTGCTTACATTTTCGTACTGGTACCCCGTGGGAATCTAAACCCACAACCCTGGCGTTGCAAGCGCCATGCTCTACCAACTGAGCCACACGGGACCACATTTTGTTGTCTAGATTTGTAAATCTCTTTAGGTGACATATTTGATGGGTAGCATGAATCAGTATTTTTTTAAAGCATATATGTTCACAACCGCCAGTATCATATTAATGAAAATGTTTTCTCTCTCTCTCAGTGCCCCGTCCCATCATCCACCCTCTGTCCAGCCCCAGTAACATGTTCTGTGTGACCAGCCTGGACCCAGACACACTGCCCTCTGTGGCCACCCTGCTCATGGACGTCATGTTCTACTCAGGCGGGTAAGGACCCACTCCTCCTGTTTCACAGAAGGCTGTCACAAGAGGCCATCTGCCGTCTCTTTGTAAGAGACTATCATACACACACTGCCACAGGAGCATTTAGCTGCTCCAGTTCAGACAAAAAAAATATTTAGGAAGTCTAGAACCTGGAAGAGGGTTAGACTTAAGCAAGGGCTGTCATAGGATGGTTATGCTGCTGTTATGGTTAGACTTTAAAGGTGGAGAAAGATTTTACTAGCAGACCACTGGATGACCAGGATGGAATGGGAATGGACCAAATGTAGTTGAAAGATGGTTCAATTGGACATACTTGAATCTCAGTACTTTCTATTCCAGCATAAAGGAGCCCGGGGCATCTAGCGAGGACTCCGCACACATCCGCTTCTTCTCCTTCTCTCTGATTGAGGGCTACATCTCTCTGGTCATGGACGAGCAGACGACACGACGGTGGGTGCTCTCGTGGTCCCGCCATTTATAAATAAATAAACACATGGTTATGGTGTCTATCACCATCAGAAAGGCACAACTGCTATGTCAATTTGCTGTTTTGAGTCATTTGTAGACAACTTGTTTGCTGCTGGGTTGTTAGGAAACAAACATAGAATATCATAAAAAGTTTATAAATAAAGAAGTTAATGTAGAGTTGACAGCCGTTGCAGGTGTCACTTGCAGGGTAACCCGAACAGCTGCATTACTAATCACATGTGGATTGAACTAAAGGGTTACAGTCCACTACATTAGTAGATACTTTATCATGGGCTTGTCCTACATTGGCGAGGTATCCCTTATATGGGTCAGTGTTGTCTCCAAGCTATGAAGGGGGACAATATGTTGACCAAGATTTTAGTACTTCCGAAGTTATGTGTTTTTCACCATAGCATGTAGGACAGGGATCATCATCTAGATTCAGCCATGGGCTGATTTTTTTTCTTGAGTGGATGGTCAGGGGGCCGGAACATAATTACAAATAATTTGTAGACTGCAAATTGACCGCAAGACGCACAAACAGATATAATATTTGAATAAAACATAATTTCAAACCTTGCTTACATGTATGTATGTATGATCTCATCTCTCTCTCTATTATGCGTGGGAATACTTTGCAACATATTTTTCCTAAATTAAAAACACTTGGAGCTTATTTGCTGGTGTTTTAGTATTTTATGTCTAACAAAAATTGTGGCTGCCAGTTGGGGAACCCTGATGTAGGGCAACCACTGGCCTACAATCTGAATTTGACCAAATCGTTCCATTTAACACACAAGACAAAAATATGTATTCACTGTTTTCTGAAATCTTTGAATGCATCTGATGTGAGCGCTACATTAAATAATAGCTTTCAATGTTACTTGCTATAGATTGAATGAGTGTGTGCATTCATTTTCTCATTTCTTCATCCTAGGTTTCCCAACAATGTCCTCTTCACTAGTGCTTCAGGGGAGCTTTGGAAAATGGTTCGCATTGGGGGACAGCCTTTAGGATTTGGTAAGTAAAACCGTTGTGGTTTTCTCTGTTTGGTTTCCACAGGTCTCCCATATGTTAGTCAGATCTCTGTGCAGAGTGCACAGCACCAAGAGACAGTGTAATCTGGCTAAGATTAGGAAAAACCAACTGTGATGCCAATACGAATATTACTTGGCAATGTGAGGAATACATTAAACGCCCAGATACGCCTCATGTCTGGTACTCCCGAGTGGCGCAGTGGTCTAGGGCTGTGCCACTAGAGATCCTGGTTCGAATCCAGGCTCTGTCGTAGCCGGCCGCGACCGGGAGACCCATGGGGCGGCGCACAATTGGTCCAGGGTAGGGGAGGGAATGGCCGGCAGGGATGTAGCTCAGTTGGTAGAGCATGGCGTTTGCAACGCCAAGGTTGTGGGCTCAATTCCCATGGGGGAATCAGTATGAAAAAAAATAATAATAATGTATGCGCTCTGGATAAGAGCGTCTGCTAAATGACAAAAAAAAAAATCTAAATATCTGATATTCATGGATATCTGTTCTTTATTCTTATTGCCTTGTGTCAGACGAGTGTGGTATCGTGGCTCAAATATCGGAACCCCTGGCGACTGCTGACATTCCAGCTTATTACATCAGTACCTTCAAGTTCGACCATGCCCTGGTGAGTGATGGTTTACAACTCCACGCCCTCTATGTATCTCTCTCTGTTTGTATAGTAAATTGTAGAGGTCAGTTTAAACTGGAGCTTTTGGAATAAAGACTTAACCCCGCCCTATCTCTCATAGGTCCCAGAAGAAAACATCCAGAGTGTGATTGGAGCTTTGAGGACCAATGAGAGCGCAGGACAGTGAAGGGGAGGTGGGAAGAGACAGTGGAACTAGCGAGCCCTGTGCCCACACCTTGATTTATCGTGTCAAACTCTTTTTTTTTTTGTGCCAAAAGCGTACCAGTGGACTGCTGTGGGGGGTGGTTCTGGGAACAGGGTAACGCAAAGCTTTGGTGGTGTAGATGGGGTACAGGGGAGGGACGGTGTGTGTGTGTATAGGGATGCTTTTGTTCAGCGATCAGCAACATGCCCCTCCTATTCTGAGACGGTGCCAACTATGCTCCAAACCCCACCCCCCACCTCACCCCCTTGACCATCCGCTCTTACCCCAAACAACATCCACCTCTTTGGGGACCCAAAGCTAGAGTGACTGCTGTGTTTTTTCTTTCTCCTCTCCCTCACACCATTTCACCATGGCAACGCGGCCTACTGAGTTTGGGCCTATCTCTTCGACACCAGGCCGAGACGCTGCGACACGGCCCTCACCTCCTTTTACACCCACGCGGCCCATGACTGCCTATACTGGTGCTGTAGTACACCACACTTTCCTTCCTAACTTTACATTGTTTCTCGCAAGCTGCTCTTCCCCTAACAACCATACTGTATTAGTTACCAGTCCTCCCCTTATGGAAAGAAAGAGAATGATCTCTACCAACAATTATCAAGATTTCCATTATTCTTCTTATTTATTTTTCTCAGTGCCAAGTCGTTTTAAAGACCAATGCCTTGTCTAACGCTCAGTGTGTTTGCACTTGAAGGTGACATTTCTGAGTTGCCGTTGGTGGTGACGGACTGTGTGGTTCAACGACATAGTGTGGTTTTGTTTTTACAAGTTATTGAATAAGCTTTTAATGTCAAGTCCTGATGAAATTCTCATTATGGAAACTCTTCTTAAAGTAATCAATTTCGGGGCTAGAGTTCTCATTGAAATGCCATTGAGCTGAAGGCTAGCGAATAGATTGCAGGGACAGAGGCAAGATGTATGTCAATGGTCCTAAACTCTTTGGTGACCTGGATGCAGATCAGATTTGTTAGATGGGAAAATGAAAGACTGGTGAATGTTGCTTTGTATTCTGGTGATTAGCGTTAAATGACATTTACTGACGAATCACAGAGCCACTGTTCTATAGAACATATCATATAAACAACATTCTAGTGGGCTATATATAAGCCCGTTTTCATGTAGTCTCGGTCGTTTTGGGAGAACTAGGTTATCGTTTTGCATCAAGTGCCACACCATGCCTGACGCTAAACCAGCCCTATACCACAAACTAGTAGAATAACTTCAACGCTAGGAAAGCTAGCGTGGAGGAGAAGTGGTGGGGGACTTGTCATTTATTCCGTTGTGAATGTTTGTTGCGGTCGTGGATCATTGAACCAGCCCTGCAACCCTTGTGTCAGTTTAGGCCTTCAGCTCCCCCCCCCCCCCCCCCCCCCCCCCCCCGCCCTCGCCCCCCTCCCCCTCGCCCTCCCCCCCTCGCCCTCGCCCTCCGCCCTCGCCCTCGCCCTCCCCCTCCCCCCCTCGCCCTCCCACTCCCCCCCTCGCCCTCCCACTCCCTCTCCCACTCCCTCTCCCACTCCCCCTCCCACTCCCACTCCCCCTCCCTCTCCCTCACCCCAGTCTGCACTTTAATACAGGTCCATCCTGCTGTACTGATGTGAAAACGGGGTAGATTATTTTACCCTTGAAGGATTCTCTTGAGAAGGTGAGACTATATTGGTCTTAATGCATTGGTGGGTATTTTTTTTGCCCGCACCAAGAAAAAGCTTGTTTCGTCAGTTAGCTTTGATTAGCAGAAACCATGTAGCTATTAATCAGTGTTAAACATAAAAGGGTGACATTAGCTTTTGTTTTCATCTTGTAGTGTGTTTGGTTTCTCAAGACCCTCCTCTCTGTCATCTGTAGTTTTGTCTGATTGCCTTCATTTCCAACATTGGTCCCCCAGACCCATTGCATATTCAAATTATGATTCAAATTTAATCATCTCACCATTATCCTAATTTAGACTAATATAATGGATTCTGAAAGGAACTTGCAGCTTTCAGCAATGATGTGATTTCATATTCACATCATTGGTTGATTTACATTGATTCAATATGTGATGGGCTGGAATGTAAACTCCTATGCATGGGGTCTTGGGGGACTGCTGTTGGAGTCCTTGTATTGAGCTAGATGCTGTACTACACTCTCAATTATTGGCTTTTTACTCCAGACATTTTTTTATTCCTTGGCAGGGCTAGGTTTCCCACTACAATGCACCCCGCTTATAAGAATCAAAAGCGATGGATTGAAGTGGTCAAACTGTGGGACAGAATCATTCCTATAACTTACAATGTTCTTTGCTTTTCAAGTATCAATCATTTTAAAGAATGAAATCAGCCAAGGCAGATGTGAGTCTTAAAAGAACACTATGTGATGGAGAAAAATGCAACAGTCGATTTTTACTTTGTCGCCCTATAAACAGACAAGACGGGATTCAAACAAACCACAATGGGCCGACCTCGCACTGCACTTGAAGTCGGCAACGGCTTTATCTAGCCCTTCTATGCTGACGCACGTGTTAGCTTTAGCTTCTGAGCTAGCACCAATAGTTCATCACATTTGTCTCCCATAATTAGCCAAAAAAGTTAGCTAAAGGTGGGAGAAAATATTTGGTAGTCATGATCAACCGCACCCATCATTGCACTTGTCTTTTAAAGGCAATTTCCCTTAAGTCAAGTGCAGTGTGACGATGGCGCGTTGCGGTTTGTTTGTATCCTGGCCAAACACTTAAATTGTACCTCTTTGTTGAAGGTGTCTTGCAGTGCAATAACATTGTGGTCTGACATTGGTATTACAAATAAAGCTTGTATTCTATATGTGAGAAGTGCAACTAAACATCCATATCACAGTCACACCTATTGTTGGTCCTTTTAACCCTGTTGTCCGCCATAACTTGTTTGACCAAGGTCTCAATTCAATCCGTATTGCGGAAGATCCGCGTTATAGCTCGATTAGAAATTTAAAGGCAATGTTCCCGCGTTCAGAAACTGCACTCAACAGCCGCTATACGGATTGAATCTAGCTCCAAGTCACTTAATCCAAGTATTGACAACTCTAGATTGATCACTGTCCTCACAATTGCTGCAAAATAGGAACAGCTGAGAACAGTCTAAAGAAAAAGGTCCCAGAAGAGTGGTCTCTCTGTATTATTTAACCTGTGCAAACAAACTAGAGAACAGATAGGTCCTTCTGACTTGCAGTGGGAGGCTAACTATACCATGCCATTACCTTTTTACTGCTTAAAACACAAACACATAGGTGGAGGAGGTGCATTGTTAGAGGGCGCGTTCAGCAGCAGCAGTGTCCACTTTGGCGGCCTTATTGACCTTTTCTATTTGCCGTAGAGGTCAGGCAAGTAGTGCAGCCAATGACGGAGCAGGCAGCCATGCAGATAAGGGCCTGGAAGGTGGCAGATGATAATGGTGACCCAAGGTTCTTACTTCGCAAACAGTGGCGATTTGAGTAACCAGATATGGAGTAGTTTGTTGATCTTTCCCTTTCAAGACGATTCGATACGTATCTAGATACATGGGTGGGGGGGCAATTAAGGCTTTTTTTGAGTCTCCCCCACTTTGGTTCTGCAATCACCCACTAATTAACTTGTCATTTTTACAGATGAAGTGTTTGAGCTGGAATTAATATTTATCGTTTCCAAATTATCAAATGGTTTTGACCATTTGGATGTTTTTAAGGAGTGATGTTCTCGCTTCGGCCATGCAGTGCGTCTCGCAAAAGTGATTGCTTTCCTAGTTATGAAATGATCAACTTTACCCTGTACATCTACAAATGACCATATATACGGATTGTTTAAAGCACAACTATTGCTGATGCTGAACAATCAACAAAATCAATTGTAAGCCCCGTTCAGCAGGTATAGCCAGATGAGTTGTCTCCGGTAGCTTACCTTTACTCTGGTAAAACAGCATTTTCAACAGCGCATAGATAACCTAGCAAATTACTAATAAAGCCTAATATCACGCAAGCCATTTTAGCATTTGAATGCTGAAGGTGTTGCGCAGAAATCAGGAACAGGCCGCCTACCTCGAGTTGGTCAGCGCGCGAAGCTGGGCACAGTGCACAATTTGACTAGGCTACTGATATTGCCTGGGGTTGTTCGGCATGCAACATGAATGTCAGTTACATGCAGTTCAACACTTAAGGAGAGGATGAATCACAAAAGGAGGTATTTTCGGAAGGTAAAAAGAATGTCATATGATAATTATTTTGTGATACTTAAGGTTTTAATTGATTTTCTGACTGCATGCTACATTTGCATCGTTTAGGGTCCGCTGACCGATGTACTTGTATCTTAAACATTTGAATCGGGGACCGATGCGTATCAGTGAATTGTTACATCCCTAATAGCTCTCATTCAGGTTAAAATACTAGCAAAGGTACAGTTACGTGACTAAGGGCTCTATTCAATCTATCGCTGAAATGTTACAGATTGCGCGATAATGTAAAGGTAATCTCCCATTGGGCCAACATACAGTGCCTTCGGAAAGTATTCAGACCCCTTGACTTTTTCCACATTGTTAGGTTACCTTTTCTAAAATGAGTTAAATAGTTTTTTTCCCCCTCAATCTACACACTACCCCATAATGACAAAGCAAAAACAGGTCTAGAAATATTTGCTAATTTATTAAAAATAACTGAAATATGACATTTACATAAGTATTCAGACCCTGTACTCAGTACTTTGTTGAAGCACCTTTGGCAGCGATTACAGCCTCGAGTCTTCTTGGGTATGACGCTACAAGCTTGGCACACCTGTATTTGGGGAGTTTCTCCCATTCTTCTCTGAAGATCCTCTCAAGCTCTGTCAGGTTGGATGGGGAGCGTTGCTACACAGCTATTTTCAGGTCTCTCCAGAGATGTTAGATCGGGTTCAAGTCCAGGCCACTCAAGGACATTGAGACGTGTCCCGAAGCCACTCCTGCGTTGTCTTGGCTGTTTGCTTAGGGTTGTTGTCCTGTTGGAAGGTGAACCTTCACCCCCAGTCTGAGGTCCTGAGCGCTCTGGAGCAGGTTTTCATCAAGGATCTCTCTGTACTTTGCTCCGTTTATCTTTGCCTCGATCTTGATTAGTGTCCCAGTCCCTGCCGCTGAACATCATCCCCATAGCGTGATGCTGCCACCACCATGCTTCACTGTATGGATGGTGCCAGGTTTCTTCCAGACGTGACGCTTGGCATTCAGGCCAAAGAGTTCAATCTTGGTTTCATCAGACCAGAGAATCTGGTTTCTCATGGTCTGAGAGTTTAGGTACATTTTGGCAAACTCCATGCGGGCTGTCATGTGTCTTTTACTGAGGAGTGGCTTCCGTCTGGCCACTCTACCATAAAGGCCTGGTTGGTGGAGTGCTGCAGAGATGGTTGGCCTTCTGGAAGGTTCTCCAATCTCCACAGAGGCACTCTATCAGAGTGATCATGGTTATCTCCCTATCAAAGGCCCTTCTCCCCCGATTGCTCAGTTTGGCTGGGCGGCCAGCTCTAGGAAGTGTCTTGGTGGTTCCAAACTGCTTCCATTTAAGAATGACGAAGGCCACTGTGTTCTTGGGGACCTTCAATGCTGCAGACATTTTTTGGTACCCTTCCCCAGATCTGTGCCTCGACAAAATCCTGTCTCAGAGCTCTACGGACAATTCCTTCGACCTCATGGCTTGGTTTCTTCTCTGACATGCACTGTCAACTGTGGGACCTTATATAGACAGGTGTGTGCCTTTCCAAATCATGTCCAATCAATTGAATTTACCACAGGTGGACTCCAATCAAGTTGTAGAAACATCGATGATCAATGGAAACAGGATGCACCTGAGCTCAATGTCGATTCTCATAGCAAAGGGTCTGAATATTTATGTAATTAAGGTATGTATTTTTATTTCTAAAAACCTGTTTTCGCTTTGTCATTATGGGGTATTGTGTGTAGATTGCTTAGGGTTTTATTTATTTAATCCATTTTAGAATAAGGCTGTAACGTAACAAAATATGGAAAAGTCAATGGGTCTGAATACTTTCCGAAGGCACTGTATGCAGCATTTACCGTGAATGCAATCTCCGCTAACCCGGGAACATTGCGTTTAAAAGCTGCATTGCTTATAACCTGTGATCGGATTGAATCCCGGCCTCATTCCTGATTTATGGCTTCACAAATAAAAACAAAATGACTGCAAGATAGGTCAGTCCTCAGACTTGGCAAATGAGCATTGCAACAGACAATTACGTGACAATACATCCAATTCTCGTTAGTGCTCTTTACATATACTGAAGAAAAATGTGTGCACAAAATTTGACAAAAGCTTTTTGTGCATATGGACATTTTCTGGGCTCTTTTATTTCAGTTCATGAAACATGGGACCAACACTTTACGTTTATATTTTTGTTCAGCGTATAAAAAAAATCAAAAATCAACAGTGAAGGTAAAATGCCAAAAGGCCATTGTTCTGGAGGTCTGACAGTCAAGTTTCAGCACTTTTCTGCAGGAAGAAAAAAATCCATGGTTCCACCGCATCAGCCTTGAGCCAGCAAATTCTGCTCCACTGATCTCCACATCATCCAACAAGGGTGCCCAATGACTAGTATAGAGATTAATGGAGTGCTGCAGTGACTGTTGCCTGTGAACCCAGCCTCCATGTTATCCCAACCGTGCTAGCCAGAGACACAGGGAGCAGACTGAAGCTTTCAATGGCGGACTCAGTCACCAGATCGCTGGGACCGGAGGATCTCTACCACCCATGGAGGACAGCTGGCTCTGGGGTTCTGGCGGCCAGAGGAGGTGAGGCTAACAGGGCGGCTGAACAGGGTCGGATAACCCTCAGTGATAAGAGGGGGAGGTGGGAGGGTCACGGGGAAGAGAAGGGCGTAATGGCTCTGTCCCTGCCGGCTGGGGACGCTCAGATGACAGACTTGACCAGTGCCACCATGTGGTCCACCCCACACGCTACATCCACCACATGACCTGGCACAGTCACCTAAAACACATTGAAAACAGTACACCATAAAAATAGTAGCATTAAATGCATACATGGACTGGTGGACTAGTTATGCATCCTTTAAAAAGTATGCTACAAAGGGATAATTCACTCCAAAATCAAAGTTTCCAGAGCTTTAAAGTGGTCTAATGTCAAGGTGAGTCCACCTCCCATACCATCTGTTGAGTAGATCCAGCTAGATGCCTCAATCCCAAATGAATGACAAAGATGGGCACCATCTGAGTAGATCATATTAGACAGTGCCCATCTTTTCCATTTGTATGAGATTCAGGCATATAGCTGGGTCTACTCAACATCTCTTTTAATGTCTGAAAACATTAGACAAACTTTGTTGTAGGCTTAGTGGAGTTGCCAACAACCGGATGCATCCAGTTTTCAGGGATACATGTAAATCAACCTAGCCTCCTTTTACGCTAAAAACCGAATGTGGGAACTCAGCTCAGGCGTTTTCTTTTACACCTGTTAATGTTGTAATGGACTGTCACTTTAAGTCGTTTGCATAAATCATAAATATCAATGATCAACAAAATAATGTATAAGTAATCTAAGTCTTGTCTCACCCGCCATGGGAAGTACTGGTCCTCTTTCTTTCCAATACCAAGACATCCTCTCACATTCTTCCCCCAAACGAAGAGCTCCCCACGATCTGGAACAACACAAGCAACAGGTAGACATTCTACATATTTTATATTATTTTTATCATTATTATTATTATTATTATTATTATTATATCATCCAATGGCTTGTAATGGGAATGGGTTAATAAAATGCTAACAATATGTAAACACACAAGTACATGGAAGGTTTCATATCTTGCATCATCCACTGAATGGTATAGCACCACGTTACTAGTTCCTGGGTAAGAAGTCATACTTCCCGTATGTCAACATATTCATCTTAAACTGTAACATTGTAAATTCTTGTGACTAAAGATGGATTATTATTTTTTTGTCCAACATAACTCATTCCACATACTGAAAATCGCAACTTAACCCACCTGTGACAGCAGCGAAATGATTCAGTCCACAATGGATGCGGCTCACGGTCACCGCAGGGTTAAACTCTGAGCGGCCGAACAGTGTAGGAGGGACCAGCTCAGGGGTTTGGGATTCAGAGAGATTAGGGCCCTTTCCAAGAATGCCGTAGCCCCATACAAACACCTCCCCTCTCTCTGCAAAGACAAACACGCCTTTACTGACACTCTACATTGACAACGACTACATATTATTTATTTAAAGGATATGATAAACAAGTCTATTAATAAGGAAGCTATGCTATACAGTCCAGCAATGTTAGTTTCACTTGAATTGGTGGTGTTGGTGCAAGTGATCTTTTATTATTTCACTGCCAAGTTCCATTTTGGCTGCCACCCCCCTCAATATTCACAGATCTGAAAGGACTCAATCATTTTTAGCAATACTCTAACCTTCCTATAGAGTAATTGGAGCTTCCACCATATTGCTTTCACATACCCAGTCTTCTCAGATTGGTAAATATCCCAGTTAGCAACGAGCACTCGGCAGGCAGGTGCCCACTTTTAGATGCAAATCAACCCACCAGAGATGGAAGAGGTAGGAACAAATGGACATGGCGAGAGGCCGAAATGGAAATGGACAGGGCCCCGGTACTCACCGTTCAGAATGGCCACCTGTGTGCCTCCACAGGCCACCTGGGTCACTTTGCCCACCCCTTCAAAAGGAAGGAGACGGGGGGAGTTTATCTGAAGAGAGAGGAAACATGGAAGTCAGTATCGGGACAAAAGGCCATACATAGAAATAGAATAAGAACACGTAGTGGTACCTATAGTTTAGCCTGGTGGAACCAGTCTGATCACTACATTCACCATTCTATTTCACTTCACATATCAGTCTGGCATTCCTGCTCATTGAAACTATTTGAGCGGTATTATTCAAAACTACCTTCAGCAATTGGATCTCCTTCAACCATTCAGAGGATGGCCTAATTCAAAGCACAGCCATTTTCTCTTATTTACAAACACCCATCTACTGGAAAGTCCAGACTGATACATGAAGTGAAATAGAATAGTCAATGCAGCTGGTTCCACCAGGCTAACATATACTGTAGTAAAGCCTTGTGAGAAACAAGAGTCACAAAGTTTGGCAAACTTGGTTTGAGATCGTGATGGGCTCATCACCTGGGTGGCCTCAGTGACCGAGGAGAGTTGGAGGTACTCAGAGTTTCCCCAGCCATAGAGCTGGCCGTCCTGGGACACGGCCATGCTGCAGTCTCCGTAGGTGGTCACCTGCTGCACCCTAACCCCAGCCAGGTCCCCTCCTACAGCCACCGGCCTGGCACACATGTTGTGGTGGCCCAGACCTGAAAAAAATACAATAGCTTTGTCTTTAGAAAACAGGGAGGCTATGCATGTGTGTAACAGTCTTAATGAAACAATCATGCTCTTTCTTTATGAAACAGTGCACAAAGAGACTTGGGCCCCTATCCACAAAGCTTCTCAGAAAAGGTCCTAGGAATCCAGTTAAAACCTGTTTAAAGGCCCCCCAAAAAAATAAATCCCAGCTCAGAGTAGGTTTTAGGAGGATGTTAAGACACTGCTCAGACAAACTGAGTTTCTCAGCTGGTAATTACGACAATTTGAGGTACCGCAAAGGAAAGATAGTGATGACGCTTGACATTGTTGTAAATGATGGGGAATAACCAATCGAGAGGAGGCATCGCCAGCTGTGAACTCTATTCCATGCTTCAGACAAACAAGGTGAATGTGACTGTACAAATGTTGGATGGTAAAGGTCCGGATGGATATTGTCATTTATTGGTGTAGTAATAAACCCCCACCTCGCAACCCATGCGACCCCAAACTGTTTACACCCCTCTTGTTGGTGGAGAGAAAATGATGCCGTTTTTAAGTTAATTTTCTGCAATTCTACCCATTTTGCGTGGGACAGAGAAATGTTTAGATTCCCAAATTTTTTAAATTAATTGGTAGTTGGGACCCGCGCTCCGTATTGACCTTGTTATGAGTCCGGATACGGACCACCACTTGAGTATGGGGGCCTAGAGGTTATAAGTATTTAGGCATATCATGTGAAACAGGCCTTGTGAAATAATTGTCAAAAGCGCAAGAGATACTGTTTTATGTAGGTATATTATTTATGGATTGATTATATCAAAATATTCCAAACTCCAAAGCAATTGCATGTGGCGCAGGAACCACTGACTCACTGCCTTTTTCTATAATCAAGACACCTGCCGGTAACTCTTAACTGGTTAGGACAGCTCATGAAGTCTCCTAAATATCTGCCGACTAGGTTGGACTCTTGTGACTACAGAGGCTTCATACATAGATTTTATTTTTAGGAGTAAAATGGCTCTATTCCCAGCACTAACAACCAATTTTCTACTCAGATACTTTGTGGAAGAAATGTGTAAAGCTCACACAGCAGGAGAGAAATGCTCTATATTTACACAAGGTCATTATTTGGTTAAGTACATTTGGGTAATCCTGCATAGAAATAAACTGATATCGGAGAAAAGTATGCAAAAAGGTGGAGATACTGATAATAAACAACAGCGACTCAGTTTATCTTTCTGCCTTCTGGAATCTTTATAGGGACCCCTTGGCATTTTCCCAGCGTGTGTATGTGTGTGTGTGGGGGGGGCTTCTAACCTGTCTGTCCATCTGCCCCCCAGCCACAGGCATACACCTTGCCTGTCTCAGTCAGGAACAGACTGTGGTCCTGCCCACACACCACCTACAGGACAAATATGGCATCAATATGGCATCCGCAGGCTTCAGTCACACATAACACATCCGCACACAACTCATTTTCACTCTGGGGTGAAGTTTCCCCTATGTTCAGATCTAGGATCTGCTTTCCATCCCTCCATCCTATTATTTGTTTACTTAGCCTTTATTTACTCAGGTGAGTCATTTAGAACAGATTTTCCTTTACAATAATGACCAAGATGGAAAAATAATGGCTGAGGTGTCTTACTGTCCCTTACACAGAACACACCTGAGTCACTGGGCTGTCAAAGCCTTCCATCTTGTGAATGATGTGACTGGCACTGCAATGGAGAGAGAGAATATATATTAGATAGATAGATAGGATAGAGTGCCTATAGAAAGTCTACAGACCTTCAGACTTTTTCTACATTTTGCTGCCTTCAAATTAAATCTAAAAAGGGATTAGATTATTTTCCTACAGATCTACACAACCTACTCCACATTTTCAAAGTGAAAGAAAGTTATAGAATATTTTCCAAATTAAGAAGAAAAACAAAACACTGAAATATCATAATTGGATAAGTCTCTACCCCCGATTTAATACTTGGTGGAAGCACCTTTGGCAGCCATTACAGATTTTAAAAAAACAGGTAAAAATACACCTTATGGTACAACGGGGACTGTGAAGAGACACACACAAGGGTATAGACACATGCATACGCACACATTGTGATATTGTTGTTTGGTGGTATTAAACATTTTGTATTGTAGATAGGTAGTGGTGTAATAATGTCATATGATGTACTGTTTTATATTTTGTTTTATATGTAATGTAAGTGCTTTCATATGTTTGGACCCCAGGAAGAGTAGCTGCTGCATTGGCAGCAGCTAATGGGGATCCCTAATAAATACAAATACAGCTGTGAATCATTTTCATTAAGATTTTCTACCAACTTTGCACAACTCTCAGGGCAACATATATCCATCGTTTTTGTCTAAATTGCTCAGGGTCAGTAAATTTGGTTGGGGATCATTAATGGAGAGCAATATTTAAACCTTGTCTCTGATTTTCTAAGCAGATTTAAGCCAGGACTGAGACTAGACCATGCAACACCTCTTGGAAAGCCATTCTGATGGGTTTTTTGCATAAAAAACTGCCACGCAGAAAAATAAGGGTTAGGTTTTCAGAAGACTGAGCTGGGTTTACCTCTAACTTTTTACCTGGGCTTTGTTCCTTTCATATTTACTTTCATCCTAACAAACTCCCCAGTCCCTGCCGGTGAGAAGCATACCCATAACATGATGCTGCCACCACAATACTTGAAAATACAAAGGGATCAACATTGCATTCACTCCATATTACTGGCCTGTATGACAAAGTGAAAAGAAAGAAGCCTGTGTTAAAAAAATCCACTCCAAATCATCCTTTCTGTTTGTAAGAAAGCTGTTAAGTAATACTGCAAGACTTACTTTTAGGCCTAAATTTAAAACTACAGGGTTGGGTGAATTCCAATACAACACAGAGTGAAACCCTCTCTATTTTCAAGTATTTTGGAGGCAGCATCATGTTATGGGTATGCTTGTCATCAGCAGGGACTGGGGGGGGGGGAGCCATCAATCAATTACTCAAGGAGCCCTGTCTGTCCAGAAAAGGTCACCTCTGCCCCCTCCCTGTCGGCCATTTTGCATAAAGACCCCAGTCCCCTTGCCTACTGTCCACCAATGTCCCATACAAACAGCCCAAGTACCTAATAATCGGGAAAGGCAATCACTCTAAGTAGGCCTCTAAAGACCTAGGGCCGTATGTATCAAGAGTAGGAGTGCTGATCTAGGATCAGCTCCCCCCAGTCCATATAATCGTATTCATTGTGATCAAAAAGGCTAAACTGATCCTAAATCAGCACTCCTACACCGATACATACGACCCCTGAAAAACATTTCTAATAGGATTGTTGTTCAACGTAGGCAGTCATTGGGCAGAAAAGCACAGTCTGAAATTCCTGGAGAGTGAATATATTTCCAGCCTGCATTGATTTGACACTATGAGTCATCATTAGTATGACTCAACATACACCCGGTCGTGTTGCATGACAACGGCAGAGGCAGACTTTCCTTAGCATTTTGAGCATTGTTTCAGCCTGATCAACTGCGTCTGTAATATGGTAATATGGTGTGTAAACAATTCATAGCGGTGTGTGTGTGTGTGTGTGTGTGTGTGTGTGTGGTGTCATACCTGTAGATTTCATCTTCAACCATCTTCCTCCCACACTGGCCATAGGCATTGTTCCCCAGACTGAACACTTTGATGTGGGAGAGAGAGAATGAGGGAAAGGGGAGAGAGAGACACACACACAAAACATGTGGGAGGATGATCCAGGGGTATGGTTAGATTAACAACAGTGTCAACAGTGTGGAAATGGAGCTGTGTCTGTAAAACAAACAGTAGGACCTTATTTTAAAGTACAAAAATGACCAGGTATTTTCTTAGAAAATACATAGTAAAAATTCAAATAAAATGTACACAGTATTAAACTATAAATTACATGTTTGTTTCTTTGGGATAACTGGGCACCAGGTAGTTACCAATTGTTATATTCTTTTAGGTAAGTACCTCAAAGTACTGATTGTTACCACATCATTTCCAAGTAAATTCCAGGGAAATACCAGTGGAAAGAGTACTGTATAAAAAAGTGCCACCAAATGAACAATCGTTACGCAACTATAAAGCCCTCTTCGCCGATCATCAGCTCAAATGTATTTCTGCAAAGTGCATAAGCGAAGGTCAGGATTCAAATTACACATCTACTAAAAATAGTAGGAAGGATTAACATCAATATTTTCAACACATAAGGGACCACATGTTGATATCTTAACCCTACGGGGTTGACCTGCTCAGTTATGGGAGTGCCCTAGCTTGCATCCATGTGTAGTAATTTGAACTAATTAGGTTATGGGCTTACTCATGGGCCCAACGGTAGGGGAATGTCTTTAGGATGTGAACCCAGCAGCCCTCCAATTCCCCCCCCCCCATTTTCCCTAGTTTCTGTGTGACATTTTCCTCAAAAAAGCACACACAGCGAGCAAAATAACCCTAAACAAACAGGATGGCATAATATCCAAGGTATAAATTATAATCTCAGAACCTATATCTTGAGCTAGCTATTTTACTTGATTTCCATTGCATTTCCTTACATGTATGTGAATGTCTGTCACGAGAGCTTATCCAAGACAGGTTTCACGCTTTCATGCTCTTTACTTAGACTCCTGTTAAATAAAAGCCACCTTCTCAAGGATATCATAAAAGGAAGGTGTAACACAAATCGCATTGCTCACAGTACTGGAAGTTATATGGGAATTTTCGTTTTATGTGAGGAGAACAAAACGTCACCCTCTGTGTCGTCTCTTACCTCCCTCTGAGTCGGTGAGCACCAGGGAGTGGGCACGGCCACATGCCACCTGCACTACCCTGGTCTGCTGGGGTCTGGCCAGGGGGAGAGGCAAAGGGGAGGGCTCCAGCACATAGTCATAGCTCTTATCTAGAGAGGGAACACAAGGTGATTATAAACATCACTGGGATGGTCTGACACTAGTCTGGTCGCAGATCTGTTTGTGCTCTTGCAAACTCCATTGCTGTTTTTGTCAAGCCTTGGCAAGAGAGCAGAAACAGACTGGCACCCAGACTAGTCTGACACACGCTCGTTCACAGGCATCAGCTCAGGGCAGGCGCTGCACAAATTCATCTGAATATTGGACGGCTAAATCAGCTGATGGGACTATACAATCCATATCATATAGACTAAAGATTGGTGAAAGTGTGCAGCAGTTGTTGAAAACATACACCCACCATCGAGCAAATTATGCACATCCTGCAATCTTTCTCGGTTGACAAGCTGGTGCACTTCTATGGCTGAATAGGTTAAAGCTGCAATCCTTCATGCGAAAAACAACAAACTGCAGCCCCTGCCACTTGGTTTGTTATAAAGCTGAGGGATGGCCATTGTTAACAAGCAATTTAGTTAAACCTTTTTGGGAAAGGTAGTTGTCCTAAACTCATTAGGCATCTATAAGTTATATTCTTCATCAATCAATTGGTCATTAATTGAAAGAGCAAGATCCCAGATTGTGCGTTTAAAAACAAAAGGAGGAGAGAGTGCTCATCATGGAGGATGGGGGAGCGAGAGAGTGAATGAGTGTCTTACGGCGGTCTTGCTGGGTGCGTTGGAAGCCCAGCTGTGAGTCTCTGTTGAGGCCCATGCCCCACACCTTGGTGAGGTCCTTGGTGGAAGAGGAGAGGAGGGTAAAGCCGTACCCACAGGCTGCAGAGGAGATCTGAGGGGAGGGACCAGCTCGGGAGTCAGTCTCTCACTGTCAGTCAGCGTCATCTATTCAAGTACAGCACTTGTGTTTTCAACAGTTCGCATATCATGTTAGAAACGGCATGCATGGCAAGTATGTGTACCTGCCGTGGGTACAGATGCATTTCACAGTGAGTGAGGACATGAGGACAAAATTCAGTGCTGTCAAGTAGTAGTGGTTAGGCAGTGGTCAGGTCACCAAGCCTGGTCCTGGCTTTTGCTCCAGCACAGTACTTACACACCTAATTTAGCTAATCAACTGCTCATCAAATCAAATCAAATTGTATTTGTCACATGCGCCGAATACAACAGGTATAGAGACCTTACCGTGAAATGCTTACTTACAAGCCCTTAACCAACAATGCAGTTCAAGAAATAGAGTTAAGAAAATATTTACTAAATAAACTAAAGTAAAAAATAAAATAAAAAGTAACACAATAAAATAACAATAACGAGGCTATATACAGGGGGTACCGGTACCGAGTCAATGTGCGGGGGTACAGTTAGTCGAGGTCATTTGTACATGTAGGTAGGGGTAAAGTGACTATGCATAGATAATAAACAGTGAGTAGCAGCAGTGTAAAAACAAAGGGGGGGGGGGGGGGGGGAGAGATCAATGCAAATCGTCTGGGTGGCCATTTGATTAAATTGTTCAGCAGTCAAAAATACCTCGATTAGCAGAATCAGCCTTGTTTTCAGTAGACACGAAACAAGAGAAAAACGCTATGAAACAGAAGTAGCCTACTACCTTGTCTGAACTTGTCCAATAAGAAGAACCCATATTTTCGTTTTCAGTTGCAAAACATCATGCCCCAGCCCTAACAAACAAACACAGCCTGGCTGTGTAGACCAACTGGCCTGGAACAAATGCAGTTGTCATACATTGTATAGAAACATGTCTATTATGTCAGTTAAGTGTTTCTGTGGTTAAACAGACATTACCTGCTGCTCTGTCTCCAGACGGTAAGGAGTGAGCTGGTATTTCCTAGGCTTTTTCCTGCCACTGTCTGGAACCACAAAGCTGGGGATGCCCAGAGCTCCAGTGTAGCTAAACCCCCATACGAACACCTTGTGGTTGGGCTTTCGCTGCTTCCCTACATACTGAAACACTGGACCCTCATCCTTTAGCTCCCGAGACCTGGGGGCACTGGTGTGGGTCGCATATCCCTGAGCTCCAGGTGCTAACCTGTGTCGGGCACACAGTCGAAGGTACGCCAATGACATCTCCCCCCCTGAGAAATCATGAAACAGATAACATAATGAGCTAGATATTGGGTTGTCATTGGCAGTTTGACAGAGAGGACAAAGAGTTGTGTAATGTGCAAAGAATATATCATTTAAAAGAGTTCATGCAGCCATTTTCTAACTAGCTCGCTAGATAACCAAGGTAAACATATTCTAGAAGCAGAGCCAGTAAGCTAACGTAACCATTTCAGTAACAGTGCAGTGATGAATTGCAGTTTTGCAAGCAGCATCGAGATCGTTGTAAACAACAAAAAAACACATCATACACCTTTAGCTAGCTATAATAGTCCCGCATCATCACATAAAAAGTGTAACGTTAGCTAGTTCTATGTAGGGTTTTCAGCAGTGTTGCCAATTATTTTTCAAGGAAAGTACAGTAGCTGGTTGCTCCATTTGTCGCTAGAAGTCTCTAGACGACTTCATGACGTTAATTTGTGCATGCGCATGAAGAAATAATATTATTTTTGTTTTTGCTTATGCCACAGATAGAACAATGAGACAGATAATTCACTGGACATATACATGTGACTTAAACACGGGTGCCTAACAACACCCGTGCCAATATATCCCCGTGCCAATATATCCTCCAAACACCGGCTTCTGGAAACCCAAATTGCGTTTTTTGTAATAAAAAACCCCCCTTTTTTTGTTTTTTTTTTTTTAAAAAAAGAAAAAAAAAAAAAAAAAAAAAAAAAAAAAAAAAAAAAAAAAAAAAAAAAAAAAAAAAAAAAAAAAAAAAAAAAAAAAAAAAAAAAAAAAAAAAAAAAAAAAAAAAAAAAAAAAAAAAAAAAAAAACAAAGGGGGGTTTCCCCCTTTTAAATTATGGGTCGGGGGGGTTTTGGGTTTAAAAAAGGGGGGGGGGGGGGGGGTTAAAAAAAAAAGACAAAACCTGAACGGGAATTGTTTTTCCCAAACCCAAACGGGCCGGAGGGAAAAACTGTCATCCCGGGCCGGTAACCGAGTAAAGACGATTTTTCCAGGACCCCGAAAAAGGGAAACCCACAGAGTGGGATGCATTCAGTTGAATAAGGCAAGGGTGTGGGTTGGACATTTCCTTAAAACGAAGAATGGCGGTTTTTTCCTAGAGCTGAACAAAGGTGGTAATTGGGGGAGAAGGGCCCTAAATTGGTGGGGGAATGAGACCTGGACAGTCCGCCCAAAAAGGGAAAAAGAGGGGATTACGAGCAGCTATGGTGGGCATATAAGGGTTGATTAAAAGATTCGGTGTAGCCGGTAATTTTTAAAAAGTTATGGGCCTTTGCAAAGAAGAAAAGTTATACTAAGGAGGGGAAAGAAAAATAATTCCGGGGGGTTCGACCTTTGGAAACAGAAAACAGTCCGAGATATTACGAAAAACAAACTAACGAAGCCCAATTTCACGGGGTTAACCCCAAAGACGAGTGTTGGCAGATCAAAAATTTTAGACTCTCAGCTTAAATTTTTGAGCCCGCAGAAAAAAAAATTTTTGTTTGTTTAAGGAGAATCAAAAGGAACATGTAAAAATTAAAAACCCACGCCAAACCCGGGTACCCGTTAAAATTTTTCCAAAACTGGGCTTGCGGGTCCTAAAAAAATGGTTTTCCCCCAAGGCTGAGCAGGAACAAAAATAGAAAAAAGGAGAAGGAGAGGGGGAAGATGTGGGAGAGAGGGGGAAAACCGGAAGAGGAAGAGAAAGGGGGGAGAGGAGGAGTGGAGAGAGGGGGGGAAAAGAGGGGAGGGAGGGGAGGAGGAGGGGCGGGGGAGGAAAAGGAGCGGGGAGGGAGGAGAAGGGGGGGGAGGGGAAAAGGGGAGAGAGAGGCGGGGGGGAGGAGAGAGAGGGGGGAGAGGGCGGGGGAGGGGAGGGGGGTGGAAACGGGGGGGAGGAGGGGGGGGAGGGAGCGGAGAGAGCGGGGAGAAGAGGAGGGAGGGGGAGCGGGAGGGAGAGGGGGGAGAGAGGTGGGGGGAAGGAGAAGGCGGGGGAAGAGACGGGGGAGGGAGAGGAAAAGGCGGGGATGGAGGGCGAAGGGGGGGGAGAGGCGGGGGGAACCGGGAGGGAGAGAGAGAGGCGGGAGGGAGAGGAGAGACGGGGGGGGGCAAGGGAGAGGGGTAGGGAGAGGGAGATGGGGGGAGGAGGTAAAGGGGGGAGGAGGGGAGAGAGGCGGGGGGGGAGGGGAAGAAGGGGGGGAGGGAGAGGAAAAGGGGGAGGGAGAGGAGAGAGGGGGGGGAGAGGAGAGGGGGGGGAGAAGGAGAGAGGCGGGGGGGGACGGGAGAGGGGGGAGGACGGGAGGGGGGGGGGGGTTTTTGGGTTTTGGGGGGGGGGAGAGAGAGAGGCGGGGGGAGGGAGAGGGGGAGGAGGGAAAGGGGGGGGGGAGGGGGCGAGAGGGGGGAAGGGCGTTGAGGAGGGAGAGAGGAGGGGGAGGACGAGGCGGGGGGGAGGGAGGGGGGGGGAGGAGGAGGGGGGGGACGGCGGGGCGGGGGAGGGGGGGGGGGAAAGGAAGGAGGGGGGGGAGGGCAAGGGGGGAGGACGAGGAGGGGGGGGGAGGAGAGAGGCGGGGAGGGGAGAGGAGAGGGGGGGGAGGGGGAGGGGGGAGGGATAGGAGAGAGGGGGGGAGGAGGGAGAGAGGCGGGAGGAGGAGAAGGAGGAGGGGGAAAGGAGGAGAGAGGCGGGGAGGGAGGGTGAAGAGGCGGGGAGGGGAGAGGGGGGGAGGGAGGTGGAGGGAGGGGGGGAGAGGAAGAGGCGGGGGGGAAGGGGGAAGGGGGGGAGGAGAGGAGAAAGGCGGGGGGGACGGAGAACGGGGGGAGGGAGAGAGGGGGGAGGGAGGAGAGAGAGGCGGGGGGGGCGGGGGAGGGGGGAAGGGGGGGGGGGGGGGAAGGAGGAGAGAGGGGGGGAGGAGGAGAAGGAGGGGGAGGAGAGGAGAGAGGGGGGGAGGGAGGGGGGGAGAGGCGGGGAGGAGAGAGAGAGAGGCGGGTGAGGGAGGGAGAGAGGGGGAAGGAGGGGAGAGGGCGGGGGAAGGAGAGGGGGAGAGAGGGGGGAGGAGGGAGAGGCGAGGGGAGGGGGGGAGGGGGGGGGACGGAGGGGGAGGCGGGGACCAGAGAGCGGGGGGGGGGAAGGGGGGACGAGGGGGAGGGAGAGGAGAGAGGCGGGGAGGGACGGAGAGAGGGGGGAGGGAGAGGAGAGAGGGGGGGAGGGAGAGAGAGAGGGGAGGGGAGGGAGAGGCGGGGGGAGAGAAGGGGGAGGGAGAGGGGGAGAGACAGGAGAGGGGAGGCGGGGGGAGCGGGGGAGAGGGGGGGGGGAGCGGAGAAGGCGGGGGGGGAAAACGGGGAGGAGGGAAGAGGGGGGGGAGCGGGAGAGGCGGGGGAGCGAGAGAGCGGGGGAGGGGAGGAGGGGGGGGAGGGAGAGGAGAGAGGCGGGGGAGGGAGAGGAGAGGGGGGGAGAGGAGCGGGGAGGGGGGAGGAGAGAGGCGGGGGGGGAGAGAGGGGGGAGAGAGGAGGGGGAGGGAAGGGAGAGAGGCGGGGGGGGAGGCAGAGAGGCGGGGGAGGGAGAGGAGAGAGCGGGGGAGGGAGAGGAGGGGGCCCGGGGAGGGAGAGGAGAGAGGGGGAGGGGAGGAGGGGGGGGAAGGAGGGGGGGGGAGGGATAGAGGCGGGGGAGGGAGAGGAGAGAGGCGGGGGAGGGAGAGGAGAGAGGCGGGGGAGGGAGCGGAGAGGCGGGGGAGGGAGAGGAGAGAGGCGGGGGAGGGAGAGGAGAGAGGCGGGGGAGGGAGCGGAGAGAGGCGGGGGAGGGAGCGGAGAAAGGGCGCAAGTGATGGGTGCACCTACACGCAGCAGCCTGCCGGCGGAGGCGGAGCCGGAGCAGACTGCAGAGCAGAACAGCTGTGCTCAGCCATACAAAACAGGGAAGTCTCTAAATCAACCAAAAGTCGCTGTGCCAGCCTTAAAAAGTAACTAAATGTGTCACTATACTCTTACCAATAAAAGTCGCTGGAGGGGTCTGAAAACTCTAGACAAATTCGTTAAATTGGCAACACTTGTTTTCAGTGGTTACATTCGCCCACATCTGGCTCCATGTGAACTACAATTCCAATGCTGTGTTTTGACTTTTAGAAAAGTCAATCGCTTTCAAACCGGTTTTCTAAACAGCAAGAAATAATCTTTCAAATTAAAAAGATACACTTACTGTAGCAGTTTTGCACAGATCCACCAGCAGTGTGCCTCCAGTTGATGAACTAGCTACACTTCTTCACCAGGTATGCTTAACGTTACACACAGGTGTTCGAGCACGCTAGATAGCTAATTAGCAAAGGTGGTCGCCTATGTCTGGCTTCTGTAAACAAGCATAACATGGAGATATGGCTGTGGGAATACTAACCCTATAAAAGGTGTGTAGCAATTTAACATTTGGTTTTTAGAAAATTATGAAAGATGATATGAAAGATGCGTTCCTAATGTCCCGCAAGCGATGCGTGTTAATGTTTAGAGCAAGCGTCGTGGCTCTTAACAAAACACCCCCTGTCAGAAGATACTATCGTCAATAGGCGCTAAAGCAGTTAGTCTATGAATGGGGGTAGCTAGCTATGTGAATGGTCTTACCTGTTATGGTTATTTTGAGTCTTCACGACAAGAGCTTCAATGTGACACCTACATACTGATTTAATCTTCGTAATATTCATAGCTACATTATTTTGGATGACATAGGTTGTGGTTTTATTCAATGCAATTTATTTTACAGGCGTGTTACCGCAGAGGAGGCAGCCATGAGTCACCCCTAACTGCACTTTCAACTTTGACCCGGTTCAAAAAGGAAGCGGCTGGGCCAAATCCCTAACAACGCAAGTGACAGTCCGCCACCTGCAGGGCTGGAGTGTATATTCTGAATCCCAGTTTAATATCTGAGTAACTGTAAATGTTATGAGTCAATTCTGTCTCACGCCCATTCGCAATATATTAACACGTGTTTTGGGGGATCCCTCCATTTCGTATGATTGAATTTATCTGGTAATTGCGAAATGCTATGGTTGTGCTTACTGTAGCTAAAGTTGCTAATTAGCTAAGATTCTAAAGTTGTCCCCAACTTGATTCGAACATGCAACCTTTAGGTTGCTAGTCGTTTGCATCATAGGTTAGGGTTAGCGTAAGGGTTCAACATGTTAAGTATGCAACAATTTCAACGATTTTACTGAGTTATAATTAATATAAGGAAATCAGTCAATTGAAATAAATAAATTAGGCCCTAATCTATGGATTTCACATGACTGAGCAGGGGCGCAGCCATGTGTGGGCCAGGGAGGGCATACGCCCACCCACTTGGGAGCCAGGCCCAGCTAATCAGAAGGAGTTTTTCCCCACAAAAGGGCTTTATTACAGACAGAAATACCCTTCAGTTTCATCAACTGTCCGGGTGGCTAGTCTCAGACGAACCCGCAGGTGAAGAAGCCGGAAGTGGAGGTCCAGGGCTGGCGTGGTTACACGTGGTCTGCGGTTGTGAGGCCGGTTGGTCGTACTGACAAATTCTCTAAAATGACGTCTTAAATAACATTATGTCTTAAGTAACCAGACCATTTGTAACATCATAGGAATTTGAGGTACCCAACAAAATGTGTACTATGCTACGTCTAGCGGTCCTTCGTAGCTCAGCTGGTAGAGCACGGCGCATGTAACGCCAAGATAGTGGGTTCGATCCCCGGGACCACCCATACACAAAAATGTATGCACGCATGACTGTAAGTCGCTTTGGATAAAAGCGTCTGCTAAATGGCATATTATTATTATTATAGTCGGAGCGACCAGGCTGAAATCATACATACATTAGGACAAGGAGAATGAGCAGAGAAGATAAAAATGCAGAGACTGCAGAACATTGTCTGAATTATTATTTATTTTGTAGGTTACAAATAGCTAAATTCAACAAATAAATAACTCATCTTATGTTCCAAAAACTGCATACTGCGTCAAACACGTTTAATAACCACACACTTTATTAAAAAACATTCAACATTAAAACATTGCATATGTAAAAGTAACAATAAGAAAACCGACCCTAGAAAAACACAAATACACCTTTGCTTTTGTGTATACATTCACTATTGTTTTACTTTCTCCATAAGCAGTTAGCTAGTGCTAACATTAAGAACTAAATGCCCTCTATGGCACACATGGTTGGCTTTATCGGCTGTTTAGCTTGTAATGTGCACATTAACCCATCTCTGATTGCATTGCTGACACAAGTCCAGATCCACACAGTTTAAAGCTTTAAGCTCAGTTCGATTTGCGGACACTGACTTTCTTGCGTGTGTTCTCTGTGCAGCGCTCCATGATGAGTTCAGGACTGGGCCGAGGGGGGATGAGGGGAGCCCCTTTCAGCTCACACCCCGGACTAGAGCCCGCTGTCTTTGGGATGTTGTCTGAAAAACAACACAATAAACCAGGCCTAAAGTCAATCTGTAGAGATTAGAGAACTATGAAGGACTTTTTATTAGCAACAATTGTCTAAATTAAAGGTTAAAAATACAATTCTGATCAATCTAACAGTTGGACATTGGATGAAGATAAAGAGACTCCAAACTTTTAGAATTGTTCCAATCCATCAGATTATATAGCACATAAGTACATAAGACATTGTACTGGGAGAGACAAATAATTAATGAAGTTCAGGCATTGGTGGGAATTCAGGTATTCAATTAATTGTAACATTTCACTTTTTCTTATAATGCACTCATATATACATTTACGTTCCTCTGTCTAGGCTACCTTTAATTATAAACTGCGCTCACCTGCACTGTCTAGACCAGGGTGTACTCAACTAGTCTGCACAGCGCGTTATCGACCCAGAACATATCGGTTTTTCTGCCGGAATCACTGAATCACTGGACCTTTAACACCGGATTCATTGCTACCAGCTAGCTGCAACAAAATTGCCGTTGTGGTTTGGCTAATCAGCCTGAGCTAGCTTTGAGCCAGGCCCATGAGATGAGCCAGGCCCATCTCCCGGCTATCTACCTCTCTGTCAACCGGACGGGACCACCTAGTGTTGACACGGAGCCCCGCCGATCCAACACGACTGGTCTGCCGACGAAATCGTCTGATGTGGTTACAACAGGCTTCCCGTTACGACGTCGACCACGAAGATTCCATCTGCTAGCCCCGGCCCGCTAGCACACGCTAGCCGTGGCCTCTTGCTCGCTAGTGCTTTAGCAGCCCCCGAACTACCTCCGAACTATCCTATTGCTGTTCACCGGACCTTCTGATAACTCAGCTATACAGCTGATGCCTGCTGGACTGTTCCTTTTTACAGTACCACATCCTGTTTAGCCTCAGCCCAAACTGTGTCGCCATTACCAGCTGTTGTCTTAGCTCTCTCAAATTACACCTGTGATTCCTTTATGCCTCTCTCCCATGTCAATATGGTTTGCTTATTGCTGTTTCGGTTATTTCTTATTGTACTATTTCACTGTAGATCCCCCAGCCCAGCTAAACCTGCCTTAGATAGCTCCTTTGTCCCACCTCCCATACACGCAGAGACCGACTCAATCGGTGCCTCCAGTGATGCTATCTCTTTCATTGTTACCCAACGCTTAGGTTTACCTCCACTGTACTCTTATCCTTCCATATCCTTGTCTGTACATAATGCCCTGAATCTTTTCTACAACGCCCGGAAATCTGCCCCCTTTATTCTCTGTCCCCAACGCACTAGAAGACCAGTTCTTAAAGCCTTTAGCCGTATCCTTATTCTAGTCCTCCTCTGTTTCTCTGGTGATGTAGAGGCTAACCCAGGCCCTGCAGCCCCCAGTATCACTCCTACTCCCCAGGCGCTATCATTTGTTGACTTCTGTAACCGTAAAAACCTTGGTTTCTTGCATGTTAATATCAGAAGTCTCCTTCCTAAGTTTGAGTTATTCACTGCGTTAGCACACTCCGCCAACCCTGATGTTCTAGCAGTGTCTGAATCCATGTTGCCCAGCGACAGCCCCAAAACATCACTGCTCTAGAGGAGATCTGCATGGAGGAATGGGCCAAAATACCAGCAACAGTGTGTGAAAACCTTGTGAAGACTTACAGAAAACGTTTGACCTGTGTCATTGCCAACAAAGGGTATATAACAAAGTATTGAGAAACTTTTGTTATTGACCAAATACTTATTTTCCACCATAATTTGCAAATAAATTCATTAAAAATCCTACAATGTGATTTTCTGGAAAAAAAATAATCTCATTTTGTCTGTCATAGTTGACGTGTACCTATGATGAAAATTACAGGTCTCTCTCATCTTTTTAAGTGGGAGAACTTGCACAATTGGTGGCTGACTAAATACTTTTTTCCCCCACTGTACAATATGGTGTCGTCTGCGTAGAGGTGGATCTGAGAGTCACCAGCAGCAAGAGCGACATCATTGATATACACGGAGAAAAGAGTCGGCCCAAGAATTGAACCCTGTGGCACCCCCATAGAGACTGCCATAGGTCCAGACAACAGGCCCTCCGATTTGACACATTGAACTCTATCTGAGAAGTAGTTGGTGAACCAGGCGAGGCAGTCATTTGAGAAACCAAGGCTATTTAGTCTGCCAATAAGAATGCGGTGGTTGACAGGGTCGAAAGCCTTGGCCAGGTCGATGAAGACGGCTGCACAGTACTGTCTATTATCGATCGCGGTTATAATATCGTTTAGGACCTTGAGTGTGGCTGAAGTGCACCCATGACCAGCTCGGAAACCAGATTGCATAGCGGAGAAGGTACGGTGGGATTCGAAATGGTCGGTGAGCTGTTTGTTAACTTGGCTTTCAAAAACTTTCGAAAGGCAGGGCAGGATGGATATAGGTCTGTAACAGTTTGGATCTAGAGTGTCACCCCCTTTGAAGAGGGGGATGACCGCGGCAGCTTTCCAATCTCTGGGGATCTCAGACGTTACGAAAGAGAGGTTGAACAGGCTAGTAATAGGGGTTGCGACAATTTCGGCGGCTAGTTTTAGAAAGAAAGGGTCCAGATTGTCTAGCCTAGCTTTTCTGGATTTTTTTTCCTAATTTTGTCTGTCATAGTTGACGTGTACCTATGATGAAAATTACAGGCCTCTCTCATCTTTTTAAGTGGGAGAACTTGCACAATTGGTGGCTGACTAAATACTTTTTCTCCCTACTGTATACATCTGGCCCTTCATTGGACACTGTGTTAACAAACCTCCAAACGAGCTTCAATGCCATACAACACTCCTTCAGTAGCCTCCAACTGCTCTTAAACACTAGTAAAACTAAATGCATGCTCTTCAATCGAACGCTGCTGGCACCCTCCCACCCGACTAGAATCACTACTCTCGACGGGTCTGACCTAGAGTATGTGGACAACTACAAATACCTAGGTGTCTGGTTAGACTGTAAACTCTCCTTCCAGACTCACATTAAGCATCTCCAATCCAAAGTTAAATCTAGAATCGGCTTCCTATTTCGCAACAAAGCCTCCTTCACTCATGCTGCCAAACATGCCCTCGTAAAACTAACTATCCTACCGATCCTTGACTTTGGCGATGTCATTTACAAAATAGTCTCCAACACTCTACTCAGCAAATTGGATGTAGTCTATCACAGTGCCATCCGTTTTGTCACCAAAGCCCCATATACTACCCACCACTGTGACCTGTACGCTCTTGTTGGCTGGTCCTCATTACATGTTCGTCGTCAAACCCACTGGCTCGAGGCCATCTATAAATCACTGCTAGGCAAATCCCTGCCTTATCTTAGCTCATTGGTCACCATAGCAACACCCACCCGTAGTATGCGCTCCAGCAGGTATATCTCAAAGGTCATCCCCAAAGCCAACACCTCCTTTGGCCGCCATTCCTTCCAGTTCTCTGCTGCCAATGACTGGAACGAATTGCAAAAATCTCTGAAGCTGGAGACTCTTATCTCCCTCACTAACTTTAAGCATCAGTTGTCAGAGCACCTTACCGATCACTGCACCTGTACACAGCCCATCTGAAATTAGCCCACCCAACTACCTCATCCCTATATTGTTATTTATTTTGCTCATTTGCACCACAGTATCTCTATTTGCACATCATCTCTTGCACATCTATCATTCCAGTGTTAATACTAATTGTAATTATTTTGCACTATGGCCTATTTATTGCCTTACCTCCATAACTTGCTACATTTGCACACACTGTATATATATTTTCTGTTGTTTTGTTTTACCCCATATGTAACTCTGTGTTGTTGTTTTTATCGCACTGCTTTGCTTTATCTTGGCCAGGTCGCAGTTGTAAATGAGAACTTGTTCTCAACTGGCTTACCTGGTTAAATAAAAAATTAAAAAACTACTATTTGAGAAGGTCCCATCACACAAATTTCCTAGGTGGCAAAGATCCGAATGGATATTGTAATTTATCGGCGTAGTAGTAATAAACTCCCACCTCGCAACCCATGGAACCCCAAACTGTTCAATCTGTTCACATTTTGCAATGTGTGTTTATAAGATACCGGAGTGACTCAACAAAATCAAATGGGGGTCCCCTGGGGGTTGAGGCCCCTGCGCACGTAAGCTGGCCAAGATAAAAACAAGATTTAAATATCTGGTTAGCCTAATTTACCTATCTAGTTTACATTGGCTAGTAGTTGATCAACTGGACATTTCTGACAGGTAATAAATAGCTCTACATCTGTCAGCGAATGACATACCAAGAGGAAAACTGCCCATGTACTACCAAATTTCGAAATTGCACCTTGTGCATTCTACTATTACAACTCTCAACAGCAGTAAGTTGAAAGCCCGACTGAGTTCCCAAAACCAAAATAAAAATGTTTTATTGTATTTATTCGGGACCCGCGGTCCGTATTGACCGCTTAATGGGTCCGGATGCGGACCGTGGTCTACCTGTTGAATATGGCTAGTCTAGACTGCCTCATTAATTATTCATTACTGTTGTTGTCACGTTCGCTTGCATAATTCAACAAGTGTTTCAAGAGAAGGATACACACCCAATTTAAAACCAACATGCCTTGCTCTAGGTTATACTGTACCTATCTATGCATCCTTTACAGTGTTTGAGGCCAGACATAATATCACTATAATCCGAGTGTTCACTTTTACGGAAGTTGCTTTCATTTCAGCACATCTCATTTGTTAACATTTCAACTGTATTAAAGTATAACTTTTTTCAACTACACAAAAAAATTAACACTCACCAAAATAAAGTTATCTTTCGTCTATTTTTTGTAATGTAAGTATCGAGACGGTGCGTTAAGTCCCCGACTAAGAGTTGGAGTTCTTATAGGGATACACAGCAAGAAGTTTCGGAGCAGTCACGCGGGGTCTACTGGGGTACGGATGTAAATATCTGCCGTTGGCGGGCATTCAAATTAGCCCAAATTTTCTTTGCTCAATCTCGTTAATTCTCTTAAACTAAATACCATGACTGTTTCTCATTAGCTGGGAATGTTGTTTGAAATGTCCGATACAACATTATTTGGCTGATATCGTTAACCTACTTCATACCCCTTAGAAATATTATTTTTGTGTGCAGGGTATGCTGTTAGCATGCTAACACTCATTAAGACAGACTGGTAGCATAGCTAACGATGGCTAGCATTCACTGGTTGATGTTTAAGTAACTTTTGAGTGTAATGGAGTTGACTGGTTACTACGACATTAATATATATATATATTCATCATGACATTTGGATGGGAGCTATAATCCGGTTATAACACCCCCCCCCAACAAAAAAAATATATCAACTGTGTCGTTTTAGCTTGAATTCAGGCAAAGTTAAACTGTTTTCAATGAGGATAGAAAACCCTGGATGAGTAGTGTCCCCTTATAGATGCATTTCAGTCATTACCAGAGTGTGTGACAGGTCATTAAACGTTTCTGCATTCATAATGTTAATGGTAAAAAAAACTTTATCACCTAATTTGCATAATCTCTGTAGGAGAGAGGAATAACGTTGTGGGAGAGACAAAAAGTCTCTAGTGAGTAAAAAACACACTACATTTACATCCTGCCCTGAACGTAAGCACGGGAGGGATCAGCCAGCGCCGGCTTCCCACATGCCCGATTCATTTGCAGTCTGGATGTGAAGGGGTGAACATCTCCTGCTCTGACTGCAGCTGGGAGGGACTGCTGCACGAGGACTGGGCCGCTTGTGAGTGCTTTGGCACGGGGGTGGGGCCCACGGGGGCACCCACTGCTCGTTTAGAAGAGTAAGAACGATACGTGCTTTCACGTCAGTCTCCAAAAGTCTCCAATAACACCAGAAAAAGTCGCTAGATTTGTCGCTAGTTGCTTTTTTGAAAATGTGTGGATAGAGGGGTCTGAAAACTCGCTAAATATAGCGACAGTTGCTAAGTAGGCAACACTGGGCATACGCATTGCTACTTTTATGGAGATGGCAATACACACAGAGTATACAAAACATTAAGAACACTTGCTCTTTCCATGACATAGACTGACCAGGTAATTTCAGGTGAAAGCTATGATCCCTTATTGATGTCACTTGTTAAGTCCGCTTCAATCAGTGTAGATGAAGGGGAGGAGACAGGTTAAAGGAGGATTTGTAAGCCTTGAGACAATTGAGACATGGATTGTGTATGTGTGCCATTCAGAGGGTGAATGGGCAAGACAAAATATTTAAGTGCCTTTGAACGGGGTATGGTAGTAGGTGCCAGATGCACCGGTTTGTGTCAAGAACTGCAACGCTGCTGGGTTTTTCACGTTCAACAGTTTCCTGTGTGTATCAAGAATGGTCCACCACCCAAAGGACATCCAGCCAACTTGACACAACTGTGTTCCTAATGTTTGGTATACTCAGTGTACATCTGTGCTCTCTGATTGAAGGCCTTTACTATGGGAGCAAGCCATAGCCGATACTACCCCACCGGAGACCCAGTTTCAAATAGTATCTATCTTTCAAACACTTGGGAGTATATGATTGAGCTCAATTTATTTTATAAAGCCCTTTTTACATCAGAAGTTGTAAATCAAATGTAAATGTAGAAGTTGTCACAAAGTTCCTTACAGCTGAGCTGTAAAGGAGTGCCTAGAGCTGAGCTTGCCTGTATATATTGACAACAAATATACTGAACAAAAATAAACGCAACAAAACTGTACATTTTAGAGTGGCCTTTTATTGTCCCCAGCACAAGGTGCACCGGTGTAATGATCATGCTCTTTAATCTGCTACTTGATATGCCACACCTGTCAAGTGGATGGATTATCTTGGCAAAGGAGATATGCTCACTAACAGGGATGTAAACACATTTGTGCACACAATTTGAGAGGAATAAGCTTTTTGTGCATATGCAACATTTCTGGGATGTTTTATTTTAGCTCATGAAAAATGGGACCAACACTTTACATGTTGCGTTTATATTTTTGTTTAATGTAAATGAAAATGTAAAGGATATTTCATGCTGAAACCCTCATATTAAACACCAGTGGTATTCACTAAGTTGATGGTTTTTATTTAGGATAATGTTTTACAACTTTGTCATTCTATTTTTTAAATCTTTACATGCGATAAAGCCACACAGAGGGCCAGAGATTATTAGACACCTGTGATAATCTGAAGTACCCAAAAGGGCCACTAGATGTCTTGTGATAGATTACATAAAAACTGATAACAAAATTCTGGTAGTTTACTGGTAAACTTTGAACGTTTTCAGTAATATACCCTCCCTTTGCACCTCTAGGTTTACCTCTGTTATTCCTCTCCTGCAGCGGGGACTGTGTGGAGGCCTTGGACGTCTTCCTGGGCTGATTGGGCCGGCCACCCTTCTGCTGCAGGAAGCGGCGACTGTTCCTGCGGTACGTGTCCTGGCTGATGCGCTGCCGTCCTTTGCTGTGAATACTTTGTGCATTGCGGATTGTAGAACTGAAAGCCAAGAGGAAATGTGGAAAGAAGAAATGAGAAGTTAAAACCAACCGTTAAAAAGAGAAGTATCAATTGACGAAAGACCAGGTAGACGTCTTTGTCAGAGTTTCTATTCTTTCATAACTTTCTTTATCCGTAGAGGAACTCATTTCCTGAAGTTTGTAGGCCTACCGTCTGGGTGGAGGTGTCTGTCTTCTAATCACATGCTCTTCCGACTCCATCTCCTTCTTTTCTCCAGTTCTGTAGAGAAACATCGAGGGGAAGTGTCCTGTCTCCTCTCCTTTCCTATCCAAGACAATATGCACCCAACAAGCACTTAGAAACACAGTGTGTGTGTGTGGCTACATGATACAACAGTAGCAAATATAGAAGCTACTACTGATCCAAACAGCTGCCTGACTGTGGACCGACGTTCATAGAGAGACACATAGAGAGAGGGAAGAGTAGAAGAGTACAGAATCAGCCTACATACCTGACCACCCACCATCCATCCAGGAGCTTGTGAATGACCTCAATAGTTTCCCCCGTCTCAAGAGTCAGCTCATCATCTTGTGCTGCCTTGTAGGCTTTGGTGGTGATGTAGAGTTCTCCTGTGGGGACCAACACACAATGTAATTATGAGCTCTAAGTCAACGCTTGTGTACCACCTAGAGGAATGGCTTCCCTAACTTCTTAAAGTTTGTTTCAGATTAGGTTGATATTATACTATGTATACTGCCAACACAAAACGTAACAAATCTCCTGAGACCTCACTGAAAACAGTGTCACGTATCAATAGATATTAGATAAAAATGTAAATGACTAATGTAGATAGTAGGGCTGGGAATTGCCAGGGACCTCACGATAAGATATTACCACGAAACTTAGGTGCAGATATAATTTGTATTGTGATTCGATACTGTGATTTTATTGCGATTCGATGTTCCAAACATATTGTCACCATATGTCTGCTGCAGAGGGACAAGAGAGAGCCATGAGAAAATACATTTTGATTAGTTATGGAAATAAAAGTGCTGAAAACAAAATTTGCCCCCTATTTAAAAAAGAAGATGGAGAACAAGCTTTGAAATAAGTTTTGGTGCAGGTACAGCCAACTAGCGCAAAAATTATATTGCGATATTGTCAAAAATATAATCACTAGTAGATAGTGACACCACTAGCCTCCCTGGCTCTTATTTTAGATGGAGCCCTGGCAAGTGGTGAGACTTGCCTGCGTAGTTGGGATCGGCTTCTTCAGACTCCTCTGGTCCATCCAGGGCTTCCAGGTAAGAGGCGGGCACCCAGCCTCGCTTGGCCTCACACTGGCAGAACCACCAACCTGCCATGGTAGAGGGGTCAAAGGTCAAGTGAGCGCTAAGGTCATGTTCAGTAGGGCATGCAATGGTAAACGTTTTAAAATGTTTCAAAATGAAAATGTGCGTTTCTTATTGGGTAGGTCCAGGTACTCTCTCCCTGTTTCAGTCTGTTGTCTTCTGTTTTGTGCCTACTGAACACCACCCAGGAGCAGCAGTTGGTTAATCAGGGACACCTTAGGGATCACCATGTACAGTTGAAGTCGGAAGTTTACATACACTTAGGTTGGAGTCATTGAAACTAGCTTTTTAACCACTCCACAAATATCTTGTTAACAAACTATAGTTTTGGCAAGTCGGTTAGGACATCTACTTTGTGCATGACACAAGTAATTTTTCCAACAATTGTTTACAGACAGATTATTTCACTGTATCACAATTCCAGTAGGTCAGAAGTTTACATACACTAAGTTGACTGCGCCTTTAAACAGCTTGGAAAATTCCAGAAAATGATGTCATGGCTTTAGAAGCTTCTGATAGGCTAATTGACATAATTTGAGTCAATTGGAGGTGTACCTGTGGATGTATTTCAAGGCCTACCTTCAAACTCAGTGCCTCTTTGCTTGACATCATGGGAAAATCAAAAGAAAATCAGCCAAGACCTCAGATTTTTTTTTTGTAGACCTCCACAAGTCTGGTTCATCCTTGGGAGCAATTTCCAAACGCCTTAAGGTACCACTTTCATCTGTACAAACAATAGTACCCAAGTATAAACACCATGGGACCACGCAGCCGTCATACCGCTCAGGAAGGAGACGCGTTCTGTCTCCCTAGAGATGAACGTACTTTGGTGCGAAAAGTGCAAATCAATCTCAGAACAACAGCAAAGGACCTTGTGAAGATGCTGGAGGAAACAGGAACAAAAGTATATATATCCACAGTAAAACGAGTCCTATATCAGCATAACCTGAAAGGCCGCTCAGCAAGGAAGAAGCCACTGCTCCAAAACCGCCATAAAAAAAGCCAGACTACGGTTTGCAACTGCACATGGGGACAAAGATCGTACTTTTTGGAGAAATGTCCTCTGGTCTGATGAAAGGAAAATAGAACTGTTTGGCCATAATGACCATCGTTATGTTTGGAGGAAAAAGGGGAAGGCTTGCAAGCCGAAGAACACCATCCCAACCGTGAAGCACGGGGGTGGCAGCATCATGCTGTGGGGGTGCTTTGCTGCGTGAGGGACTGGTGCACTTCACAAAATAGATGGCATAATGAGGAAGGAAAATTATGTGGATGTATTGAAGCAACATCTCAAGACATCAGTCAGGAAGTTAAAGCTTGGTCGCAAATGGGTCTTCCAAATGGACAATGACCTCAATTATACTTCCAAAGTTGTGGCAAAATGGCTTAAGGACAACAAAGGCAAGGTATTGGAGTGGCCATCACAAAGCCCTGACCTCAATCCTATAGAAAATGTATGGGCAGAACTGAAAAAGCGTGTGCGAGCAAGGAGGCCTACAAACCTGACTCAGTTACACCAGCTCTGTCAGGAGGAACGGGCCAAAAGTCACCCAACTTATTGTGGGAAGCTTGTGGAAGGCTACCCGAAACGTTTGACCCAAGTTAAACAATTTAAAGGCAATACTAATTGAGTGTATGTAAACTTCTGACCCACTGGGAATGTGATGAAATAAATAAAAGCTGAAGTAAATCATTCACTCTACTAATATTCTGACATTTCACATTCTTAAAATAAAGTGATCCTAACTGACATTTTACATTTACATTTTAGTCATTTAGCAGACGCTCTTATCCAGAGCGACTTACAGTTAGTGAATACATATATTTTTTTAAAATACTGGCCCCCCGTGGGAAACAAACCCACAACCCTGGCGTTGCAAACGCCATGCTCTATCAACTGAGCTACATCCCTGCCGGCCATTCCCTCCCCTACCCTGGACGACGCTGGGCCAATTGTGCGCCGCCCATGAGTCTCCTGACCTAAGACAGGGAATTATTACTAGGATTAAATGTCAGGAATTGCGAAAAACTGAGTTTAAATGTATTTGGCTAAGGTGTATGTAAACTTCCGACTTCAACTGTATGTTGCATTCAGTGCACATTGTCACATGCACACTTTTGTGCCTATCATTTCATGCAAAATGTTCATGGTTCATGCTTGGTGCTGTAATCTAGTGTACACTGAATACAACACCCCGATTTACAGCAACTCCATTTTCAGATGGCTTCTGCTCTGACTGGGACCATTCATTGGGTCAGTGATGTTATCTCTTATCGTCACTCACCGTTTGGGCTTTTCTCCACAATCTCCACCAAGTCTCCAGTATGCAGGGTGATCTCATACTTGGAGGTGTGGCTGTAGTCAGCAATCACCCGGTAGCTTTCCAATATGATGGGGCCAGAGATCTCTGAACAGACCACAAAAATGACACTCTTAAATCTCTATGGTAGATCTCTTTATAACAGGACTATAGTACACTAGAGCCCATATTCCCTCACATTTGGCAAGAAAAGTGTATCTATTAGTGGGTTAATAAAAGGGTAAAGACTAGAGACAAGGTCTTACCAGAAGTGTTGTCTCTTGGCTTGTCATTGGACACCACAAAGGTCTCATTTCTTTTTAATCTACAGGGGAAACATGGAGAACTCACTCATCAATCCAGAAGCAAAGGTAATACAGGCTGAGTTTCATTCCAGGAAGCCGTCCACTTCCCTAGTTCATTTCCATTAATGGATCTGATACAACTGGGTAGGAGTAAGCAATAACTTCACCTAGTTTTCGCCATATTGCTTTTCACCCATCCAGTCCTATCAGATCTGGGAAGGGGGTGAACAAGAGAAGAGGGAAGGGAACATCTTCCTGGAATGGAGTCAAACACATTGTTTCCATGTGTTTGATCCTATTCCATTGACTCCATTCCAGCTATTACAATTAGCCCATCCTCCTATAGCTCCTCACACCAGCCTCCTCTGGTTCACTCCCCCTCATGCATTTAAAAGCAATGGATTGGTGCGTACATGGCTGGAGGTAGTTTCCACCATATTCCTCAGTTGGTAGAGCATTGCTGCAAGCGCCAGGGTTTTGGGTTCGATTCCCACGGGGGACCAGTACGAAAAAAGTATTAAAATGTATGCACTCACTACTGTAAGTCGCTTTGAATAAGAGCGTCTGCAAAATGACTAAAATGTAAGGACAAGGGTAGAGAATCAGAATGTAGCCACAGTGTTTACAGATCAGTAGTGAGACAGTGCTTGTAGTTGTACTGACGGGTGTTGAGCGGGTGGGTTCTCGTCCTCCGGTCGGACCTTGAAGAGGTTGCGTACCAGCTGGCTACGGGAGATCTTGGGGGGCAGGTTGATGAGAGAACCGCAGTAATCAGCCAGAGTGCTCTGCCTGGTCTCTGTGCTCTTTTGGTTGTCCAACCACTTTGGCGCTGACGATAGGAAGGAAAGGGAGAATATGAGCAGGGCAATTGAAAACAGAGAACCCCCATTCCTTAACATGGAATATTCTAAATGGTATACTACAGTGGTACAGTGGGGAGAACAAGTATTTGATACACTGCCGATTTTGCAGGTTTTCCTACTTACAAAGCATGTAGAGGTCTGTAATTTTGATCATAGGTACACTTCAACTGTGAGAGGTGGAATCTAAAACAATAATCCAGAAAATCACACTATGATCTTTAAGTAATGAATTTGCATTTATGCACGAATACAAAACTAACACAAGGACTTTCCCTCAATAAGGCTCAAGTTTAAGGTTGTGTTGATGCAACATGGGGAAGCAGAAGTTGCAGACAAATCTCATGCGGTTTGTCTACAATTTATGAGGTTTGTCTGGAACTTCTGCTTTCCCATGTTGCATCAACAGAACCTTAATAACCACTTGAGCCCTGTTGAGGGAAAGTCCTTGTGTTAGTTAGTTTTGTTTTTGTGCTAAATAATATGGTTTGGATCACAAGTGGTCACAACCTTTGGATTAAAAACATGCTGCCTTTAGGGAGAAATGAAAGTGCAAACTGTTTGACAAAAATTCAAATGTGTAAAATACGTAATATGCCTGTCTTAAACATACAGAATCCCTACCCATCAGTTTAACTGTAAAGTAGAGGTCTTCACGGGTCCAAAAAGTTGGACCTGTTCCAAAATGGACCTGGGGCTTTCCCACCCAGACCCTATATGCATAAATAACATTTTTAAATAGAGACCCGTTCCAAACGGACCCAAGGACAACTAGACCCGTTCCGTATAGACCTGGTCGTATCCAGACCCAGTCTGATCCGAATGAGGGAAGCAGCAGAAAATTCATTTTTTAAGCTCTTTTATTAACCAGAGCTGATAAAGCGTGAGAGGATGGAGAGGTGCCGCTCTAGCAGGCGGGGGGGGGGGGGGGGGCGTACTGTGAGCGAGTGACATTGAGAGCAGGGAGAGACAGAAACCAAGCCGACTCGCGCTATCAGATCCGACCCAGAACCATGATTTAGTTATGGTTTACTGATTAGCATTGTATTAAAAAAGAGAAGTACATTTGTCACATCTGGATTGCAGCAGCAGGTGTTTCCTTATACAAAGCATTGACTATTTTTTGTCTGTTCACCCAAGCGCATTCAACACCTACCTGTATACTTTTTTATGTTTTCAAATCAAGCAAAAAGGCAAAGGAGTTTCCTCACGAAACCCAGACAAAAAAGGACCATAATTTTGGGGATCTTCACGAAATGTAACCCATAGAATAGTCCTTTTGGAGGAAGGATTGTTGACATATATTTGACATTTGATTCTAAAAGCATAACTGAGAAATAATTAATCAACTTTAATCAAAGTTGCCATATTTATGACATTTTGGCCTTACCCAGGCCTCCTTTAAGACTCCATAATGCTACAAAACAAAAATGGGTGTCATATGAAGCTTTAGTCCCCTGTAGCTCAGTTGGTAGAGCATGGCGCTTGCAACGCCAGGGTTATGGGGGGCCAGTATGAAAATGTATGCATTCACTAACTGTAAGTCGCTCTGGATAAGAGCGTCTGCTAAATTACTAAAATGTAAATGTTACCACACTTGCTCTGTAATATGAGTAGAATAAGTTTGTATTTTTAAATAAATGTATGAATATTGAAAATATACCATTTTTGATTTGGCTAATTTGTCAATATATTGTTGAACATAATATGCTCAACGGGCATATCAAAGTTCCAGAGTGGGATCACTGCTAGTTTTAAAGTTAAGGCCCATTTATTTCCAGAGAAATTGGCATCGTAGAATTTTCAACAATATATTGAAAAGTTAGCCCCCCTCCAAAATTAACCATGTTCATATTTATATATATTTTATTTTATTTTATTGAAATACTACTTATATTACAGAGCAAGCGGTAAAACTTCATATGACACCAATGTTTGCATTATAGCACCTACCTATGAAACACTAGGGAATCTTAAAAGAAGGCCTGGGTAAGGCCAAAATGTCATACATATGCCAACTTTGATCCATTATTTCTCAATTATGCTTTTAGATGCAAATGTCAACAATCCTTTCTCCAAAGGACTAAATCATGATTTATTTTGTCTGGGTTTCGTGAGGAATCACTCAAAGGACACTAGAATTACAACATCACTTCTATAGTAAATTGTCGAGTGATCAATACTTTCTTTATCCATGATTTTCCACCTAGGTGCTCAAAGCGCTTGACATGGTAAGGTGGAAACTCACCTCATCCACCACCAATGTGTTGCAGGCAACCAGTGCAAGAACGCTAACCACACATCGGCTATCATGGTGGAGAGGTAAGCCTTGGAGCAGATACATGTCCTCACCTGGTAGTGCAGGGATGATCCTGTCTTTCTTATCAATGTCACCCGCCTCAATGGGGAACATCTCCTTCAGGGATTTCTATAACCCAGACACATTATCAACTGACTGCAGATCAGTGGGGGTAGTAGGAAGGCAGGCATTCAACAGCATTTATCCATATTACAAGCTTCATTTACAGAGGTAGCAATGAAATCCCTTCGACTGCTATTTGCATACAGACAAACACTACACGTACACAGCTGTCCATCTTTCCTACTTTTTGCATTCAGGTTATTAAGTTGTGTGAGGCAGCTACTCACGTGAAAGGTGTAGATCTCCGGATACCCTCTATAGATCAACTTCTCAGACAGGTCGTTCCATTTTACCATCAGCATGTAGACCTTCAGAGAAAGTAGTCAAAAAGATAAGTGAAGAACTCCAATCAAATGCTCAACAGAAATGGCTCTTGCTGAATGAAAATGTTATCAAAGCAATTTAATGTTAACTAATATACCTGGACATTAAAGATTTTTAAGCATTTCTCTTCACTATTAACAAGAAGTGAATCGGACTAAGAAGTACTTTTAATAGAGAATCTCCATTGAGCATGCTTTTTTAGTCTATGACTAGGCTTAATCTGTGTCTGGGAAACAAACCACAAGTACTGCATTAACCTCCACTGAACCATTGTGTATTTTGGTCAACAATGGCAGTCTCAAACTCACATAGTGCTGGCTGGGGAAGAAACGTTTCTCAAAGCCCAGCAACTCCACATGCCTGACATAGGTTTCCTCCATTGTGAGATGCAGAAGAGTGATGATCAAGTCCACAAGTGTGCTGGGTGAAATGGGAAGATGGCTTTTTATAGCAACAGTGTGAGCTCAGAAAGCAGCCAGCCCCTGTAGGAGGAGGTCCCTCAACAGATACCTTGGGATCCTCACATAGCTTTCACTCTGGTCATTTACTGAGAAACGGTAATAACTTTGATTGCATTGATCCTTTCAACTGCCATCATCCATGAGTTCATTGGGTCAATAATTTCAGTCATTTTTTTTATGCATCATCCGTGAGTTTAGAGTTCATTCAAAGGCGATCATCTCAAACATATTTTCTTTAAGTTATAAAGCTGTTATAGTCAAGAATACAGTGCATTTAACAACAGCTTTTTATTGATTTATCTCACATAGATAACAAATGTGGATTCAAAGAAATAAACAGATGAGATCCCTGAAGATCTTGTTGTTGTTATAGATCTACTCAGTAGAAATTAAGTTACATGCCTCACTTATTGGGGTAATGTACATACATTTAACACTAACAAGGATTTTCATGATATAGATACATGGCAAATGAATATAAAGCGGTGACTGACTCTTGGCGCTAAACAAATATATGTGCTTCAGATCAATGTTAAAATGACATTCAATCTAAAAAGAACAGTTAATACATCATAGCTGACTATGCCATGGGAGAGGCTGGGGGGAGAGTCCAATTCAGATCATTGAACCAAATGCAGAGGAAGATATAACAATGATGAATTAATCAGAGGGTCAGAGTAACACAGACATTACTTTTATTTTCCTTAGTGTTGTTCACAGCAACCTTCCTGCCACACAAATGTTGGGTTTCACTGGGACTTTTGCAACACAGAATGTCAGCAAGGCTTATGATTTCAAAAAGTTTCATAATTTGGGAAAAAGGAACAAAAAACAGTTTGAAAACCCAAGCGAACTCATATTGGCTGTGTGCTTCCTCTTTCCAGTAATAGTTTTGTAGTTCAGTTAATGATAGCCTAGGCTGGATTTCTGTAGAGATTAACTGTAAACAAAAACGGTTTACACAGGATGCAGCAGAATGTTTGGGGAGGTAACTTCAAAACAAAGACACAAACACAGCATGTTTTACTATCCTTGTGGGGACCTAAAATTGATTTCCATTCAAAATCCTATTTTCCCTAACCCCATAATCCTAAACCCTAAGTTTAAAATAGCCTTTGTCCTCATGGGGATGTGGGAAATGTCCCCACGAGGGAGAATTTCCCTTGTTTTACTATCCTTGTGGGGACTTTGGGGGATTTACAGTACCCACAAGGACAGTAACACACACACAACAAAATAACAATGAGGAGTACTAGCTGGTGAACCACATTTTTTATTTATTTAACTAGGCAAGTCAGTTAAGAACACATTTTTATTTACAATGATGGCCTACACCGGCCAAACCCGGACGACGCTGGGACTCCCAATCACGGCCGGTTGTGATACAGCCTGGAATCGAACCAGGGGGTCTGCAGTGACGCCTCAAGCACTGAGATGCAGTGCCTTAGACCACTGGATGAAGAAAAAACTAAAACGCTCAATGCAACCTCATTCCTGTGATGACCACGTTGTGAAATCAATTGCCAAGCCATCACTCTCTCCCACCCCTAAGACCCATGGGCTACCTGTGACACATAACTATTATGAATTAGTCACCAGCGGTCCACAACGCACAAAAGACAAACCAAACAGCTTTGTTTGGTGTGAAGTATGACATGATTGCACATTAAAAACAATACACTTTCAATGAATAAAGCAAAATCAAGATCTAAAGCGGCTTAACCAGATTAAGAAAAGTGGAGAAAGGAAAATTATTGTGAGCTCCTATTAACTTGGAATAAACAAAGCATCTTAAACATTGCAAAAAGCAAAGCATATCAAAACCGAAATAACGACAAATTGCAACAAAATGTAAGCATGATTCTGACACCAGTTGTACTAGGCCAGGAATGGGCAACTGGTGGCCCGCGTGTAGGCATTCGGATCAATTCACACCCCCCCCAAAAAAAACATTTTCCTGTTTTTTAGGAACTCAGTCGGGGTCTCAACTTACTGTTGCGAGTTAGAATAGTAGAATGAAAACATACACATGGTGCAATAGACCCGCGAGCCACTGGCCCCTTATAATGAGTTCCGATTTTTTGTGACTCCCACCCCCATCAAAGTTGCCCATCCCTGTACTTGGCTGATAACAAGGCATTTATAAGTCACTCTACAAGAATCAACAGGTATACTCTGTAGATCAGGGCTGCCCAACCCTCTTCCTGGAGATCTACCATCCTGTGGGTTTTCAGTCCAACCCTAATTTAACACACCTGATTCTACATATTAGCTGCTCAACAAGACCTTAACTAGCTGAATCAGATACGCTAAATTAGGGTTGGACTGAAAACCTACAGGACAGTAGCTCTCCAGGAAGAGGATTGGGAAGCCCTGCTGTAGATCATTGGATATATTGTCTAATCCAGGGATGGTCAATTCCAGTCCTTGAGGGCCGTAATAGTGACACACTTTTTCCAAATCCCTAGCAAACACAGCTGATAAAACTAATTGCATTCTTAAATAAAGATCATGATTAGTTGATTATTGGAGTCAGGTGTGTTAGCTGGGGCAAAAGTGTGACACCAATCAGGACCCAAAGGACTGGAGTTGCCCATCCCTGGTCTAATCCAGGGTTTCCCAATCTCCCCCCCCCGTCTGTCTGGTCTAATCTACACTAAGTGTACAAAACATTAAGAACACCTGCTCTTTCCTTTACAAGTGGTGTCAAACGCATTCCATGGAGGGCCTAGTGTCTGTGGTTTTCGGTTTTTCCTTTGACTTAAGCCCTAGACAACCAGGTGAGGGGAGTTCCTTACTAATCAGTGACCTTCATTTATCAATCAAGTAAAAGGGTGGAGCAAAAACCGCAGACACTTGGCCCTCCATGGAACGAGTTTGACACAGGTGAATGGTATAATCCTTTATTTATTGATGTCACCTGTTAAATCAGTGTAGATGAAGGGGATGAGACAGGTTAAATAATGATTTTTAAGCCTTGAGACATGGTTTGTGTGCCATTCAGAAGGTGAATGGGCAAGACAAAAGATGTAAGTGCCTTTGAACGGGGTATGGTAGTAGGTGCCAGGGGCACCGGTTTGAGTGTGTCAAGAACTGTAACGCTGCTGGGTTTTTCATGCTAAACCGTTTCCTGTGTGTATCAAGAATGATCCACCACCCAAAGGACATCCAGCCAACTTGACAACTGTGGGAAGCATTGGAGTCAACATGGGTCAGCAACCATGTGGAACTCTTTCGACACCTTGTAGTCCATGCCCCGACAAATTGAGGCTGTTCTGAGGGCAAAAGGGGGTGCAACTCAATATAAGGAAGGTGTTCCTCTGTTTTGTATACTGTGTATAGTCTATAGCAAGGGTATTCAACTCTTACCCTACAAGGTCCGGAGCCTGCTGGTTCTGTTCTACCTGATACTTAACTACACACATCTGGTGTCCCAGGTCTAAATCAGTCCCTGATTAGAGGGGAATAATGGGAGAAAGAAAACACTGGCTTTGAGGTCCAGAGTTGAGTTTGAGGGGTCTATAGATTGAGGCATTGAAGTGTAGAAAATTAATTTGAACACAGGGTCCCATTGTCTTCCGTCAGATGGTGTTATTCTAATGCAACAAGTGTCTCCAGGAGCCGTATCTGCCTTAAGACAATGCACAGTGTCCCGGTCACTGCTCTGGGGCCTTGGGATTCCCTTTGACCAGAGTGACAAGAGCCCCCTGGTGGCCATTCAACATCACTCCAACAACATCACAGTGAGCTCCACTACTTCTAAAATAAACTGCAAACCTTTTTCTTAATGTATTTTCTAATCTTTCCCATAACAGACTATGCCGTGTTCTGGTTCTCCCAAGATCTGTCCAATCTTGCCTCCAATAAATATTAAAATTCTGGTATTTGAAGTGGAACTGATTTAAAAATGAATTTGTATTACATTCAGAGAATGCAGTGATTTGCTGATGCAAGATTACTTAATTAGTTGTGACTTTTGCAATCCAAAATTATCCACAAATAAATGCTGACACGACACACAAGTATTTAATGGGATATAACACCCCTTATTTTTGTATTGACATGATTTAGGCGTCCTAATTCAGACCTCTGTCCACACAAACTTTTAAGTATTTGTCCAGTATTTTCTACTGGTGTATTTTCAGGATTTCTACTCCTCTGTTTTCAGTCAGACTGAGCCAAAGTCTCCCCCTTTCTTTCATGTCTTTCTATGTGAGCTTTCAAGTTTCCTAATTGAGTAAAACATTTACAACAGAAACCGCACTGAAAAGGTTTGTCACCAGTGTGTACTCTCTGGTGCACCTTCAGACTCCCTGCAGTAGAGAAAACCTTCCCACAGTCAGAGCACGGGTAAGGTACTCCGCCAATATGTTTTGCCTTATGAGCTAGCAAGTTTGCTAACTGAGAGAAACTCGCGCCACATTGATTGCACTGGAAAGGTTTCTCTCCGGTGTGCCGCCTTTGGTGAACTTGCAAGGATGCCAATTGAGCAAACCTTTTCCCACACGCGGAGCAGTTGTAAGGCTTCTCACCGGTATGGATTCTCTGGTGTACTTTTAGGTGAGCTATCTGAGTGAAACGCTTCCCACACTCAGAGCAGTCATAAGGCCTCTCCCCAGTGTGTGTTCTCTCGTGGGCCCTCAAGTGTGCCAACTGAGCGAAAGTCATTGGACAGTTCATGCACGGATGAGGGCCGGGAGGCCCATTTGGACGACCTCTTCCTCGTCCAGTGCCAGGAGGCCCATTTGGACAACCTCTCCCTCTCCCACAATTTCCCTGTGCCTCAGACTGAGAAGAAATCTTTCCATCTGAGTAAGGACCCTCTCCAGTCTGTTCTTCCTGTTGTGGTTCCATGTAATTTGACTGAACAGAATCCTTTCCACACTCGGATATTAACTTTGTTGCTTCAGAAACCTCTTGTATGAAGTCAATTGACGCTGAGGCATAATCCCCCATGTAAATATTGGATAGGTGTTCTCCTGTGTAAGAAGTACAAGGTTGTGTTCAAATAAACCGGACGCAGTGTAACCAACATCATGCAAAATGGCGCCTGGCATCCACTGATCATTTGCGCTACTGTTTAGATACAAAAACCAATATGCTCTGACTGACACTAGAGAAAACATGTAGGCTACAGCTATACACAAAGTTGTCCAACTATTTGTTTCTGGAATAAACACAGCCTTGATGTGGCACAACAATAGATGACGAAACACTCTCTGAGAAGTTACTTACCAAGAGTGGACGTGTCTCCAACCTCCACCTTCCTCGCCACATCAACAGCTACAGTAGTAACAGCTAGTAGAAATGGAACAACACATCAACTGACTGGACAATGTAACTAAGAGTTTAAAAATTTACAGCAAAGTGTTTTTGCAAGTGTCTTTCTCAAAACTGGCACTTACGTGGAAATATGACGATAAACTCATCATGCACTGGTTCAACAGTCTCCACTTGTTTGACAGTCATGCTTGTCGATTCTGTTTGGTGGCAATCTTCCGGCCTCACAGTCCCCATGTTAAGGGCATGCAGAGCCTCAATGCACCCCCCTTGGGTTTTGCAACAGTCCAAAGTGTCAAAGATTCTTTCGTCAGTGTGCCCTGGGCTGCACCACAGCAGTTGACCTGGTCTGAAAATCAAACAAGGCATGTCTTACTCTGTGTGCAATTTATGCTAGCCTGATAATTAGCTTCGATAATGATTTCTGAGCTAGCTACCTAGTTAGCTAATCCCAAAGCATCCCCTACAGTTACGCCTAGCATTGTTTCTGTGTGGATTTGAGACGATTGGATCGATGTAATGTGGGAGCTAGCTAACTAGTTTCATCTTGCTCTAATAGGCCAGGTGGAATTGTTGCCATATCTATACAAACTCAGACCTCCATAAGTACCTAAAGGGCAAGGGATTGATTTGGGATTCTTTGAAATCCACTGTCTGTTTCAGTAGGTTAACGTTAGCTCAGCTGTCCTTTTGTTGTTTAATTTAGATAGCTTGCCTAGTTACTCACCGAATCCATTGTCAGGGTATTGCATACTAGCTAGGTGTACGTGTTTCATTAACATTAAATTAAAATGAGGTAAACATATGAGTTATCAATCGCTCGTCTAAATAGACCCTAAACATCAACCAACACGCGCCATAAATCTGCACACTCTGCTTCCGTATCCCTGTTGGTTGGAGGACTTCCGGTCCGAAATGTTCTTCTGAACGTCAAAAGTCCTGATAATATTATTGAAACTAAAATAAATCATTACTGGCAAACGGTAGTCAAATGAACTTTTAAGAGCATAAAAATGTGTTGTATAATTACTCACTCTGTGATATTTACAGCCGTTTTTTTAAATCATTTAAAAATAATATATGCCTACCCATTGATTGAATATAAAACCATGACTGCAGTGCTTAGTTCAACTAACCTAACCCCATCATAACCCAATATGAAAGGATATTTTACTACATTATTTGTGAACAATGTCTTTAGAAACAAACAATGTATAGTTTCAAAACATTGTAGCAAAGTCAGGGGCCGACCGAGCCCCCTTGTGACTGTCTCAACAGTAGGTGTTTTGCCAAGATAGCCAAACCACTTTACAAGGTTACTAGTAGTTGGTTTAAGGTCACTATAGGGTGAATTCGGCAAGAGTGGGACATCATATAAACTGGGACAGCTTAATCCTGATGCATAGCCACGGGAAGATGTTTGGGGGTGTTTTTGGGGGTTTATTTTTTTGCCTTGCTACAGACAGCTATATCGGTCCACTAATACAGGACTAGTAAAGGCCCAGTGCACTACTTTTGTGAATAATTATTTTAGAGGGTGCTGCAGCACCCTCAGCACCCCTACATCCCGCGGCTATGTCCTGACACTTTTATTTATTGGTCTGACAAGAGAAAATTCAAACTATTGTTACTAATGGTGCTTTCAAGACAACTAGGAACAAAACAAAAAACAAGGTCAAATCATGATGTCAGTGATCTTCAGGTCGGAAAGTCGGAGCTCTAGAAAGATGCCGCATTTACGACTTGGAATTCTAAGTTGGGTGACAAAATAAATATTTTTCCCAGTCTGAGCTAGTTTTTTTCTGAGTTTCCAGTTGTTTTGAACGCACTGAAGTCTGTTTTCCAAGTTCCTAGTTGTTTTGAACGCAGTATAAGCCCCTGCAGAGAAACCACATGATCAAAATTACATCACTTCATTGGTGTGACATCATAGGGCAGAGAAAGCTTCAAACAGGAAGCTCACCCCACGAAGCACACAGTATGATCAGTGACATAGCTTTTTTCTGTTTTGATGTTAAGGTTATAAAACTGTCATAAATAATGCACTGTGCCAAATTGTGATGTAAATGTGCGTACTATGTACTGGTGCATCACAATACATAAAAAAGGTGCGAATATTATATTTCAATTTTGTCATTGTCGTCATTTTTTGTTGTTGTCCCGCTTTACCAACCATAGCTAGCTAAAGAAGGACAGCATGGAGTAGCTAAAGTGGGACAGTCTTTTCCAATGGAGGAAAGAGATCCAGTTTACATTAGGGAAACCCCCGGAACATAGGTTAGGCAGGGCTCTGGTTCTTGTAGTACTATATCCTGTTAATTTTTTCTTGTAGTACTGTCAGTGCTTGACTTGGACAGGAACTCACCGTCGCTGAGTACCGGCACCTCAAATGTTCTACTGCTTGAGCTCCTGTTCCTCTTATTAGGTCAAAAGTATTGTGGAGCTCCTGCACTTAAATATAAACAGTACCCACACCCAAAATGAGTACCGGAACCTATTTCAGTCCAAGTCAAGCACTGACTACTGTTGTTAGTACTGTTATTAAAGTGAATTCAGAAAAAGTGGTACATTTTAGCATTTCCGTCTTCTGTAACCTCTTCAGACATCTATCCAACATATTAGCCCAACACATGATACATTTCAGAAATCCTCAGATGTTTCCTAATCACACAAAATGTAATTCAATTGTCATTGGGGTACAATTAGGACTATAATAATGGTGTCCCAGTTTATCTAAACTGCTGTACCAGTTTACCAAAATGCAAACTGAAAATATGGTCTTGACTCAGTGTACACAAATGGGTGTGTCATGCATCCTTTGAATATTTTATCAACATTAGTTTTTTGTTTGATTAGGAAACATCTTGAGGATTTCAGAAATGTACAGTCTCATGTGTTGGGCTAACACATTGGATAAAGCACGTCCGCACGCTTCACTCCTGAAAGTTGCTCATGCCTGCAACCTTCGGACACGTCGATGGCAATAAGCGGGGGCCATCCCAACTCTCTCATCAATGTAGTGAAGTTAGGAGGACTTTTAATTGTATCATCTCACAAAATGACTAGTCCTCCATTGAATATGAATAAGGCAGGAGCCATTGGCCCTTCATCAGTACCTGACTATAACAGTGGAGGCTGCTGAGGGGAGGACGGCTCATAATAATGGCTGAAATGGAGTCAATGGAATGGCATCAAAAAACCATGTGTTTGATGTTTTCAATACCATTCCACTAATTCCACTGCAGCCATTACCATGAGCTCGTCCTCCCCAATTAAGGTGCCACCAAACTCCTGTGGACTATACTATATATAAGACTGGGACATTTGACACTATGTGGACCATTAGGCTGAAGAAAACACGATAGGATAAACAAAAGTTCTGACCGTACACAGATAAACCTGGTCAAACCGGTTTCCCTCTATTGTTCCCAGGCAGCACCTTGTCCCTGATTCGCTGATGTCCAGGTCAATTCTAGTTATTCCAGCTTTCTCTGCGCTCCCATTCCATATAACGTTGTTGTGTTCACACGAGTCTCACCTACTCAGCACGGCTTGATATCTATCAACAACAATGAGGACAATGTTAATCTTCTTTGGAATGCTTTTCACCCTTTCAAATGCAGGTATGTTATGATATTGATCTAAGAAAAACATTTACATTTCTGTAAGATTGAATATTCAGTTTGTCAATACCTTTCTGACTTAGAAATTGTAACACACAAAGAAACAATTGTGTCAGAATTTGATCGAACATATCCTCATAAGCCTATCTTAAACATTTGAAAAACACAATGCAGTAGTGTATCTTTTGAGATACGTTTTTTTTAAAGCTATGCTGATGATTCATTATTCATAACATGTGGTTATTCCTTCTCCAAATTGTTGCTTTACTCTAGAACTCCAAGTGAGCCTTCTGAAAGAGTCAGATGGACTTGTAACAGGCAGGTTTTCTGACTCTTTACTTTTGAGTCTGCCTCCATGTTATTTGGCAACAAAGAGTGTGACTTTGGAGTACAACAACACTGACACCAACGAGAGCAGTGAGTGTTCGATTTGGCCTTTTGTCTTCTAATATCAATATGATTATGGGAGGAATCTTGCATAACTTTCCATTCAATTGCTAAAACCAATAATTTTATTCTGACAAGACAATGGTAACCATGGTCAATTCGAAATGCTAAACCAGTGATGTTTTTTTATTGTGGTCATTTGTAATATTTATGGTACTGGGGTATGAATGTCTCATTCCACAGAAACTTTGGTCAATATATTCAAAGTGCTCCCCTGTCAGCTCAGAAGGGACATCCTCTCAACCATTGAGAATAATGGCCAGTTCACTACCAGCAGAAACCTGGGTTATCAAGTGACAAATCTCACCACTGGCTCAACATACAGGTAGATAGAGCTATTTTTTAATTGTCCTGTATTTATCTTCTTTTTTTTCTTCAAGATGTTCGACCACAGTTAAATAGCCGTTCTATTTATTTCCAGGCTTCAGTATGTGGTAGGGGCAGAGAAGAGCAACATTCTGGAGGGCTCTACAAGACAAGGTATTTGAAGACAGTCGTACCCATTGTCTTTCTATGTCATTCTATTAACCTTTATATCTGGAGTCTATATTCATCACCATCACATACAGGTTTCTGACTCCAGTTGTAAGTAAACAAAACCTGATACATATTTTTTGTATGCTCTTTATTTCAGTCAAAGACCACAACCAAATAGACTCTGGCCTGCCAGCACGCAGTGGAGCCATGGTGGTCATCACCGTCATACTGTCTGTGTCCATGTTCATTTTGCTGGTAGCCCTCATTGTCACTGTTGCCTATTCCCTTGGTGGGGATTAAAACACATTTCTAAAGTCTGAATTTCACATTTAATATAGATTTTATCTGGATACATTTATACAATTATACTTCATATGCAAACACGCATCAGTACTGCACATTGCTGAAGTACTTCTTTAATGATAGCTTTGAACAATATTCTATGAGGTATCTGTTTCCAGAACTTTCTAGTACATTTAAAACCTTGAATTATAGTGTTTTATGCAGTTTCAACTGCTGTCTATCGTTCGCTTATTTGGAGTATGACTGAATTAAAATGATTCAGATTTAACAACATTCCAACGTTACATTATTTTTAATAGTAACAAACATCATTAGTCAGCCTACATCAACTTCATAGCATTGTAAAACGTTTTATAAAAATAAACAAACTTTCATAAATTCTTATGATTTGTCATATCCGAGCCCTTGTTCTACTCTACCACCTTGCGAAGTTGTTAGATTAATTTGTATTTTAAGAATAATGATTAAAGGATTTCACCCCAAATACAGTATAAATGTGTAAACTGTGTTAGAATTATAATGTAGTGTCAACCCACTAACAGAGGGGGGCGGGACTAAACATTCCAGGGTGAAGGAGAAAGGTGGAAACTGTTTAAGAAAGCCTCCTAAAGGTGGGCGGAGCAAAGTGCCTTTGTGTGTCAAGGGGTATAAAACAGGAGTGTATGGGTTTTGGCGCCAGAGCTCTCCATGAATAAAAATACAGATCATTCTTGCTGGTTGTGGACCTTGAATCATTTATGATTAAAACCAGAGCCTTACAACCTCTGGTAATGATTCAAGCTTAGGTTGAATTAGAGATAGAAATTCTCGTAACAGAAGTGCACTGAGCAGGCGTCCCCTCACAGTCAAAGGGGTCAGAGTATAGAGCCAGCCCAGGTGGAGACTACAGAATATAGCAGGACTTGCTAACTAGTCCTTTCTCCACACGGTCAGGGTCAGCAGACCACAATGATCAGCCCTTTCAAGCACATCTTGGAGCTCAAACAAATCATAATATCCCACTGGCACGTTGTTCACAGTCACCACCTCATCTCCTTCTTGCAAACACCCGTGGGCTGGTGAGTTGTTTAGTATAGTTGATATTACCATAGGTTCTAATTGGTTAGTTCGCCTTAAGAGTCTAAATCCAAAGCCGCCAGCGACATGTGATGCTGCAATAGTGGGATGCACCTCAATACACCATTGCACAGGTCATTCTATACAGTCATTGGCAAGCAGGGTTGACAAGTCAAGCTCAATTTCTTGCCCAATGACCACTCAAAACCCACCCAAAATGCCTGAAACTAGGCAAAAGAAAATGTGCACAGAAAGAGGGGAGTTGCCATATCTATACAATAAACCCTTTTTCCATTAAGTTATCGAGCCAATTAAGAAGGAATATCATAGTAACTTGTAACGACGTTAGAAGCAAAATGTGGGTTTCCTTAATAATAGCAGTTAAATGAGTTAAATCGACATCCATTGATGGAAAATGATCTGGCGAGTTTAATAAGGGCTAATGATCTTTTCTCTTGCCACATATTCAAATTCCTTTATTACGTCATAAGGCACAAGGGGTATGGTATATGGCCAATATACTACGGCTAAGGGCTGTTATTAAGCACGATGCAACGCAGAATGCCTGGATACAGCCGTTAGCCATGGTATATTGGCCATATACAGCATACCCTCGGGGTACCTTACTGCTATTATAAACTGGTTAACACTGTAATTAGAACAGTAAAAAGTATACCATGGCTTTCAGCCAATCAGCATTCAGGGCTCGAACCACGTTTATAAATGTAAATAAATCCCCTTTGCGAATGTGCATAACTATAGAGAAATCCGACAGGAGAGTTTGAGTGATGAAAGTTGAACTGAGGATCTCGAAATCTCTGAGCAAGAAACATTTGGCTGAACATAAAAAAACGAATGTTAGTCTATTTTCTGGCTATTGTGCTGTTATTATGTGGCAGATGTTAAGACTACAAACCGTTATAAATGGCCCATTTGCGACATTGACTTGTCATGTCAATAGACATAGGCTACAGACTAAGATCTGGGTTTATGATTGAAATTACATTTTGCCATAGTTTGCTTAACTAAAGGCAGGTAGCCGATAGCCCCTGATAGGCCTACATCTAATTTCAGATAGTGTACAGTAGCCTAGACAAGATGTAGGCAAGATGTAAACTGAACTATTTAGCAGCTTGCTTAGTTCAAATTAACAGACTAATTTATTAATAGGTAGCGAGGCGATTTCGCAATAAGAAGTGCTTGTGTTGGCTACTGAGGATGGGGTCATAATTTAAATCACTGAATGAAATCTTAATAATATGTATATGAACTGAATATGCTTGTCAACAACAGTCAGTGTTTATTTTTGTAGAATTTGTTTTACCTGTAGCCTAATCTGACTACTGTTACCGCCAATCTAATGCGTTCATAATAACACAAGGCTACAACAACAAAATGAAGTCATAGGCTATTTATTACATTGGTTTGCCAGCTCCAGGTAGGCTACACAAGTGGCACCATTTGATTTGCAGTTTAAACCACCTCCGAGCGATTCCAGTGCTTTGTCTCCATTATTTATTGATGTGCATCAGTTCTAGCGTATTATTATGTTTTATGGAAATAGGTGTCTCCATAATGACAATCTAAATAGCCTACCTACAACTGGTAAAAAGTTGACACAACGTGCACGCGTGCTGCTCTCTCGCCTCTCGCTCACGTGACTCAGCCAATAACTGTAGTGCTCTCTCAACACACACACACACACACACACACATCCTGCACCCCCCACCACTCACTCACTCACTCAGCAACAGCCTCTCACTGCCTGAAAGTCAGCAGAAGGTAACAGTGACATATTTACAGTTGAAATCGGAAGTTTACATACACTTAGGTTGGAGTCATTAAAACTCGTTTTTCAACCACTCCACAAATTTCTTGGTAACAAACTATCGTTTTGGCAAGTCGGTTAGGACATCTACTTTGTGCATGACACAAGTTATTTTTCCAACAATTGTTTACAGACAGATTATTTCACTTATAATTCACTGTATCACAATTCCAGTAGGTCAGAAAAAAGACCTCAAAATATTGTAGACCTCCACAAGTCTGGTTCATCCTTGGGAGCAATTTCCAAATGCCTAAAGGTACCACGTTCATCTGTACAAACAATAGTACGCAAGTATAAACACCATGGGACCACGCAGCCGTCATACCGCTCAGGAAGGAGACGCGTTCTGTCTCCCTAGAGATGAACGTACTTTGGTGCGAAAAGTGCAAATCAATCCCAGAACAACAGCAAAGGACCTTGTGAAGATGCTGGAGGAAACAGGTACAAATGAATCTATATCCAAAGTAAAACGAGTCCTATATCGGCATAACCTGAAAGGCCGCTCAGCAAGGAAGAAGCCACTGCTCCAAAACCGCCATAAAAAGCCAGACTACGGTTTGCAACTGCACATGGGGACAAAGATCGTAGTTTTTGGAGAAATGTCCTCTGGTCTGATGAAACAAAAATAGAACTGTTTGGCCATAATGACCATCGTTATGTTTGGAGGAAAAAGGGGAAGGCTTGCAAGCCGAAGAGCACCATCCCAACCGTGAAGCACGGGGGTGGCAGCATCATGCTGTGGGGGTGCTTTGCTGCAGGAGGGACTGGTGCACTAAACAAAATAGATGGCATCATGAGGAAGGAAAATTATGTGGATATATTGAAGCAACATCTCAAGACATCAGTCAGGAAGTTAAAGGTTGGTCACAAATGGTTCTTCCAAATGGACAATGACCACAAGCATACTTCCAAAGTTGTGGCAAAATGGCTTAAGGACAACAAAGGCAAGGTATTGGAGTGGCCATCACAAAGCCCTGACCTCAACCCTATATAAAAATATGTGGGCAGAACTGAAAAAGCGTTTGCGAGCATGGAGGCCTACTAACCTGACTCCGTTACACCAGCTCTGTCAGGAGGAATGGGCCAAAATTCACCCAACTTATTGTTGTGGGAAGCTTGTGGAAGGCTACCCGAAACGTTTGACCCAAGTTAAACAATTTAAAGGCAATGCTACCAAATACTAATTGAGTGTATGTAAACTTCTGACCCACTGGGAATGTGATGAAATAAATAAAACCTGAAATAAATCATTTTCTCAACTATTATTCTGACATTTCACATTCTTAAAATAAAGTGGTGATCCTAACTGACCTAAAACAGGGAATTTTTACTAGGATTAAATGTCAGGAATTGTGAAAAACTGAGTTTAAATGTATTTGGCTAAGGTGTATGTAAACCTCCGACTTCAACTGTAAGTGTGGGAGACTAATATCTCCAAGTCCTGGTTTCTCCAGCTTTTGCTTGTCCTTGTAGTCATGACAAGCCCAACCTCCTCTTGCCACTACCCTATACAGACATTCTGGGTTTCCATAAGGGCAGTCAAGTGGTCCTCCTTTGATGTTACAGGGCTTCCCAGTAGCATTCATGTAGTGTCCTGGTTGTCCTTGAACTGGGATCACCTCTGTCAAATCCATGTCCCATTCGGTTTTGGTCCTTATGGTCGTTTTCCTCATAGTCTTTTGTTTCACCGTGGTTTTGATCAAAAGAGATTTCAGCAATGGCAATACACAGCAAAAGACTATACCCATTACTACCAGTGCTGTGCCTATCATTATTGCCATCTTTGTGAACATTGCTCCCCATTTTCCAAATGTTAAGTCCAACCAGCCCCAAGCCTGAGCATCCTGTCCAGCATTGTTCTTGACTTCTTGTCTCAGTACTTTAAGCTTGGTCATTGCTATAGTGAATGTTCCTCCTGGGGCAGTGTTATTTGGAATAAAAGTGCAACACTCGCTTCCAAACATAACACATACTCCACCTTTCTCTGCTAGGAGCCAATCTATAGCCTGTCTATTCTGCCAGGTCATCCTACTTGTTGCCTGTACTTGTTCTCCCAGAGCTGACAATGCTGAGTCAGTATAATTTATGAACCTCTGCTGATTGTAATATATGTAATTGATCCATTCTAAGTTCTTGTTGGGAGTTATCCATACAAGTATTGATTCAAATCCTGATTTAATCTCACTTCTCGCTTTAAATTCATTAGGAATTCCCCTAGGTTGGCCTATAGCATCTATTTGTATGTTTGGATCGGCTTCATATGCCCTTTTTGATCTTTTTAATTGAGTATCTTGCATATCAACCTTTAAGGCCTTCCATTCAACTATTACAACTTTTTGTATTAGCTGTACTCTGGCACAGATCCCTTTCCATCCTTTTGGCAATAATGTCCTTAGTTGCCCCTGACAGACCCAGAAGAAATCTGCAATTGCCACTGACTGATCCTCATAAGGAGTTATCAGCGGTAATGCCAGTGTCTGATTTTCGCATACTTCCGGGGTAACGATTATCCCAGTACTTGACCCTGCTGCCTGATAAATTTTTCTTTGAGGGGTGTCTGCATTCCAAAAGCTATCTGTATCTAGATGCCATGTAGTTCCACATTCTCCCTTGAATTCTCCCAAATTATATACCCGATTGTTTTGTTGTAAC